TTCGCATTTGTTTTGAAACACCCTGTATAAACAGTAGTTTTGTAACTATACTTTATTTGCTTCTACATGGCAAATTATATTCAGATGTTCTTCCTAAAGGAAAAACTTAAAAAAAATTGTTTGTTTTGATTTTTTAACATAAAGGAATATGTTTATGCCAGAGGGTTCTATACAGGGTGAGATTATAAATAAGTGCAAACATTTTCAAGGTTGATATAGTCTCTTTACCGTTTTTCAAATAAGTCCAAAATATCCACGTTATTTTACTTTAAAAATTTAAGAAAAAAATGTTGCTATAATATCGATATATTATGATTTTTAACTAAAATTTAAAAGAATTGCAATTTTTTTTTGGAAAAAAAACAAATTTTCGCGAAAATAAACTCATAAACGTGTTTCTGGGGTCGAAATATACCACCCCTAAAATATTCGCACCTATTTAAGACCCTGTATAACTAGAAATAACTAATTTATCAGTTCTGACCGCAGGATTTTTTTTTATAAGAGAGGTGTATTTTTTACTGTATCATTTTGGGTGAATAAAAATCCTATTATTCATTTGCTCGAGTGGAAGTGGCTTCCTGTTACATTTCTTGTAATTGTATGATTTATAAATGATTAATATTTTATAGTCTGTTTTGACAGAAAGTGTAATTGCTTTACACAAATTAGGAAAAAATGTACTATATAACTCAATTCAATTATAATCTTAAATGTATGTATGTGGCTAACAACGAAGTAATAATAGTTATGTATTTTTGTTAAAAATAACGACAGTGAAGAATCGCATGGAAATTTCTTAATTTTCTGTAAAAGCTCTTAAGGAAAATTGCAAATACATGGTCTGTTTTTTTTTCTTAATCTGGGTATTATAACGTGGATATGGAAACACATTAACGCCTATTTTTAGTCTCTTTAAGTAAAAACATATTTTATTAGGGTCAGACTTATTTTCGGTTGGATACATCAAGCGGGATAAATAATAATAATAGCCAAATAGGGTAATTTTCGTACCATATCTGGGTCTCCTTAGCCAATTTAATAAATACTTAGCTCCTTTAATAATAGCTCCTAATTTGACTTTGAGTCTTCTCAAAACAATACGCCATAATGAAAGAAGAAACTTTTACAGTATAAATTGAATATTTATTACGACATTCACCGGCACGAAAAACCGGGCACCTTAAAATTTTGATGCATTTTAAAGTTTTATATATCGTGTTCTAGAGGCCCGATTTTGATGTTCCTTTAAGCAATTTGTAGCTAAATAAATTATTTATCTTTTTAGTGTCTCTTTCTAAACTTAAAATGAAAGTTCCTATCTGTCGATCGAATGGCTTAAGTCGTATCTTGGCAACAGAAGGCAGCTTGTGAGGATTGATACGTCTATGTCTTCTTGTAAGCCTATAGAATGTGGTGTCCCTCAGGGTTCAGTACTTGGCCCTATTTTATTTCTGGTGTTTATCAACGACATTTAAATCTAGACATTAGCGGTAAAATCTGCCTCTTTGCGGACGATACTAGTTTCACTTGGAGTGGCCCAGATGTTACGGCACTATATGATACTATATCCAGTGACTTACGCACCATTAAATCTTGGTGCGATTCTAATCTCCTATGCCTCAACCTTTCAAAAACTAAAGTTTTGTCATATAAAAGTACTATACAACCTTTTGTACTTAATAACACCACTATTGACGTCGTGGACTCTGTGAGATTCTTAGGACTTCTTGTGGACAACTCTTTAAAATGGGACTTGCACATCGAAGCCTTATCAAAGAAACTAAGCTCTGCCTGTTTTGCGCTAAGATCAGTGTCTAAGGAACTTATCTCATCAACCTCTAGAATGGTCTATTATGCCCTTTTTGAGTCGCATCTTCGTTATGCCCTTCCATTCTGGGATACTTGCTGCGCGACAAAATTTGATCGTATTTTCAAGCTTCAAAAGAGAGCAGTTCGATACTTATTGGGACTGAACAGTAGAACTCACTGCCAGAATTTCTTTAAAAATTTCAAAATACTGACTCTTCCTTCCTTATTCATTTTTGAATCCGTTTGCTTAATCCGCAAGTACATATTCTCTATTCCGGAAAGGCCTTCTCACAACTATCCACTTAGGAATGCGGAGCACGATATTTATCTGCCAACCCCGAGCTCAGAACTAGTTAAGGGCTCAATACTGTACAATGCCAAGAAAATGTACAATCATTTGCCTTCGAATATCAAGTCACTTTCATTCTTTCCCGCATTTCGCAAAGCTCTGAAATCATACTTACTGGAGAGAGCCCTATATGCGGTAAACGATTTTTTTGTTGATGTTTAATCATCAACAATTTAGAATTTTAATTTTAATATTTTGATCATCTCACACACATCATCTCACACACTGGTTAGAGGTCTAGTATTTAATATTTTATAACTCTTGATTTTATGTTATTATAACATGATTTTATCCATTTACAGTTTTCCTTTTGTAAAATTTTCTAGATACGCCTGTGTTCTGCAATGTCCATATATGTTTTATTTGTAATTTTATGACGTACATTTTTTTTTTTGAATTGATTTGTATTGTATGACATTTTTTGTATTATTTGTATATTTGTTTTTGTGCTTTTTTTGTTTTGCTTTGTCGATGAAGTTGTTTTGGCTTTTTGTACAATAAAGCGTTGTTTTTTTTTGTCAATTATACGAGGGAACAGAAAATGTTATTTTCGTGAAAGCTAAAAAAGCAAGGAATTTGAAAATAATTTTATCATCTAAAAAACAAAGGTATGGTTTTAATGTAAAAATTACAAAAAAAGGTTAGGATGATAAAATTATTTTTGGATTCCCTGCTTTGTTAACATATTCCACCGGGTCAAATTCTCACCAAATTATCAACATTATGTTTTCCCTCGTATGATTTACAGATGGGAACTTTCATTTTCAATTTAGAAAGAGATACTAAAAAGTCAAATAATTTACCTACAAATTGCTTAAAAGATCATCAAAATTGGTCAACTAGAACACAATATATGTATATGAAACTTTAAAATACATGAAAATTTTAAGGTGCCTGTCTGTTTTTCGTGTCGGCTAGTGTATAATATATTGATAACATACAGACGGAAGTTACATTTTAATGTCTACATCTGTACATCACGAATAAAAATCGATGTACAGGGTGTTACATGCGTAAATATAATTGACTTTTTGCCAAGTGCGTTCCATATTTACATTAAATTAATAATTTACTTTCCTGGCATATTGCCATCGATAAAACGTTAATTTGTGTATGTTTTGTGCCTATAGGTTTATTTGTATTGGATTTTAAATTGAATTTTTACTGAAAATTTCGATAAAAGCGGATAATATTTTAGTTTACCGTCTAAGCTCCATAACACAACATGTAAGTTACATTTTTATACCTCGCATATGCGTAAACTTCTTTTTTAGTATTCATTAACTTTTTTGTATGTTGTAATTAAAATTAACTCTATTTTTGTTACCTTTTTTTATCATATTTCTTTACCGAAAAGCCAAGTCGACTATTTGTCATATTTTATTTTAATACATATAAAAGTATGACAGTAACTGAACTGTAAAGTTGTTAATAAATATTTCCCCATATAGTTAACGATATAATAAAAAGAAATTATGTATAATAATTATCGGGATGTCTTAGCAATCAGCACCAATAGGGTATAGCATACCGAATTATACATAAAGAAAAATCACATTAATATTATGGATAGTTTGAACATCAATTTCTGCTTATTGTTATCAATTACGGATGAAGTGATTTAAAGGAAACTCTACCTATACTGGCCATGCCATAATTGAAATGGAAAACAATAAAATCCCGACTTAATATTCAGACTCCGTAAGCACCAATAATTGTTTCAATATGCAAAACAAGATGAGTTATCATTATAACAGCGAATTGGAATTGTTAAAGTACATTTCAGTACACACAAATTTTACGTTTTTTTTTCAACCAACTAGTATACTATTGTACCTATACTTCTTATACAGATATACAGTATATTTTAATAAAAGATGTATCACATATATGTATTAATTTATTTTAGTATCAACTTGGCCACAACTACATATTGTTCAGGGATAAAAAAATATTTTTAGTGATAAGGTCGAATAACGGCTAACATTATATAATAAAATATCATTTAAAAAAACTTTTTCTGCATACTAAATTTAGATATGTGTTTTCACAATTAAATTATCCTTAAGTACTGCTTATCATTACAAAATTACAAGAAAATCAATATTAAATGAACAAATATTGGGAATCTTTTACTGAAGCGAACAAAATTCATCTTTTGTTACATCGTTTAAGTCAATAATTAGCACGTATAATGTTTTAAAATTAGTTAAACAATTATTTCAGGTTAGGATAGTTTGAAAATGTCGCCCTGTATCTAGAATGCATTTCCATATCAACATCTAAAAATATTTCTTTACCATTCCGAAAACATTCTTCGGTTTAAGAATTCAACTGTGTAAAAGATATATAATGTTTTATTCAACAATGATTACCGACAATAAAATTTGCATTTACTTTAATTTTTTTTTCTTAAATGACCACTGTTATAGTGGTTCGCATATATTTCATCAACGCCAAAACGTTTAAATTCCTCACAGGAACGAAAAATTTTAATAGGTATGGCTCAAATTTCAGTAATATTAATTTTTGAACAATGTATCCCAGCCAAAACAATTCATAATTCATACACATGTTTTTTATTAATAAAGTCACAAATAGAACCTCAAATTTCGAGATATAATTAAATACATCTGTAGGTTATCAAATCATATTGAAACCTACACAGAAGAGACTATTATTGCCAATATATTTTATTTAAATTGGCATATACATATGACTCAAACTATCAATAAAATTCGGTCATACTCTATTTTGTCGATTTGTCCTGTAAAGTACAACAAATACTCAACAGATTAGATATTTTTTCGTAAACTTGATAAAAGTAATAAAACTTTGTATACTAGTCTGTATATAAACAATTACTTGCCAGTGTTATTATACATTCTTTCATTTTGTGGACTTAGTTCTTGGTGAGATTGATTTTGACTAATTATTCTAATATCAGTTCAGTAATCGATCAGTTCATTCTGTATTATCTTGGAGATTATTACTTTTACATAAAAAAGGAACATTATTTCTGCATGTGTAACAACAGTGATTTATCTTAATTTAAACAGTGTTTGAAATTACTATTTTTCTTATCGGTTACAATGTCAAACAGGCGGTTATTTGATAACAGTTAGGTATATATTATATATTCATTTACAAATATCTTGAATTGACTGAAAAAAAAATCATTATGACCTGTTGCAGATCAAATCAAGAAGATCCCAGAGTATCAAGTCTGGGTTGTCAGTTGCGAATTAGACTCCACACAGTTTACCGTCTCTTTTGGCAGTATGCCGAATAAATAAATAATCGTTCATTTAACCCGAGTTAATACGCAAAATTCAACATGATTGACCAACTTAATGTTACTGCTGTTGCGAAGAACACAGGACACTCGTCGTGCATCTTACAGGTGTTGGTCACCATCTCCTTCCTAATTGGAATCATTGGCAACTCCACAGCTTTAGTGATCTTGTACAAATCAGCTAAAACAAGAAACAGGAAGCACGTGCTGATGCTCAGATGGTTAGCTATTAACGACTTGACGGCAGCTATAGGGATGATGACAGTCACAAATTTAAGAAGGTACGGAATTGTACCGGATTATTGGACCTGCACAGCCTTAGTTATAGTGCGTGGATTTGGCCTGGGCTCAGGTGGGGTTGCCCTTATTATGGCCCTGGAAAGGTGGCTAGCCCTTACTAGGCCCTTTTTATATCATAAGGTAATTTTTTTTGAAACCATAAAATAAATCACGCTTTCGAATACAACTAATATGTTTTGTCTGATATGTAAATATTGTTTTATATATAATATAAAAGCCTAGATTATGCAGTTATCAATATTTATTTAATCGTGGCTCGTATTGAACTATTATCTTAACTAAATGATTGTAAAATAATTTTAAAGTCATAAACAGGTTTAAATTTTGTAAATAAAATTTCGGTACTTTTGTTGTTCAAAAAATAAAGTCGAGTCAAACATTAAATTTAGTAAATTCAAAAATAAACCACTTTCAAGTATGAGAAGGGATAAACAACATGAGCTTATAAGCTTTTAGTATTTACCAGTCCTCGGGGGTAGTCAAGTAGTGACGTCAGATAGAGTCTATTTATAGCATAATATATAACACAAATACTAAACAACAATATTTTTAATTACAAATTTGCTTAAATGAAATAATAATTATGATTCAGTATGTTTATTAAAACTTCGATTTTATCTAATGACGTACTGACACATACATATCAAAATTTAGAATCTTATTTCTTCCAAATGTTGTCCAAATTCAAAGTATACTCGTTTATTTATATTTTGGCATTACTTATTTTCAGTTGGAGTTATTGATCTCCAAAAATTCCAAACCTATATGATAAATAACACACATATTGTCCAGAATGGTGTATTTTTAATATTCCAAATATTTACTTGGTGAAAAGTCACTTAAGTAAACTAAATTAAATATAACACTTGTTGCTCCGTATTTTTCAGTTACATTTATTTTTAATACAGGAAGGACACCCAATAATTCTAGCTACTTTTTCAATCTATACTAATATATAAAATCCTTAAGTGACCGACATACTGATTAATCACGATCCTGCTCAAACCACTCAACGTAAGAAGCTCGATAGTAGGGATTAGTAGAGGTTCGATAAGAAGGGATTTTTCGAAATTCCAGTTCCAAGAGAGTGAAACCACCGAAGTTTCCGAAAAAACTCTTAAACACGTATATTTTATTTTGTTATTTTACATATTTTAAGATTTTTTAAAAATGTATACAGGGTGTTTCGAAAAATCTGGTCATTGATTAATCACGATCCTGCTTAAAGCGCTTGACGTAAAAAGCTGATTTTTGGAAAACAGATTGACTTTAGGGTGTAGAGGTTCGATAAGAAGGGATTTTTCGAAACTCGAATTCTAAGGGGTGAAACTATCCCTCAAATATTAAAATATTTTTTATTTAAAAACCGGTGAGTTTTTCGGAAAAACTCTTAAACACGTATATTTTATTTTGTTGTTTTACATATTTTAAGACTTTTTATAAATTTATCCAGGGTGTTTCATAAAATATCACTTTGAGTAATCACGATTCTGCTTAAACTGCTTGACGCTTAAAGCTGACTTTTGGCAAACGGATTGACTGTGGGGTGTAGAGGTTCGATAAGGAGGGGTTTCTCGAAACTCAAATTCCGAGAGGGTGAAAACGCCCCTCAAATATTACAATATTTGTTATTTAAAAAACGGTTAGTCTTTCGGGAAAACGCTTGGACAAGCATAATTTATTTGGTTTTTTTACATATTTTAAATTTTTTTAAAAAAATGATACAGGGTGTTCCAAAAAGTTGGATAATTTGTTAACCACGATTCTGCTTAAACTGCTTGACGTAAAAATCTTATTTTTGGCAAACGGATTTTTCGAAAGTCAAATTCCAACGAGATAAAACTACCCCTCAAATATTACCAAGTTATATGTATAATAAAATCGCCATATTGTTTTTTCTCATGCTGACATAAATGTGAGAAAATTTTATCCAGTTTGTACGTTAATGGAAATTCTTGCTTTGCTTTATCATCACCATTACAAATGATTAATTCGACGCGAACGAAGTCGCTGGTACACGCTAGTATTCTATATAATAAGTAGTTTATCTTCGATTTTTTTTATTTTTGTTAAAATAAATAGTTCCTAATACACAAATAGATATCTATTAAAATTATAAATAGGAATGTTAGGGCGAGAAACAATAAAATGAAAGCTATAATTCTTAATGGGGTAACAAATTGACCTAAATTGTGCATTTCTCTTACTTTTGTCTAAGTTTATTGTTTTTAAATTGATGATGAGACTCAGGAAATAACTAGTAGCTTTTATTAAAAAATAATACTTCATTTCGTCTAAAATTAGTCTGATTTTAACTATACATATTTGCAATATATTTCATCTCACCAGGGTCAAGATTATTTTGTCTGTAGATATATTGTGACATTCGAAACACATCGTATATTATGACAAAAATAGAATGTCACTGGCTGAAAATAAATACATATTTTTCTATAAAATTTTCCTTTTGATTAATTTAGGTAAATAATGCTATTTTTTCTACGATTTTTTTCTTCATAAAAATGTTTACTTGTTCTAAAATGGTTAATCCCGTTTATACTTTTGCAAATTTCGATACTGTTTTAGAGAAAATTAAAAAAAAACATGAAAATATGGTTGAAGTTTTAAAAATCCAAAAACGTTTCTATAGTAATTTAATTTCGATTTCATTCCTTGATAGTTGGTCATTATTAATTTTGGTTAACGTCATATTTTTTGCTGTTTGTTAAACTATCACATTTCCCGAAAACTATTTCCACCCTTTCCATTGCATTGAACTAAATAAATGTTGTGCTTCTTTAACATTTTAAAAGAGCCAATAATATGACTTTAACCTAAATTCGATCAATAACAATCTATAAAAAAAATGAAAATGTTTTTTTAATTTTCTCTAAAACGGCATGGAAATTTGGATAAGTAAAAACGAGATTAACCATTTTAGAACAAGCAAATATTTTTATCAAGAATGCATTTTTCTCAAAATATTAATAATAAAAAGTTTTTCCTCTTGTAACGATAATCCTAGGACGTATTGTACAGGGTGTCCCAGAAATAGGTGCAAGTATTTTAAGGGGTGGATCTATCTATATATAAGTATCTTGATAAAAGAAACATGTTTTCTCTTTATCGTTTTTCAAATAAGTCCAAAACAACGGAGAAATTGAAAATTTCCAAATGAAAAAAATATTTTTTGCTAAAATTTTGAGAATCACTGGATCTTTTATTGATTTTCTTTTTTGTAAATTTAATCTACTATGTTGCCATATTATCAAGAAATTATTTTTTTAAATAAAAACAAAAAAATTCTCAAAAAATTTTCAAAAAATTCCGAATTTTCAAAAAGAAAATTGTCGCGAAAAAAACCTACCAGTTAAAATACTTGCACTTATTTCTGGGACACCCTCTATATAGAAATTTAGGACATCATTTAAAATAAAAAATCAAAATATTCTTCTTAAAAAGATCACAGTAATATGTAGGTACATATTTTGTACTTTTTTTGTTTATAGATTTTTTGTGTATTATTGTTCAATAATTCGCATAGGAATGACAAAATTTCAATCATTATCGAAGCCACTTGGTGTATCATCTCTCGCCAATAAAATTTTAATAGCTTTTGATTTCCGGTAAAATCTGCCCTTGAATTTTCTTTTTGTCAACGCCAACTATAATTAATTTAGTTTATTCATACACGCACACCGGCTGGGCACATTATATTTTTTCTACCTCTTAAGATATTCAAGATCTGATGATAAAAAAACGCTATTTGTATTATATATAATGCTTTATGACTCTCTGGGTTTTCTCTTTGACCTAAACGAACAAAATTCTAAAAATACAGCGTAGGTTTACTAAATAATGACAACAAGTTAAGTTTAATTTGAGGGAAACAATTCTAATATATCTTGTATAATGTATATAAATCAACACATTATTTTTATATGGAAAAGTCGAAAATTAATGGTATTTTTGGCTATTTTTACCCGCTTTATTTGTAGACGTAAAATTTTGAAATTTTCAGCATTTGTAAGAAATTTTATGTACTATACACTTTTGAAGCCTTAGGTAACCCTGGCTTTGTGACAAAATTAATTTTTGTGGACCCTTGTTTTTCAGCTATTTTTGATAAAAGCTAAAAATCCATTACTATTCTCGTAAGAATACAATGGCCTATATTTTCTTATTCTACACCTTTTAATTAGTAAATAACAGCAGTTTTAACAAAATCGGTGAAATGACGAAAATCGACTATTTTCATACTATATTATGTATTAAAAAAAGTAGAAAAAATACCCATTTTAGCTGTTTTCAAAAAGGCCTTAGAAAAATAGTAGTCATAGTCATAAAATTATGAAAATTTCAGCGTTTGTAGGAAATTTTATGTAGATTCAGAATATAAACACCGTGGAAAGCTTAGTTACCCTAGCTTTGTAAGAAAATTAATTTTTTGAACCCTTGTTTTTCAACTATTTTTGATGAAGGTTAAAACATCCCCCTATATCTATTACTGTTCTTGTAAGACTACAATGGCCTATATTTTCATATTCTACACCTTTTAGTTAGTAAATAACATCAGTTTTAACAAAATCGGTGATATAATGAAAATCGCCAATTTTCATGACTAATATGTATGGAAAAAAAGTCGAAAAAATACCCATTTTTACTTATTTTTACACATTTTTAGAGGCATTAGAAAAATAGTAAACATAGTCATAAAGTTATGAAAATTTCAGTATTTGTAGGAAATTTTATGTAGATTCAGAATGAACAACAAACCTTTAAGATATATAAGCCCTTATATATATCTTGGTTGTGTGAGAAAATTAATTTATTGGGCCCTTGTTTTAAGCTATTTTTGATGATTTTTAAAACGGTCACCTACCTCCATTATTATCCTCGTAAAAATATATATATTCTATATATTCTTATATAATTCTATATATTCTTATTCTATGCCTTTTAATTAGTAAATAACAGCAGTTTTAATAAAATCGGTGACATGACAAAAATCGCAAATTTTCACGACTATATACATATGTATGAAAAAAAAGCTAAAAAACAAAATTTTTGATTATATTTTACACATTTTCAAAAGCCTTAAAAACAGTGTAATCATAGCCATAAAATTTTGAAAATTTCAGCATTTGTAGAATATTTTATGTTAATGTTAAAATATTTTTATTGTTGTATGTCATAGGGATGCAGTATTTTTTTCAAAATTAGTAAAGAAATATTGTGAGCGTTTAAAGTAAACTGTCTTTTTTTTCCTTTTTTAGCTGGTTACCTACGATGTTTTAAAGAGAACTTTGTGTTGCTTATGGCTAGGAGTCCTCGCTTTGACATACTTACCGCTTTTTGGCTTTGGTCTTTACTACGACGATTCAAAAAATAAATGCACACGATATCGGTACGGTGCTGTTTTCAAAGACATTGTCTATGCCTGGTTCTTTTTTTCAGTTGGTAAGAATGTAGTAATTCATAGACTTGCACAACACTTGACTAAAAAAATATTGTAGGTGTCACCTTATGTCTAGGCATAGCTCTATGTAATATAGCCGTGGTATGCGAGCTGTCAAAGATTAGATCACAAAATCGAGTGCTGGTAAGACGGATTAGCAGGTCCTTGATAGTTAACAACCGAGCTAGAGGTCCTAGGCATCACCAAACGCCGGAAGAAGTAGCCTTTGCTAAGCTGATGGCTTATATCTCTATCATTTTTGTTGTTTGTTGGGGACCACAGCTAGTAAGTAAATAATCTACATATATAGATGAAATGCTTTTAAATGTATATGCCTTTGATATATGAACAAGATATTGAATAGAATGGTCTTGTTTGTTCAGTTTCTCTGTTTGTACGTTTTAAGAAATATTTCGATCTGAAATAAGTGACTGTTTTTTTAGATAACCATACCAATCGCACAACTGGGAATTACATCAAAAGCATCGAGTGTATTTACCGGTATAGCCGACATGCTTATGGCCGTGTATTTGGCTTTGGACCCTTTCGTGTACGTTCTGCAGAGATATATCGAGAAAGGGACTTTCGGGTTGACGTGGTGCTTTCTCAAAAGGCGGAAATCAACCAGCAGTCTCCCTACCACTACGACCACTACAGGAGGTACACCCACTTCCGTGTTGATCACAGCACCCACCTTCCCTATACCTCCTAGCGCTTAAAGCTGAATTTATTCGTATTATTTATTGCTTTACGTGGCTACCAAACTCAAATAAAATCCTAAGTATGTTTTCGGTATGTTATACCGATGCGATGGAGGAACAAAAAAAAATTACGAACAATGTTACACCTTTTTTGGTCTTGTTTCATCAAAACTCACAAGATGCTTTCAAAATGTATTATATTTTCAGCAGGACTGAATGTAAATACATCTGGTGTATATTTTACTGAAATTAGGATAGTAAGTGTGAAAGTACCAAAAAATTTGTAATAAGCTAAGTAGATGTTGTGTTCAGCTATTAATAACAACTATTAACAACATTAAGAGTATGTTAGCGTATATAATGTGTGACTTCTTCAGCATGTATTTTTTGGACATAAAAGACTTATGTAACAATATTTATTTTAAGTTATCCGTCCTATCAACCAAAGTATTTGTTTGAGTAGTTTAAAGTACAAAGTAAAACAAAAACGGTGGAAAGATATTCATTGATTTTCTTCTTTCTTCGAATGCACTGCAACGAAAACATCATGACCCATATAAAAACCGTCGGAATTACGGAATTGACCAAGTGTAACGAAAAATATTGCATGTTTGTTAAAAATTAATCTTCAAGCGTTAACTACCAAAGGTTAACTGAATAGCCTAATGCGGCAACTATAGATTTCTTTTTATATTTCGTTTACGGAAAATGAAACCAGGAAAAAAATCTTTATTAGGTTTTTTTTGGAAAAAGGAAAACTTTCTGAGCTTTAAGCTTCTATCGAGTATACAGTACATCTTTCTAAGACTAACAGAATTCTATTTTCTGAGGTGAAATTTCTATCACTGCTTTAATTTATTATTTATAATGGTTAGAATTGGTATTTCGTAACAGATACTTTTGAATTTTAGACCTAAAAAACGCCCAACTCTGCACAATTAATATTAATAATTTATTTCGGGTTTTATTCAAAAATTATGAGTATAAATTGCTCGATTCTGATTTATATTTCGTGCTAAAAGCTCATTTATATCAGAGAAATCAAATAGATTGTGTAATAGAAGTGACAAGTCTAGATTAAGTACAAATTTGATATAAAATCGGGTATTTTTAACTAGATTATCTCTTTTTTAATATTTAAATTAAAAGAAATTGTATTGTAGGTCTAAAATTTGAAAAGAATTAATACGAGACAAAATAGGAATCTAATTGACCCAGTATTTTGAATGTGGTAGACTATGATTCGGTATTGAAACTAAAACAATTTCGGACTTTCATTGTCTTTATTTATTTTGCTTACGCAGCGTCTCGCAACACAATTTTTCTGCTGTAAAATGTTGAGAGATCTCATCTAAAACCAAGTCAATTTTATTTAGTTTTATGGGCGCCAAATTTTTATTAGCCTAGGGCGCAACTGTTCCCTAAATGTGACAAAACTTTGCTCACTTGGTTGATAACGGTCAGTGATACTTGTAAAGACAATGGAAGTCCAAAATTCTTTTAGTTTGAATTCAAAAGTACATTAATACATATTTTCACTCATATAGTCATACGCTTTACCTGATCTCTTTAATTTTAGATAAAAATCAGTTAACAATTTGCTTTTTTGGCATCCATTACTTTTAAATATTCAAATATAGTAATAAACGAGTTAACTTCACGAATACCATTACTGCAAAAGTCTTTTTGTTATGTAGATATACACTTGTTCACTCGCTATATATGTATTTTTATTAATATTTTTTTGTAATTTTATATTCTTGTTTTAATATTATTAGAAAAAAAATAGTATTCAAATATATGTGCTGTAATCCAAATATATCTTAGTGGTATGTTTCTGACAATAGACTGATATTTTTTTGTGATAAAAACAAACACATTTTAATGTATTAATTGTAAATTTACTAAAATAAAATATGAAATATTATGGTGGGGATTTTATTTTTTGGGAATCCTATTATAAATAGTTAAAAATAATTTGTACGTTATATCCGGTTTGTTCTATTTATAAAACATTCGTCTCGCAAAAGGAAAAAATGTATTTTTAGTAGGCCCTGTGTCCGAAAATATGTATAATTAACAACGATCAATAAAAGTTAGCTACTTTAATTTATTCAAGACGTCAGCAAAAACGTGGATTTCTTCTATGCACGCGCCGGGCTTAGTAACCTTTCTCAAATAAAAAAAGCTTTTTTTTAATATATGTATGACATACATTGTCACTGCTGACGTTAACGAAACGCAAAGCTTTTAATACGCCTCGAAACAATAAAAGGAAATGCGGTAAAAAGAAGGATTTAAAGGGCTTATCAATCTTAAGATTGTGCATTTAGATTTAGCGCTGTTGTAAAGTAGGGAGCTAACCGATGTGTGCGCCATTACAGATTGACATTTAAACCAAACAAGCAACTTTAATTTTAGGTGGAAATAAAGCGGAAAAACAATTTGTAGATTAAGTCTAGGTCAGCCAACCATTTCTGCAGGTTTGGTGTGACGCAATGGCTTGCATGACCTAAGGTTTTAGTCCAGTCAACAGCAAATGCTTGCTCTTTATTATTTTCAACTTTTTTTAATTCCGGTTATCTTTGGGTATTTTTTACACAATTGGGATAAAGGTTATCAGTAAATGTTATTATAAGACGAGAATATTCTGGGATAAAACTTTAAGGGGCATTTAATCAACAATATAGATTTACATCGCCAATATATACAAAGAAGCTAAAGCAAGAGTAATGTATATAAATAATAATATATAAGACAACCTCAGAGTTTCCAACTGGCATAGGAATACGACAGTGAGACGCGATATCCCCAAAGCTGTTTACAGCAACATTAGAAGAAATCTTCCGTCAACTGGATTGATGACCAACAAAGTGTCGTGATCCTGGATTGGACCACCGTCGTCACCAATCTTGTAGTCGCTGCCACCAAATGTTGTAGTTCTCTATTTGACTCGTATCACCACTTGTTGGGAATGTTATTCTTTATTTTTTTATAATTAAATTCTTACTAAGTTGTTATATGAGAAATACTACTACAAATATCATCCACCACCCGTAGTCAAGAAATAATGGTTTTAAAATATACTGGGATAAAACAATCTTAACAAATAAAACCGTTAGAAGTAACAGACCGGACATCACGCTTATAAATAAAATTAAAAAACACAGTTTTATTTAATTGATATTTTCTATTCCTAACAACAACAATATACAAAACAAGAGTTTACAGAAAAATAACAAAGAAGATTTGAGAATAGAAATAAAAATATATGGCAAATGGAATCGGTCCAGGTGGTCCCTTGATTGTGTCAGCCATTTTTAGGTATCCCAGTCAACCTGAAAGAACAATTAAAAGTAGTTGGAATACCTGAAAATGCCCACCGCCTTCCAATGCAGCAGAAATCTGTGCTGCTTGATGCTGCTAACATTGTTCGTTCCTTTCTAGGTGATTAACAATAGCACCTTATCTTGTCCCCATGGACCGATAAGGCAGCTTTAAACCTGTTCTTGAGCAGTGAAAAAAAAAAAAAAATATATTTATTGAAGTTTGTATATATACAATGGCAACAAAATTTATACAGATGAGTTTTAAAAACATTTATCATACAAATAACAACAATATAATCTTACAAAACTACAAAAAGGCTGGAAAAAGCAACAGTTGCTGATCAAGTTCCAGCCCTCAAAGTTAAAAAAAAAAGTAATATAAAAATAATTTAAATGTAATAAAAACAAAACAGCTAAAGACAGCAATTCTAGAATATACCACAAGAAATCAGATAGAAATATAATAAAACAAAACAACTAAAGGCAATCTAAAATATGCCACAAAATCAGATAAAAAACAGCACCCTACACACAACATTACAACCTAATCCCAATATTCAGAAAGTATTTTTCTTGTTTTATCTTTAAATTCACCCAAAGAGCAGTTCTTACCTTAACATCTATATTGTTGTACATACTATAAATATTAAATGTAAAGATCGTTCAAAACAAAGTGCAGATCAGTGCGGAGTGGGTGAAATGAGACCCTATTGCCTTAAATTCAAAATATGAATATCAATTTTACTGAAACTGTATTTTTTCATAAGGTAAAGGTGGACTTTATTTATTATAATTGAATGGAACAGAGTCAGAGTGCAGTCTACGCCTAGATTGCCATGTTCATCCATTTTGCCTCCTTAAGTTTACATATGAGATATTCATAATCCATATTTCCGAATACCATATATATAACGCTAACAAGATTTCTGAACTTTTTTCTATTCTGGCGGTATATTTAACGTCTAAACAAGGCCCATACAATACATCACAATAAATTAAAATGACTAAGAACTAATGTATCGGTAATTTTAAATTTTAGTTGGTATATCAAGTATTTTTACGATGGGGATAAAGCATCTTAAGGTTACATCAGAGTATTTTACGATGGGGATAAAGAAGCATCTTAAAGGTTACAATATATGCTCTCTGAAGTAGCTTTGCAGTATGTTTTTAAATCTAAGATCCACATCCAGTTCAACTCCCAGATTCTTGCTTACGACACAGCACTTAATTTTATTAAAAACCATTATCTTTAATTTACTTTTGTACTTCTTGGCGTTTACAACCAAAAATTAACACTGAAGAGATTTATTAGGATTAATAATTAAGTCATGTTTACTGGAAGCTTTAACCAATTTATCTATATCACTATTTAAGACTTTATTAGCATTATCTATGTCATTAGGATAGAAATGAATAACTTAACTGTGTGTCGTCCATACGTAAAAGTATGTTTTAAGATGTAACCACTTCCGTAGAAACTTGTGCTGCATAAATATTAAAAAGTAATGGGCCCAATATGGTTCCTTGAGGCACACCTCTCAAAATTTTATTTTTAGTAGATTGCCTGTTTTCCCGTATGAACAAATTTGATATCTAATAAGACAAATGGCTATGAATCATTGCAACCACGTGTCCATGAAGAACCTGTATGGGATAATATTTGCCAAAAAGTAGTTTATGAGAAATGGTGTCACTTGCTTTAGTAACAATCAACTAAAACTAAGACTCACATTTTTCCCATATCTGTCATTCTAAGAAATTAATCCAGCAACATCAACTAAAGTAAGTGTGTACAACGAATCCCTGTCTGAAAAGATTACCTCTTCGGAATATATAACACAACATTTCTATAGTAGATATACTTTAATTTGTGACTACTTTGAGTTTGAAGCTTCATTCTTCTACCAGAAATCAACAGAAGAATAATTAAGTTAGCATGGAGTACTTATGGAAGAAACTCTATCTGAAGTTATGACCTATGCATGCGAAACCTGGACACTTAAAACGGATATCATAAGGAAACTGCAGGTCGCCAAGAGAGACCAAGAGAGACCGTAAAAGAATAGAGTGGATACGACAAAAGACCCAGGAGATGTATTTCACAGTACTACACCATAATTGGACTATATATAAATATAATCATATATAAATTTCTTGGTATGTTTTCGTGGCTGAAACCGCTGAACTATAATGTCCAGGCGCCGCAGTGGCCACTAACGGCCCTTATCGCCTTTAAGATCCATCCCTCAAGGAGTAATTCTACGTTACCTACTAACACACACACTTCTTGCGTGTAGCTTTGGCAGCGCAAGCGCGAGAATAACAATAAGATTAAAGTTTCTCTCGCCACAAGCACGGAACAAATTGACCACTTGGTTGTGATTCTTTGTGACCACCAAGCGCCGTCCTGCAAGATGAACGCTTTTTACGTCACAGTGTCCATCCCGTTGCTCCTAGTTCTCGCTGGATTTAACCACGCTCACGGGCTCACAACTTTCGGCAAATCAAATCCACAAAACCAACAACCCAATAATCCTTGTAGGTATTCATTTCTAATTTTATCACACCAAATCGCACAGATCCTTTTATTTAGCACGTAGTGCAGCACATGTTTTTTTCAGTACTTTTTAGTACTGTTTACTAAAAATGAACAGTTTTTTTTAAATAGGAATAGTTTATAAAAACAAATAAATCATCAGATAATTCTGTTTTCCAAATTATAGTTATGGCTTTTTTCTGGAACTGTAAAGATAAGTTTTGTTTGTTCCAAAATTTTTAACTTTTTATCACACAGAAAGAAAGTATTGTAAAATTAAAAAAGGCTTATAAATTTAAATTTAGTATTTAATATCTTATCTTGTATAGAGATAGATTCTCATTTAATATTTTTATTTAATTGTAGTAAACAAGATATGTTTCACCTATTAATAATTTAAAATGCAAATAACAAATAAATAATATCGCATAGAATATTAAGAGGCGTAGCTAATGAAACATTCTTATAATCAACCAATTCATTTACTAACTACTTACTTATATTTTTTTGTAGAAAATCCATTTATTTTGACATAGTATACAACATTAACAAATCTGTTAAATATAATTCAACCATCACTTGAAATTAAAGAAAACGCTTTCATACAGTCACAAATTATGAAATTAACGATAAAGTACTAAATAATTTTCAAAATGTAAGAATGTAAAAAAATTTCAGCATCTAATATTTTACACAGTTTTAATCCATCTTAACTGGCAAGTAAAACGGTATGTGTAGACGGTGTTTTAACTCGGAGTACCCAAGACACAATTTTTATTAGTACTATACACTGTTTGACACTGTAGACCGTTTCATGCTGTATGTTCAAGGTGTGTTCTAATAAAATAAAACCTGTATTTTACTTTTTCTGAAAATACTTGTAATAAATAAAATTTTTGAATAAATTTTGATGAAATATCGCCATATCAGATCGTTCTAAATGTATATAGATTTCTCCACTAATGCATTGCTTAATTTTTTTTTATTTTTGATGGAAATTGGCATTAATATAACAAGACACGCAAAGAAAAATAAGTACAATAGCGGAGATATCACCGTAAGCCATTCAAAATTTACGTAAACTTTAGACTTCTCTTCAGGCACAATAATCTTAAAGATGTTCGACATGAAAGCGTTTCTTTCTTTAGTTGTATTTTCTTCCGTTATAACTTTTTCCTGTTGCGGTAAGTTTTTTATTCAAATAATTGAGCTCTTATTTTTGAAAGTGGTTTTTCCAAAGTCCAATATTTAACAAAAATGAGTTAATGGTATAATTTCAGTAAGATATAGACACATTTTGTCTATATTTATAATCATACATTCAATGGAGTACCATTTTTTTATAAAGTCAACAAAAGAACTTGGTATAAAATGTTATCACAAAAATATTTTTTTGAAAGTGGAATAAGTCCATTTCTAAGAATTATATTTAAAACAATTTTCTTGTTGCAATTATTACTGATTATTGTTACTTTTGTGTATGCTGTTCAAGACTATTATAATTCCCCCCCAATAAATGCTTAAAAAAATAACTTCATTTTGTATGAAATGAAAAAAGAAGCCTTAATGAAATATCTAGAAGATCTCTAAAATACGGATCGAAAAATTGCAAACTGGCTTAAAATATGTTGGATGAATAAAATTAGTATTATGATCGAGACAAAAAACGGCGTCAGCGATGGCTATGAAGTGAAGATCACTGTCATTTTGTATGTAAAATTATATGGGGAGTGTCATTGATCATTTCCAAGCGATCTAGCGCCGTTTTTGTTCGATCGTACTGTACTGCAAAGTTTAAAATATATATTTTTTTAATTTAAAGATCCTAACGAAGTAGTTTTTATTTTTATATTGTTAGAAATTAATTTTAATAGACTTAGTTATTTGTGTATTTAAATGTCTTCATTTTAATTATTACTCTTTACATAAAAAATCCATTTCAGTAAAGCTAATGTGTCTAAAAATATGGCCTTAAATTTACTCCTGTATTTATTTCTTTTAATATGTTATTTTTGGAAGTCCATTTGGAGTTTAAAAAAACTGTTTATTTGTTGTGAGAATTGTAATAGGTACTTGTTATTTCATAATGAAATTTAAAAGATGTATAGTGTTGATAACGTCACTTGAATATATTAAAGTTTACAAATATTTTTAAATTAATTCAAATGCAAAACCTTATATATGTCGATACCTGGAAAAATGTACTTTTACCACTTTCAAAAATAACAGCTCAATTGTTATCAGATATTTTTTTCGTGTAGTTTAAAAAATCAGCTACTTGTTTCCAAGTGGCGTTTGAAACGTTCAAAATATTAATTATTTAAGTTTATTTTCTGGGATTGTTGCATTTTTTTGGACTATATTTGTTGTTTTAGTTGTGAAAGCTAAACAATGCACGCTACAGACAAATTGCAGTTTAATCAAGAACACCACTTGTTTGCGAGGAGTGTGCCTCTGTGGTGATAATCATCCTCCTAACAATGGAGAGTGCTCGGCTCAATTGCAAGGTAGGAAAAGTATTTTTTACCGAATTGCCATGATCTAATTTGTCAGAAATTAGCATAAGACCCCCCTTGAACCACTTCTTTTCGTTAGAAAAAAAAATCAATAATAAGTTTGTTGACTGCGTATGGTAATTAATACCTACCATTATTACCACCCTGGCACTTGATATAATTTTTATGTTTGGGTCAAGTCAAATTAATATTCTGTCGTCTTGGAAAAACTTGTTAATTCAGGTCACTCACTTTTACTAAAAGATTTATTTTTATCCAACATAAGTTTATACTTCGTCGAAAAATAAATGTTTAATTTATTTATGTAAAGTATGTCTAATGAGAGAATATCTTATAGCAAAAAGTGTGTTAAGTATACTCCTTCGTCTTGTCGAGCGTTACTAGAATGTAGAATGTTTGGGTGGGGGGTTAATCACTGATGTGATCATCACTAAATGTGCTCATCTGTATGATACAGGTGTTCTGGTGTTTGCCCATTTTCTCTACAGAATCTACATTCGCCGTTGTTTCTCAGCTTCAATCTACTTTGGTGTTTGTTGAGGAGACAGTGTTCTGTTAAAAACCCCTTGACAATCCGATTATTCTTACTTAAATATAGAAAAATCTTTGATTCTTCTCGGTCGTAAGTTCTGAGAAGGAGAATAGTTCTGATCCAGTTGTGGGAGTGTTTGCTCCACCTATGAATAGTTCAGGTTATAAGAAACTCTGTTTTCTAAAAGATCACTTAGTTTTTACTAAAAGGTTTATTTTTATCCAACATCAGTTTTTGAGTTTTATACTAAACCCTTTTAGGTAAAACAGAGTTAACTGTGACCTTTCGTATTTCGATCAGGAAAGCAACATTAATATTAATCATAGTTGTCAAAATTACATCTTATTAATCACGAAATGTGCGAGCTTCAGGAAAAAAAAGAACACAACAAAAGAATTTTGCGAGTATGTGGTTTATGTCGTGACCAGGATTAGTTCGAACGATATCTTCGTATTTTAGCCTGAACTATAAGGGCAGTTCGAACGTTTGAATTTTGATAGGTCACAAATTTAATATGCCTTTCGTGCGAAATGTGGTAAAACCCTCACTTAACAGCTTTATTTATTTTTTATTCCTTGTTGAAAATTATTTAAAAAAATATTTTTCACCTCTCCTACAAAAACTCGTGATTTATTCGTAGGTCCTAATCATATATGTTCGAAAAATGAGGATTGCGTAGATAACGCTGATTGTATTCCAATGAAGGAAGTTAATAAAGTTCCCAAGGAAATTTCACATTTAAGCTTAACTCCAGATTTGAGCATTTGCAGATGTCAAGAAGGGTATACTGAAATTGGGGCAACTTGTGGTGGTAAGTTTTGCTCTAAAATCATATCTTCAAGCTCTCATCATTACCCAAGTACCGTATGATCGAAAAAAAACGGCGTCCAGTTGGCTTGGAAATGAAGATCGATGACAGTCCCCATATATAATTTTACATATAAAATGACGTTTTTTTTCGATCATACGGTACTTCAAAGAAGCCATCATATGATTTTAATATAATAACCTCCACGGCTGAGATCCTTAACTTGACAGTTTGACATAAAAAAATAAGTATTATCCAGAGTAGAGCTGTAAACTATAATATAATAAAAATTCTCCTTTGACAGGTTTAGTTATACTCCTCCGAAACGCCTTAACCGATTTTGATAAAATTCCATATACAGAGTGTCCCAGAAATAAGCGCAAGTATTTTAACTGGTAGTATAGTACAATTATGAGCAGAAACACGCCTGAGTTTTTTTTGGCGAAAAAATTTAAAAAAATTTTGGAATTTTTTTTAGTTTTTAGTTAAAAAAACATAATTTCTTGATAATATGGCAACATAGGTATTAGATTAAATTTACAAGAAAGAAAATCCAGAAAAGATCCAGTGGTTCTCAAAATTGTAGCAAAAAATATTTTTTTTTTGTAAATTTACAAGTTAAAATAACTCCGTTATGTTGGACTTACTTGAAAACGATAAAGAGAAAATATGTTTCTTTTATCGAGACCTTTACCACTTAAAATACTTGCACTTATTTCTGGGACACCCTGTATATATTCGGTAGGTCTGAGAATTGGTTGTTATCTAAAACCCCGCCTTTTTGGACAAAATTTTTTATTTTTATTTGTGTATGATGTGGCATTAAAAAATACATACAACCCTAAATTTTCACCCTTCTACCATCAACCCCTATTTTTCAATAGGGATTGTTTTTTTTTCACTATATTGTTACCAAGTTACCATACTCCTCCGAAACGGCTGGACCGATTTTGATAAAACTCCATATACAGAGTGTCCCAGAAATCAGTGCTAGTATTTTAACTGGTAGTATAGTACAATTTTTTTTTTGCAAATTTTCGAAGTTAAAATAACTCCGTTATGTTGGACTTACTTGAAAACGATAAACAGAAAATACGTTTCTTTTATCGAGACCTTTACCTCTTAAAATAAAATATCGAGATCTTTACCTCTTAAAATACTTGCACTTATTTCTGGGACACTCTGTATATATTCGGTAGGTCTGAGAATTGGTTATCTAAAACCCCGCCTTTTTGGACAAAATTTTTTATTTTTATTTTTGTATGATGTGGCATTAAAAAATACATACAACCCTAAATTTTCACCCTTCTACCATCAACCCCTATTTTTCAATAGGGATTGTTTTTTTTCACTATATTGTTACCAAGTTACCATACTCCTCCGAAACAGCTGGACGATTTTGATAAAACTCCATATACAGAGTGTCCCAGAAATCAGTGCTAGTATTTTAACTGGTAGTATAGTACAAAATTTTTTTGCAAATCTTCGAAGTTAAGATAACTCCGTTATGTTGGACTTACTTGAAAACGATAAACAGAAAATATACTTTATCGAGACCTTTACCCTTTAAAAATAAAATATCGAGACCTTTACCTCTTAAAATACTTGCACTTATTTCTGGGACACTCTGTATATATTCGGTAGGTCTGAGAATTGGTTATCTAAAACCCCGCCTTTTTGGACAAAATTTTTTATTTTTATTTTTGTATGATGTGGCATTAAAAAATACATACAACCCTAAATTTTCACCCTTCTACCATCAACCCCTATTTTTCAATAGGGGTTGTTTTTTTTTCACTATATTGTTACCAAGTTACCATGCTCCTCCGAAACGGCTGGACCGATTTTGGTAAAACTCCATATACAGAGTGTCCCAGAAATCAGTGCTAGTATTTTAACTGGTAGTATAGTACAATTTTTTTTTGCAAATTTTTGAAGTTAAAATAACTCCGTTATGTTGGACTTATTGAAAACGATAAACAAAAAATACGTTTCTTTTATCGAGACCTTTACCTCTTAAAATAAAATATCGAGATCTTTACCTTTTAAAATACTTGCACTTATTTCTGGGACACTCTGTATATATTCGGTAGGTCTGAGAATTGGTTATCTAAAACCCCGCCTTTTTGGACAAAATTTTTTATTTTTAATTTTGTATGATGTGGCATTAAAAAATACATACAACCCTAAATTTTCACCCTTCTACCATCAACCCCTATTTTTCAATAGGGGTTGTTTTTTTTCACTATATTGTTACCAAGTTACCATACTCCTCCGAAACGGCTTAACCGATTTTGATGAAATTTTATAATATGTATATTCAGTAGGTGTGAGAATAGGACAAAAATTTGACAAAATTCTTCATTCATTAAAAAATACATTCAACCCTACATTTTCACCTTTCTACTATCAACCCCTATTTTTTAATAGGGGTTGTTTTTTTTTAATTTTTTGTTACCATACTCCCCCGAAACGTCTTAACTATATCGATTTTTATGAAATTTTATATATATATTCTGTAGGTCTGAGAATAGGTTGTTAGGTTAGGTTAGGTTGTAGCAACATCATCAATCCTATTTTTTAATAGCGATATTGGTAATTCATATTGTTTTTAAAAATTGCTAGAAAAACGTATGTATGATTGGGTATATCCCGGGTATAATAGTATTTACCCAAATTCAATATACCTTTTGGGTATATACCGGGTGCAAAAACTTGGGTATTTACCCAAATTTCAACATACCGGGTACTTACCCATCACCCATCACTGACCTTAGCCACAGCAAGGCATGGCCGTGTCTGCTAGTTTAAATATAGTATATTTTACAAGAAAATTCAATTTTGGCTTTTGTGGGTCCAAGAATTAATTTATAACAAAAATAGCCCTTTTAATCGTCACTTAGAGTTCTAAAAATATAAGTTCGTACGAAATATTACTCTCCTAACTAAACTACCTTTTAATTACCAACATTTTTCCATCAAAACTCAATTAAGCGAGGTTGCCAGAAATGATAATTAAAAGCTTTTCCACATTTTTATAAATCTAGCAAAGTGGAACAAGGAATCTGATAAGGCTGAAAACGAAAAGACATATCTGATTATCTTATAAATAAAATTCTTTCGTGATACAACGGCAACCTTTCTAAAAATCAGATGGATAATTTATGCTTTGCGTCATTGCTGCGCTTTCATGGATTTGCACGGAAAATTTAGCACCATCACGTTATGCTATTTCGGATAGGATTTCTTATTTGCGAGGACATCAAATAAAAATAAATTTAAACAAGTTGAATTCTAAGGAAAAACTTTTTAGTTTGAAACACAGCCTATTCCTTAGACAAACAGTCAACTTTATTTTTCTCAATTTTGTTGGTTGAATTGAATTGAGGTCTTTTGACATTTGATGTATGTTGACAGGCGCTTACTATGTACTACATGGTCAACAACGAATGGCTAACAGGCTGTGGTTTTGAGGAACTTCCGTAAAAGAAAAACATAAAATCAAGTCAAGGCAGTTCTTTTTTCTGAAGTGGTAGAATTTGACCCACTGTTTAATAGAAATATTATTTTTAGCGTCATATTTAAAATTCTATTCAATTAAAATGTCATTTTTCTTCTAACCTTGTCACAATTCTAAAATAAGACTACCTTATATTCAAAGTGATTTTTTTGTAAAGCAAAGGAAAATAGAAAGAAAATTAATCTATTCGTTTAATCAAGAAGTTACAAGAAAAAAAATAATGGGAATTGATTCAAAAGAGATGTTTAAATACACGAGCGATATAGAAAGGCGTGTTTTTTTATGTGGAAATCTTATACAACAGAAAATTTATATTTAAAAAAAACGTTGTGCATATTTACAGGAGTTGTAAGAAATTGGATCAATACTTCTCCGCCAAGAAACTCACTTAATTTGCTTAGTATTTAATGCATTATTTTTAATTTTAAACGCAGATTAATTTTAGAAACTTCCATTAAACATACATAGCATTTTAGGAAGACTAGATTAAGATTGTTATAATTGCATTTACTAATATATTTTAATTTTCAGGTGAAAAACTGTTGAGCACTGTACCAGTTATGCTTATAGCTGTAGTAATCTTCAAAATATTTAATTAATTCGATAAAATGCCTTTTTTAACTTTAATAAAAATCATATCAAACGCACATCTACTATTGTGTCTTTAATTTGTAAGCTTTATAATATCATTTATCACCCATACTCCATAATTGTTTTTTTGTAAAAAATCACAAAACGATTCAGAATAAAAAAAAAAGATTTAGATATAGGGAATTCTCATGAATGTACTCCTAACATTATTCACATTCTTCTAAATGCAATTCACATTTATATAGTGTGTCTTAATTTTATATAAGTCACAGCTGATATAATATCTAAGAAATTTTATAATATTACCCAGCTTCTTATAGATCACACGTTATTTTGTAAATCAAATTTATATTTTAGGCCATTAAAGTGATTTAATCTGTAAAAATATATATTTGTGTTATCGTATAATATAGTAACTTTAATCTTAGGAAAAACGACAGTACATTTTGCGAATCTACAAACAAATAGATTCAAATAATTGGTGAGAATAAATATAACTGTCAATATACCAGTGGCGTATTCATGGGCGCCGGAAGAATGAAATTTAGGGGGGCAAGGTAAAAATGAATAAAAAATTTACATTTTTGGTAATTATTGGGAAAACTGGAAATCGTCCGATTTTCACCAAAATTGGTATACACCCTATTTTGAAGTCGTAGATTACGAATTTGAACGTTACGAATCTTTTTTCTTGGCGGTCTCTTACCGTTTTTGAGAAAAACGGAAAATAATTTCAATATCGAATTTTTCTTAATTTCTCATATGTTTAAGGTTTTCTAGCACATATTTTGTTAGGTATTCAATAATCAATAATGTTTTTGCTCTTTTCTGTTACTTTTTTAACCAATTCTATGCATAATAGAGGAAAATTTGTTAAAATAAATTTGTAAACAATCTGAAAATGTTAGATTATGGCTTTGTTCGGGTTCTTGTTATTACCGATTCTGAACCGTCCAAGAACTCTGCAGCGCATGCGCAAATGAAGTAATGTCTTCATATTTCCTTCTGCGCATACACATCACAGTTCTAGGACGGTTCAGAATCGGTAATAAGAGAAACCCGAAGTAAGTTTATGTCTTTCTGGCATTTAAAGCAACGTTGCCAATGTTAAACCTAAATTTAGCGTGTTTTTTTCGCTCATTCTGGAATTACGAAAGGCGGTCGCCAGAAGAACGGCTCCTTCCCATAACTGCTATTTTACCAACGAGATCTGACTATTTATACCCACGAAGTTGCACGAAAAAGTTTTGATTGCATTGGTTACAACTTCCATGCAGAGGGTGTTAATCTTTTGTTGTTATATTATTAGATTAACTAAGAAAAGATTAACCTCCTCCGCAAAGAAGTTAAAACCAATGCAATCAAAACTTTTCCGCGTAATTTTGTGGATATTGGTGTATATTTAATTATTGTTGATCTCATAATAGGTAATTTATTTAAATTCCGTAATCACCCGAAAAAATAGAAGATATGGCAACGTTGTAAATTTTCAAATTTCTAGATTAGGTCTAGAATAAATTTGTCTCTCTTATTACATAGGAGAGAGAAAGAAGGATATATCAAATGTCAAACTTCCATCTGGTCTCAATTTTCTTTGCTATTTTGTTAAGAAAAGTGTTTTTCAGTAAAATGTTGGACACTTTTCTATCCCCAATCAAGTGTGGCTTTTAGATAAACTATAATATAATGAAAATATAGTGAAATTATTACTTTATAGGGCCGAAATAAAGAAAAATTCAATGTTGAAATAATTTTCCGTTATTCTAAAAAACGGTAAGAGACCGCAAGAAAAAAATAGATTCGTAATCTACGACCTCAAAATAGTGTGTATACCAATTTTGGTGAAAATCGGACGATTTCCAGTTTTCCCAATAATTACCACATTTTTTATTATTTGACAGGTAACACCTAACAATTTCATAATAATGATTATTTTTTTTACAGATGGATGTAAGAAGATAGTTTTTATTTTTATTGATTCAGTGATCCAGGGGGGGGCCAATGCCCCCTCTTGCCCCCCCTGTCCGGCGCCCATGGGCGTATTATCTAAAGGGAACCCTAAAAAGTTGAGATTTTTAAATAAAAAGACATACTGATTAAATTATTATAAATATGATTTTGACGAAAAAAAATAATATATATTTTGCTAGATAAGTAACTTCATTCCCTTTAATTAATATGCTGATTTGGGGGGTCATTGATTAATATGTTGAAGTTTTTACAAACAATTAGTGATATAATATTGTTTGTAAAGTGCTGATATATTATAGGAATAGGGTTTGCGGAACCGGGCTGTTTTTTGGAACAGGAAATTTCGGTACCGCGCCTCTTAGGAACCGGGATTTCCCTTTTTTTCGGTACTAACTAATTTTTGTTCAATGATAGTGCGTGTAAAAATGATAGTTCATCAACTAGAAAACAAGAGATGGGTTTCCAAAGTAAAATCGGTAAAAAATTGAGATTTTTAATTAAAATATTATTTTAAGTAATAGGAAAAAAATGTGTGTAACTTAAAATTTACATTTTTTTACATTACTTCAAAGGAGAAAAGGAGCAAGAACAATATGAAATAGCATTATTCCTTATTTAGAATTTGATTTCGACCTCTAGAAAGTGTCAAAGGTCTTTCTGACGTAACAAGATTTTTAATTATTGTTAGCGAGCCCTGAATGAACCGGAAATTAATTTCAAGGCCCGGTTCTGTGATGGCCAAAAAGATCCGGAAATTCCCGGTACTTTCAAAACCGGGATTTTCCGGTTCTGAACCATATTTGGGAGTATTAATTAGTGTTTCCGGAACCGGAGCTGGTGTTTCGGAACCAGGAACTTGGGTGCAATGCCTCTAAGGGACCGGGATTTTCCGGTTTTGTCGGTACTTTCGGTACTAGCAAATTTTTGTTCAATGACTGTGCCGTTCGTCAAGCAAGCAAGAAATGGTTTTCAGAAGTAAAACCGATAGAAAATTGAGTTTTAAATGAAAATAGTATAAAATTATTAAGTAAGAGAAAATTATTATCAGTCATGAGAAAATTTATATCAAACAACATAAACCAACTTAACAAAATTTGAAAAAAAAAATACATTTTCAATTAAAATTGCAAATGCCTGTAAAAACATAACATAAATATAACTACTACGTTTAGCATTGGGAATTAATAATTTCGAGTCCCGGTTCTGATTCCTATATAGTAACTATTCAAAAAATCTAGTATTATAAGAGCAGCTTTTGTTATTAGTACTTCACAAAAACTATGTATAAGTCTCCTCATCACAATAGTTATGACAGCCATTTTAGATTATGCTGGAGTAACACTACAGTACCTAAAATGCACCGAAAATTGTTAAAGCACACAATTTCTTGGATATATTCGATTGTAATTTTATATGTTTATGGTTATTTATATAATAAATAAACTATTGGGTTTTAGTAACTTTTTATTTAATTTTTTTTTCCTAACAGTAATAAAATATTAATTGTGATGTAAATAATGAAACACCAGAATTACAATAATCACTTTTATTTGACTAAATAATAGAAATATTAAAATACAGATATTTTGTAATAATACTTTAGACCTAGAATGTTTGAAGACATAAAATTAGAGGAAAAATATAGAGACATAGTAATACTTATGAATTAAAATGGAATAAACGTATTTCAGACACTTTTACGTTTAAAAAATACCTTTGACTAGAATTAGAATATTTTTTTTATTTGATGGAAAATATTTAACGTTTACTTTTCGGTTTGGAAGTAGTAACTAAACTAGAAACTTTATTAAACATCCTAAAATTACTAGAATGGCACAGTATTGTCGTATTAAACAGAAATACAAAACCGAGTTCGTTCATATAAAAAACTCTCACAGAATTGCTAAATATAGAAGGATCACACCAATTGATTGGAATGGTAGTCATGTATTGACGTCGTTATCCATGTAGATACGAAAAAAAATCAGTCTTTATACACACCATATATCAGATTTCTTAAAACATTAACAGCAATCTCCCTTATTTATTGGCAAGGGCTGAACAACAAGAGGGGATGGAACATCGGAATTCCCAAAGGGGTTTCAGCGTTAAACAACGCTTAAGGTATCACATGAAACATTCATTTTGAACTAACGTGGCATTAAATTATACTAAATGCGAATATCAGTAGTAGGAATGTCAGAGGAGGAATTGTAACTTTGGCAACTGCGGACTCGCAACGTAGATCGTCGCGGGGGTAGAAGTTCGAGGGGGGTGCTTCGTCACCCTTCTTGCAATGTTCCCCCCTGCTTTCGAATTCTTTCTGAAAATTAAAACATAATATAATTTTTTTTATTTTAGTTGAATCATTTATTAAATTATGATTTAAAAATATTCACATATTCGTATATATTTTGATTCCTTTTTGTAACGGAAATACTTTTAAATTATTGGAAATAAATTTTGAATTCTTTGAATAGGTCAGCTCCTTGACATGGCCTGACCTATTTCAAAACATTCCTTTTTAAACTTGTTATTCTTTGGACTGATTGAAGGCGAAAAACATTAATTTTTCAACTGGATTGACTTTTAAAAATTGGAAATTAGTTCTAGATACAGCATTGGCCATAAGTGGATGAACTTTGTTAAAATAATGGGTTTTTCCTAATATGTTTAAAATTAAAATTTGAGCTATATTTACTTGAAGTCTAGTGCCAAGACTCTTCCAAAGCTGCAAATAATTCTTGCTTATTTTTGTAGAATTTGGTCCTAATGTGTTGATCCAAAATTTCCCATAAATTTTCTATTGGATTCAGGTCTGGGGATTGCGATGGCCATTTGAGAACAGTCACCATTTCATCTTCCAAAAACCTTTTAACCAATTGTGAGGCATGTTTCGGGTCGTTATCATATTGGCAGTAGTGTACAACTGGCATTTTTTCCTCCAAATAAGGCACTAAAAGGTTTTGTAAAATGTCTCTGTAGCCAAACCGATCCGTTATGCCCTCAATTTTATGGAGAGCCCCATCCCATACCCAGAAAAACACCCCCATACCATGATGATTGAGCCCCCACCATGTTTTACAGTGGGTCGCGTGTACTTTGGTAGCAATCGTGTGTTGGGAGGTCTTCTTACATGTTGAATTCCATCTGATGACACCAAGTTAAACTTTGATTCATCACTAAAACAAACTTTTTCCATTGTGCCACAGTCCAGTTTTGATATTCCTTGGCAAATGCTAATCGGGCCTTCAATTTTTTTTGATAGCAGTGGTTTCTTGGCGGGTCTTCGGAAAAACCACTTCTGGTCAACTAATTTACGTCGGATCGTCCTTGTACTCACTGGTGGATAGCCTGGTAGTGGATTTCTTCAAGTTTTGCTTTTATCTTCGTTGACGGCAAAAATGGATCTTGTGAAGAAATTCGTTTTATGGCTTTTATCATATTGGGACCAACTTTTTAGGTCGTCCTGGTTTTCTTTTTATAGAGACATCTCCTCTCTCATTATATCTCTTTAAAATATAATGTACCGCTGATTTTCTAGGCGTAATTGCTTAGCGATTTCCGATTACTTCAAACCATCCTTAAAAGCATTCACTACTCGCAACTTAAGATCTGCAGACAAGTTAATTCCACGTGGCATGATATATCACAAGAGCTCAAATGTTTTTAAATCGCAATTGTTCATAAAAGCAGAACAAATGAAACTAACGATTTTTAAAAATATTTGGTTCATCTACTTTTGTCCAAGACAAAAAGCAATATTTGCCAATTCTTATCTATAAATGATAAGACTAACAGAAGAATTTATATTTGTTTGTAGTATTTTGGTGAGAATGTATTAAACTTTTAACATACAAAGGTACATAAAATAATTTTGATATTTAACACCTCAAATCTGATTTTCTTCGCAATTATTGGTATTGGTTCATCCACTTTTGGCCAATACTGTACGTTGGCAACAGAAAACTGTGGTAATAATACACAGGGTGTAGTGTAAAATGCATTTTTTTACCCTTGTTTTTGAGCGATTTTTGAAAAAAAAAAGAAATATGTCTACATCTAAAACCGTACTCCCGCAACATACGCCAGCAACAGAAATTGAATGATATACAGGATGTACTATTTTAAGAGCCAATTAAATTAACTTACGCTGCAAAATTCTTTGCAAGGCGGACAAATAATGCCTCCCTTATGCAACCACCCGTTGCTCATGATCCTAATGGTAATTTCTTGATTTGCGTGGTAACACTCGTACGAATAGTTTCCGACCTAGAAAGGAAATTATGGTAAATTAAATGGTTTCGGCTCAAGGAGACTGGCCCACTAACCAGAACGTGTAAACGGCCGTTTTGGCATCGATATCCGTAACATCCGGAGCCCCAGTGCATCCACTGCCTCATTTGACCACAGGATTTTTCCTCCCACATGTGATTGGTGTGCTCAAAGCACCTAGAGTTCTCTCCGTATTTTTCCAGAGCAAAATTTTTATCCGGATCTGCGAAAAAAAATGATTTTTATTATCTGATGATTTTTTTTTGGTTTAAGTATTACTGGGATTGTTTTCCGTATATTGGCAGTGGGATCCTCGCACTATAACATTTTGGGATCTCCAAGTAAACTCCTGAATGTAAGGGCAATAATCTGCTAGAGCTACTGATCCACCATAAAATCCCTCTTTCCCACTTTCCACGTACTGAATACTATCAAAATTCTTTAAAAAAATTAACTTTGAGTATATCAAAATTCTGGAGATCTGTTCTTACCTGATAAATTTTTGGTAGTTCTTCCTTGTGTTCGATCAAATTGCAGAGAGCTACTGATGTTCTATCGTCAGTACATTCGGTCTGAAGAGGATCCCTCTTAACTTTATTGCAAAATGGATGGATAGAGAAACCCCTAAAAATTAAAACAATATTTTAAAACTTGTGTAAGATCTTATTTTGACTTATTTGACTTTGAACTATGTAGACAGTTTTCGAACCACTTGGAAAAATAGTAACCGTAGCAACAAAATTTTTAAAATCTCAGCACTTGTAGGAAATTTCATGTTGATTATAAATATGTACACCTTTAAAGGCTTAGATATCTAGGTTTTGAGGGAAAATTAATTTTTTAGGCCCTTGTTTTGAGCTTTTTTTAATGATGGTTAAAACGGTCTAACGGATATTTTCTTATTCTACAGTTTTCAGTTAGTAAATAACAGCAGTTTTAACAACATCGATGACATGACGAAAATCGCCAATTTTCAAAAATGCCCAATTTTTGGCTATTTTTTACACATTTTTAATGGACTTATAAAGATAGTAATCATAGTCATAAAATTATGAAAATTTCAGAATTTATAGGAAATGTTATGTAGATTCTGAATATATACACCTTTAAAGGCTTAGATATCTTGGTTTTATGAAAAAAATAATTTTTTGGGTCCTTGTTTTGAGCTATTTTTGATGATGGTTAAAACGTGTTCTACATCTATTACTGTTCTCATACGACTACAATGGCCTTACTTTCTTATTCTGTGCCTTTTAATTAGTAAATAATAGTAGTTTTAACAAAATCGATGGAATGCCGAAAATCGCCATATTTCACGGAAATTTTCAATGGAAAAAAATAAAAAATGGCCATTTTTGGCTATTTTTTACACATTTTAAAAGGCATTAGGAAGATAGTAATCATAGTCATAAAATTATGAAAATTTCAGCATTTATAGGAAATGTTATGTAGATTCTGAATATATACACCTTTAAAGGCTTAGATATCTTGGTTTTATGAAAAAAATAATTTTTTGGGCCCTTGTTTTGAGCTATTTTTGATGATGGTTAAAACGTGTTCTACATCTATTACTGTTCTCATACGACTACAATGACCTTACTTTCTTATTCTGTGCCTTTTAATTAGTAAATAATAGTAGTTTTAACAAAATCGATGGAATGCCGAAAATCGCCATATTTCACGGAAATTTTCAATGGAAAAAAATAAAAAATGGCCATTTTTGGCTATTTTTTACACATTTTAAAAGGCATTAGGAAGATAGTAATCATAGTCATAAAATTATGAAAATTTCAGCATTTATAGGAAATGTTATGTAGATTCTGAATATATACACCTTTAAAGGCTTAGATATCTTGGTTTTATGAAAAAAATAATTTTTTGGGCCCTTGTTTTGAGCTATTTTTGATGATGGTTAAAACGTGTTCTACATCTATTACTGTTCAAATACGACTACAATGGCCTTACTTTCTTATTCTGTGCCTTTTAATTAGTAAATAATAGTAGTTTTAACAAAATCGATGGAATGCCGAAAATCGCCATTTTTCACGGAAATTTTCAATGGAAAAAAAACAACCATTTTTGGCTATTTTTTACACATTTTAAAAGGCATTAGGAAGATAGTAATCAAAGTCATAAAATTATGAAAATTTCAGCATTTATAGGAAATGTTATGTAGATTCTGAATATATACACCTTTAGAGGCTTAGATATCTTGGTTTTATGAAAAAAATAATTTTTTGGGCCCTTGTTTTGAGCTATTTTTTTTGATGATGGTTAAAACGCGCCTCCTACATCCATTACTGTTCTCGTAAGACTACAGTGTCCTATATTTTCTTATTCTACGCGTTTGAATTAATAAATAAAAGCAGTTTTATCAAAATCTGTGACATGACGAAAATCGCCAATTTTCACACTAGTGTTGTTTTAATGAGACTTTGAGACTTTCCTCATTTTAGGGAAAAAATGGAGGCCTCCTTTCAGTTTCAAATATGCTCTACCAATAATCATGACTAGTAAACCAACCTAGAGGCTTTCATGTTGATCCATTCCTTACAGCTTTTCATTACGAAATCGCATCCCAAGTTCTTGCCCCAAGTCATATCGCCTGCCATGGAATAGTTTGCTACATACCACCCTGTATCCTCCATCAGAGCAAGTGTAATACGAGATATTATGGGGTTCTGGGTATGGGTTCCAGTCATAGCTTCGTTCTAAAAACAAACAGATTTTCAAGTAGTCGAAAATTTGAAAAAAAAAATTAAAATATTTTTTTGAAGAACCTCTGTATCCCTCCAAAAAAAATATGTTTATATAAGACCTATTTTTAAAAATATCTTATATAGGATTTAATAATATAGTCTGTGAAACGAATAACTTTGAATTTGACAATTCCCGCGGGCTTTTCTAGTGTTAATTTTATTAGATTAGCAACTTGCGGCCATGCTGACGCAATGCCGTCTCTAATAGAACAGCCTCGAGCGAGATTTATTACGTCACGCTAGTTAGATACTACTGATTAATAAATATGTTGTAGAATACATGGAAAAGATAATTATTCCTCGCATTTTTGGTTTGTATTTTAAAAATGATATAGTTTAGATGAAATATACATAATATACAGTTAATAAATACAATATATATACCTATTTATAGTAATAAATACTTTGGCAAATAAATTATGAACCATACAAATGCAGCAAATGTTTTACAATATACAAATAATGAATAGGTACATTGACTATTGCTGAAATCGTACTCCATAGTCAATGTAGATAGTTTTAGTGTTAAGAATAATAATTTTAAAAATTATCTTTTGACAAGTTTATATTAGTTTATTAATTGCAGTAAACATTATGTGGTGTGTAGTCTGAATATTTTATATGTCATTTTTTGGATTATATTCGACACTATTTTTTTCATATGACACAACACTGATGAAGGCTATAATGTTAGCCGAAAGGTTTTTTAAACCAAATTTAAATAATGAAAACCAAATGAAAACTTAATCAGCGTTTTTCCCGAAATCCCAAGAAAAATCAAAAATTTTAGAATAATTTTACATATTATAAAATGACAGCGATCATTATTTCATAGCCTTTTTTTTTTTCTATGATATTGTATTATTTGCAAATATAATTTTTTTGAACATTGATACTTGCAAAATATACATATAAATTTTGTGAATGCAAATAATAATATATCACTATTAGTAGATATTGAATGTTTTTTGTTAAATTAGATCGATTTTCAAACCCCAAAATTTAAAATATATTTTACATTTTACCCATTATCCTATGTACCTATTCATTATTTGTATATTGGAAACATTTGTTGCATTTGTATGGTTCATAGTTTATTTGCCAAAGTATTTAATACTATAAATAGGTGTATACATTGTATTTATTAACTGTATATTATGTATATTTCATGTAAACTATATCATTTTTAAAATACAAACCAAAAATACGAGGGAGAATTATGTTTTCAATGTATTCTACAACATATTTTTTAATCCGTAGTATCTAACTAGTGTGACGTCATAAATCTCACTCCGTGGCTGTTCTATTAGAGACGGCATTGGTCTGATATTTAAAAATGTCAAAAGCTGATGACATTTTACTTTTGACAATTATGACATTTCGTGTTGATTTTTGTAAGAAGAGGAAAAACTGTCACTTGTTTTATTATTTTCCTTTTCTATTCCACGAAAGTAAAAAGAGTTACCTATCTGATCCGTTCAGGCACTCAATTTAAAGAATTTCAGTAACTTTTTTGACAGAGGGATTTTATATTTGCCATGTTGGTAAAAAATAACAGTCAAAATTCAAAGTTATTCATTTTATAGACTATAGTCCAGGAGGCAGTGAAGATTTTCGCTATTTAAAAGAGCAAACATTCACTCATCTGCCAGTTTCGTAAATCAGGCAGGCTTGATTTCAAGCACGGGAAAATAAGGGTAACGGATTTTAAAAATCTGTCAAATGTTTGCATCCGTAAATTTTCAACCAGACTGACTTTTCTCCACTTGGGATGTGCCACTTTGCTGTCATTTCCATTAATAAAACGATTCACTTTAATAAATGTCAAATATTTATGACTGGGAAAATAAGTAGACTTTTTTTATTTTTTTATCTAGGGAACCCATCCGAAAATTTTAGCCAGACTCAAAAATTATCATTTAATGTTACCATTTACACTCTTACTTTTATACACCCACTGGGAAAATAAATACAAAAAAATTAACTGCTTCCTGGACTATAAAATATTTGTTAAATATGCTATAAACCGAAAAATTATAACAAATATTGTGCTCATACTTTATTTATTCACTACTACTCTCTGCGTTTTATTAAAATGCCACATCCCGTTTTTAAAATAAAGTTAAGTTACAAACAATATATAATTTATAAACATCGGTTCATTAATAGTTCGAAACTGCACTCCTAAAATTTGAATATTACAATTTCGAACATATAGGTATAAATTTATTTTATACTGGTAATATAACACCTTATATTGAATTGCTGTTCGCTGTTCTATATACCTACACTAAATTATAATTAACATATTTTGATTGTTTGAACTTCAAACAATTTGAAAAGAGATGTTTTATAACTAAAGCTACTTTTCATTTAGGTGTTCCAAGTTCCAAGAGATCAAAAGAATTGGCGAAAAAAATATAATTATAGAGGTAAGTCCATTTTTTTAAATAATAAAAATAATTTAAGACGCCTAAAAGACATTTATTTATAGTTCAATAAATAAACTACAAAGCCTTCAAAGGTAGTAATATCCTATTTGAAGCTTTATAATAAAATGGAACCATGTGTAAAATCGGAACGAATAAGGGCCTTCTCTGAACATACTTATTTTTGATCATAGAGAAGTTTCATTTTATCCAATTCTTTTCTTGTAAAGCTTCAAGCAGGTTTAGATTTTTCACCAAATACCGAGATATTGTGAATACGATTTTATACGCTTTTGGTATTTCTTTCTCCGATATTTTATCATGCGACGGGATATTATAAGATTTACTCTTTGTCGTTGAGGCTTTGCAAAAAAAATCAATAATAAAAATATTTTTAAAGCGTTTACTGTACCTCAAATACTCTCTTTTCCCAGTGAGTTAGAACTGTTCCTTCTTCACCTTGATCCTCCAGCTCGGCACCTTCCAACAAGGAACAGTTAAAATATTCTCTAGCTTCTTTCACTACGGTTGCTGTAGTCATAACTTGCACGTCTCTTGTCATATACCCTTCCTTTACTAACCAGGAACGTGTAAAGTTCTGTATAACTTTCTCGCTCCACTGGTACGTTTGCAAACTTCAATAAACAGTATTTTATATTTGAATTACATGACAAAAAGAAAACACAAAAAATGGTAAAAAATAGATCCGGCAATAGTGCGTCGGGCATCTGTAGCTCCTATAATAAAACATTTAGGAAATTTGTTAAGTGCAGACCTAAATTATGTAGTAGAATGTATTTCAGGAAAAAAATTGCATTCTTGGATTCCTTTCTGATCACTTTACAATATTTACAATATTCTAAAATATTGTAAAATATTTTTTGATAGTTTCAAAGATATTAAAAAATAAACAAAAAACAAATACTTTTTTCTGTCTTTAAGAAAAATATTAAAAATACAAGAAATATCCTGAAATCATACCTATACTACAGTATTAACAAAGACATTAGTATTAACTACAGTTAGTCTGTGTGTACTTACTTTCCTTCTTAAGCTCATACAAGGTTTTCAAAATTCTGTGGCAAACTTTCTAAAATATAAAATAGTTTTTCTTCATTTAAATCGAACGTCCTGTATATTATTCTTTTGTTAGAAGGAGAATGAAAAAATGAACTTAAAGCATTTCTAAATTTTTAACGGCTTTCGGAATTCGTAATATTATATTTCATATGGGTTTTTCAACAGTAATTTTTTATAAAGCTACCTATTATAGTGATTTTTGTCTGGTATTTTACAGTTGAAAGTGAATGTTGATGTAACAAAACTGCGAATATTTACGAAACCGCTAAAATATTTAAAATATTTTGAATACAAAAAAAATAATTTTTTAATTCTCCATCTAAAAAAGAAATAATATACAGGGTCTCTTTAAAAAAAGACGAAGAAAATTATTTTATATTTTAGAAAGTTTGGCATAGAATTTTGAATACCCCTGTATGGCTTAAGCTTACGATATTTATAGCAAAGTAAATACCGACCAACTAGTGTTGATTTTAAGACATTTCTTGTATTTCTGATAATTTTTTAAAGGCTGAAAAAATATTTATTTAATAATATTTTAGGATTATGTAAAGTGATCAGAAAAGAAGCCAAAAATGCATTAATATACAGGGTGTTTCATTTAAAAAAAATCATCCCGATCCACTCACATTTTTTTGAGCCACCCTATAGAAGTTAAAAGATTTTCCTGAGATACATCCTTAATACATACTTTAACTGCACTTAAACAAAATTCCTAAGTTTTTAATTATGGGAGCTACAGATACCTGACGCACTATTACCGGACCCTGTATAGGAGTTTTTTTCAATCTTCCTTTATGTGAATAAAAATGTTATTTATTTCGCTTACGCCTCATTTAGGGGTGGTTTTCCTGTCTCTGGGCTGCGTTCTGTCAAAGGGTTGCCTTCACGATCGCGATAGAAAGCATAGAGACTCACGGAAAAACCCAGCGCGTGAAGAATTTCGTGTTTGACAGTTGACAGTAGTATTTCTAGTTCTTGCCGACTCGTACTGATGCTTTCAGGACATAAATTTGCATGTCCTGCTATTGGCCTAAAAGGTTTAGAGAAAAACGCGTAAAACTAAAGAATATCAATAAAAAGTTAATTAACTTAAAATAAAATCTTAATTAATTCTTTCACTTCAGTATTTTAAAACGAACCTACTGAAACGACAGTTTTCAATAACATTTTTTATTGAAGTTATAAGGGTCTGTATTCCTTTTAAATAGCGTACTTCAAACTATATATAATTTTTATCTTATATGACTTCTTTCAGAATCTCATTTAGAGGTTCAAAAATAGAACGTTTTTTTATTAAAAAAGTAGAAAATATTGCTCGAATATTATTTAAACATGGTATAATATCGAAAATCTTTTTAAGATATTTTAAACACATTTTTAAGATATTTTAAGAACCAATATTCCTATTTGAATGAGATTTGGGGTGCCTAAGTGCTTTAACATTTGACTTGTTAACAAAATACCCCTACATAAATTTTAATAGAAATATGTTCCTACCCCACCGACCATTGATTTTTTTTTCGTGAAATGGTCCTCTGTGTTTACTACATATTTTGTCTCTTGTAAAAAACGCCAGATCGTATAGTTTTTGAGAATATTGGGACAGCCTGTATGAACATTTAAGGACTTAAGAGCTTTGGTTTTGTCAGAAAATCGATTGTTTGAATCCTTGCTGATTAGCGACTTTTGATGAGGGTTGAAACTTTTAGAAGATTTACTTCCAAGGCCACAAGCCTGTATTTTCTTATTCCTGTAGATTTTAATTATTCATTATAAAAGCTATATCAATAACGGTGACTTGCATATGGGGTGATTCATGGCTATGGTATATTTAGTGTTTATGGAGAACCGCTGAATTTTGGTAAACTCTGTCTCTAATAGTTTCTGAAAAATAAAATATTTTTTTTAAAAATGTCCGATTAAATGTATATCTCCGAAACTAAAGTTCCAAGAAAAGTCGTAATATATCTACAAATTCATTTACCCACTAGTAGTTATAAAAAGCATTTTTGGTAAACTCTGTCTCTAATAGTTTCTGAAAAATAAAATTATTTTTTTTAAAAAGGTCCAATTAAATTAATATCTCCGAAACTAAAGTTCCAAAAAAATTCGTAATATATCTAGAAATTCATTTACCCACTAGTAGTTATATAAAGCATTTTTGGTAAACTCTGTCTCTAATAGTTTCTGAAAAATAAAATTAATTTTTGAAAATGACCGATTAAATGTATATCTCCGAAACTAAAGTTCCAAAAAATTCGTAATATATCTAGAAATTCATTTACCCACTAGTAGTTATAAAAAGCATTTTTGATAAACACTATCCCTAATAGTTTCTGAAAAATAAAATTATTTTTTTTTAAAATGTCCGATTAAATGTATATCTCCGAAACTAAAGTTCCAAGAAAAGTCGTAATATATCTAGAAATTCATTTACCCACTAGTAGTTATAAAAAGCATTTTTGGTAAACTCTGTCTCTGATAGTTTCTGAAAAATAAAATTAATTTTTTTAAAAAGGTCCGATTAAATTTATGTCTCCCAAAACTAAAGTTCCAAAAAAATTCGTAATATATCTAGAAATTCATTTACCCACTAGTAGTTATAAAAAGCATTTTTGGTAAACTCTGTCTCTGATAGTTTCTGAAAAATAAAATTAATTTTTTTAAAAAGGTCCGATTAAATTTATGTCTCCCAAAACTAAAGTTCCAAGAAAAGTCGTAATATATCTACAAATTCATTTACCCACTAGTAGTTATCTGCTGTATGCAAAAATTTGGATTTTTGCATACAGCAGATGCCTCCATCGTTGCCGTTTCATAGTAAACGTGGTAGCATCTTTGTTACTTTAAATGGAACACCCGGTATGTTATTACATTTTTGGAAACTACTTCATATTCTCATAATTTTTTTATCTCAAAAACTGTATAATTGAAAAATTATGTGATATGAAAGTAGTTTCCACAAATGTGATAATATACCGGGTGTTCCATTTAAAATAAGAAAAATGGTACCAATTTTCAAATGATGTGGTAATATTGGAAAATATTATTTAGATAGATGGAGCAGGTGTCTTTATGCAAAAATCCAACTTTTCAAAAAAAATGTATCACCGGTTCTCCATAAACCATCGCTGTGAATCACCCTATATATCTATATACATATATTTATGAATGAAAAAACGGAAAATCCACCTTTTTGGCTATTTTTTACATGCTTTAAAAATACTACTCCTATACTAAGAAAAATTTACTCCTATTATTATAGAAAATTATACAGGGTGCCCCAGAAATAAGTGCCAGTATTTTAACTGGTAGTATAGTTCAACCTCAGAAACACGCCTATGAGGCTTTTTGCGCGAAATTATTTTTTGAAAATTCGAAATTTTTTGAAAAATTTTTTGGAATTTTTTTTAGTTTCTAGTTAAAAAACATAATTTCTTGATAATATGGCAACATAGGTATTAGATTAAATTTACTAGAAAGAAAATCCAGAAAGTTCTCAAAAAGATCCAGTGGTTCTCTAAATTTTAGCAAAAAATCATTTTTTTGGAAATTTTCAAAGTAAAATAACTCCATTATTTTGGACTTATTTGAAAAACGATAAAGAGAAAACATGTTTCTTTTGTCGAGATCTACCATCCCTTAAAATACTTGCATATATTTCTGGGACACCCTGTATATATTTGAATGTATTGGTAAGATCTTACCTATCTAATCCGCTCTCTTGCTGGCAATGGCTGGCATAAGCCACTGTCAATGATTTGTTGCATCTTTCGGACTGAATTGCTGACACATAAAAAACAAAGTCGAAATCCTTAATCCCCTCGCCAGCAGTAGAGCCTGGATAGTCTCTACAGCTTTGTCCAGTAGAGTTGCACACTCTACAAACATCCAGATGCTCTTCTGGGACTTCTACTTCTCCGCATATCGTATTTTCACTGCATTGGTCGATACAATAGGTCTTTCCATTCTTGACAAAGACCTGACTGTCGTTGCATTTCCTTTTGTTTTAAGTAGAATATTAAAAATTAGTTTCTTATTCAAAAGGACTCGTAATTTTCGTAATAAAAGATTTTTAAATTAGGTACTCTGTCTCAAGAAACTAGAATTAAAGTTTTTTATTTTAATAAAATAAGTACGAGGCGCTTTAGAAGGAGCTAAGAAGTTTTATTTTTATTGTACGCTCTGTCTATTTACTAAAACTACACTAGCTAGCTTTATTTCTTACTAAAAATGTACGTAAACTTGCATAAAACCAAATTTGTTCGGATGGCTAAACAAATAAACTTGGCATTGATAATGAAAGCGAGTTTACCTTTAAACGTAATTAGAAATTATTGTAACGTGAATTTTACGCCTTTTTTCTTCTTGCTGCAAGAGGATGCATAAAAACGGACATTAGAAAGCAGTACATGCAGCTAAAATATTATATTAAAACAAACACTTGTTGTTTGTTTTATTGAGTTAAAAAAGTATTGAAAGTGTTTTCAACTTTTTTAAATTTTAATTTTCTACTTTTAATGGTTCAAAATATTTTCAAGACTCTTTGATTTTTATTTCTGCATTATTACATTATTATTTTTTATAGCAGCAGATCGGACTATATGTATAGAAAAAAAAACGAAAAATGACCATTTTTGAATTTTAAAAAAAAGTCATACAATAAAATGAACTAAATAAAAAATAAAACCACAATATATTTACATATCTACATTTTACGATCAAATAATTCAGAAATATAATTGTTTTTATTTTATTTTAAGATAATATATTATTATCATGAGATGTTATTTTCTATGGTTTTAGTGTTACAGTAAATGGCGTTATAATGCGTCAGCTTGAAGGGAATTTTCAAAAACACAGTCTTTACGTAATCATTGCCTAGCAAAATGTGTAATAAGCAATATCATTGTGAATTTGAAGTAAAAAAATATTTTCGACGCACTTTTTTAAACTAAAAAAAGTATAAGTTTTTAGAAAAAAATGAGTTTTTAATTTTTTTCATTTTAGTAGTATAAAAGACATTTTCTGACGATTTTTAGTGAGTGACATATTTCACAAAGGTTAAAAAAATGAAGATTTTAATTTTCTTTCCTCCGCTAAAAATCGGCTTTTCGATTAAGAATCATGACCATATTATTTTTTCATGTCTTAGACTTCTAAGAACTAGAAAAAAAATATCATTAATTAATTTTGAATTTTACTATAAAAATAAAAATAAAATGCGAGTTAAAAAAAGCCGCGGGGGCAGATTTCCCATATTAATCCGGCTGTACCCTTTTACACAAATCCACTCATCACATTTAGTATCATTTAGTATTTTATTTTATAAAATACATTCGTTGTTTTTCTTTTTTAAAAGTCTAAAATGTTCTTTTATCAATGTTATATGAACGAAAAGGCTGCTATTGTAAGACATCTGTTATATGGTTCTGACATACGTCGAGGTGAATAATTCTTGCATTTTCTTCTTTGCGATATCGTTTAAAAGCCAAATTCTTCTCGGAAAATATCCAGCTCTCAAATCAATTTCTATTTGAAACAAGATTTTCTATTTTTAAATAGCAGACATGAAAAATCTGACTCTCTCTCGACATTTTTATGATTCCAGTTCAATAATGCATCGCGGTTTTATTTTAAATGTTCAAAAAGGAAGTACTTGAAAGCATTTAGTCCCCGGAAAGATGAAGATTTACGTAACATTTCTATTTCAAATAGGAAAGCATTTTATATTCAAATGCTGTTATATTCAAATGCTAAGCTACTCAAAATTAATATTTAATACATACCAAAAAAGTGGCTCACCCCTATAACTTTTTTCTTTTTACAGATAAAAAAACGAGACGTATGTTAGTATATGACATAAATTAGGATTGATTGGCGAATTCAATTGTTTTTAGTCATTTCCTGTTTCACCGGAAATGATTACAACTTTTGATTTTTAAATGGCACCCTCGGTATTTTTTTTACTTATTCGATAGAAAATTACACTCTGAATAGAATGACATATCATATGTCAACTTTTGACATTTTCGCTTTAAAATAAATCGTATTTTAAATTTCAATCTAGAGTGCCATGGTTGTGCTAAAAACAATTATTTTTTAATCAAGTAGCATTAGAAAAATAGTTTTGAAAAATCGTCTCATGTTTTTCCTGTCTTGTCCTGGCCGATTACTAGATGCCCAAATCGTATTTCTAATCATATCTAAATTTTTTTCAAATGGAACGAAAGTGGCTCATTAGAATATTTGGAAAAAGCAATTTTTTACGAATAATTTGGGACCACACACTTGGTATTTCGAGTCAAATTGTCGTTATGAACCACATGTTGCAATTTCAAATAAACCATATTTGAAAATGTCATAAGTTGGCACATTATATGTCATTCTATTAAGTAAGTATAAGAATAAGAGCAAAATAAAAACACTAAATCACCACAATACACCAAAACACTTTTACTTTTACAAGTTTATAATCATCTGCTGATGATGCTAACATGGTTAGCGAAACGCGCGTCCAGTGTAAAAGTAAAAGTGTTTTGGTGTATTGTGGTGATTTAGTGTTTTTATTTTGCTGTGTAACACCAAAGGTTCCAACCCTCAACTGTAATATAAGAATAAGAATAAAGTAACAAAATTCCGAGGGTGCCATTTTTTTATGTGAAAAAATAAAAAAGTTATAGGGGTGAGCCACTTTTGAGATGCACCCGGTATACTATGCAATATGAGGTTGCACTAATAAACTTTGTAACAAGAGAGAGGAACTAGCAAACTACAACTAGCAAACTTTTGATAAATCTAGAACTCTATGTACCTGAATTTAATTAAATATCAACCAATTCTGGTTTTATAACAAAACAATATCATTTCGTACAAATGCGATGACAGAAATATAAATTAGAGCGAAACATTTTATCCTTATTTTACACACCACAGTCGTGAATTACGAATACTCCTAAATGGCAGAAAAGCATGCAAAGTTTTTGACCTAAAAAGTGCTACAGGCAAAAAAAAAATTAATAATTAAATCCTATGAGTGCTCATTTAGCAGCATGTCTTCGGCAAAAAAACTCTGAAAATGTTTAGACAATGTGTTATTGTGAATATCACACAGATCGATACACAAAAAGCGCAATTTCACGAAGCACAAAAAAAAAATTTAGTCCTTTCGAGCGCATAAAGTGCTCATTAATTTCGTTTGGAGGCACATAAAAAAATCTTCTATTGCTTCCTATTATCGACCTTGTTGCCGGTATTGAAAATTACAAAGCAACGTAATAAATATTAAAAGTAAACTATAAACTAGGGTTTTTCATGTTTCAGGAAATTTTTACTAGACTAAGTTTTTTTAATAATAAAATCCTTGTATCGTTTCTTGCTTTTTCTTTTAATGTTTGTAACACCGCATAGAAAGCTTTGGGGTTTTATTTTATATAGTCTTCTAATTCAATAAACAACCACATCTTTTAACACTAAATATACAGCGGTCATATGACCTACGTAATAAAAAAATTAGTGGACCAATTTAAAATAAATTTTTGAGGGGACTTCAAAACGAACTTGAAAAATTAATTCGTATCTAGCCGAGATTTTTTTTTTCATTATGGCACGACAACAATAATTTGATTTGGATGGATTATTAGGTACATTTTTTATCAGTGTTTCTTCCTAGAAAACGATATAAAAATAAGGTTTATATCAGATTATAAATCAATAAAATCTCAAACTCTTTTGATAAAGCTAGACCAGCGGAAAGCAGAAACCATCTAAAGAATTAATATTCTGTAATATTTTTTGAATGAAATAAACCCAAATAAAATTCAATACATAATAAAATAACCTTTTATTGTGATTTAATGTTCAAGTTGTTATAACTTACCTTGTCAGTCGGATGACGTTGTCAGCTTTTCTTACAGATAGAGCTTGTTCCCAAAAACTCACAGCTTCAGGTAAAATAGTGTTCTAAAAAGTATATTTAATAACATAATATATTGTCGTGATAACTAGTGCGTTTATATCCCCTACAATTTAATAACATTTAGGCCAAAGTGTATTTTTAGGCAAATTTGTCTTTTTGGATTACCAAACCAATAGCTATTAATAAGTTGTAATCCTTACCGTTTCTCCGAAATTTCGAAAAAATTACTTTGTTAAAAAAATTTCACCCTTTCTCAGGGGTGAATTTAAAGTTCTTAATTCTTTTTTAGATCTTTCAAAGTAACTTCATACTGATGAATGATAACATCAAAAATTCAAATTTTTTAGCAAAACTTCGTATTTGAGGCCTATTTTCTTGGACTATTTTTAACACCCATTTTGAACATCTGATGGGTTTCCTCTTTTCTCATTTTCTACCCCTTCGTATGCCTCCTCCCCCCACCCACTGAAAAAATAACCTCCGTTTTATCATATAATTTCACAATACAATAGATCCTCTACTATAATGAAGTAGAGCTCCCCCTACTATAATAAACTCTTGATAAAAATATATAGATATTGTTAATCGATCTTTAGTTTTCTTTTTGGAATTATTTTCTTTGAACGAGATAAGCAATTTATTACCTTTAAATATTTAATCTCAATGTTGTTTCTATTTATAAAAAAAATATCAGACTTTTTATGAACATGCATTATACCTATAAAACAATAAATTGAATAACAAATATTTCACATTTTATGGCAGGTAATAATAAAATATTTTTTAATAATTTTTATCAAGGATTTTGTTTCAGCGGAATTGTTTGTGATTGATTGCATTTCCAATAAAAGGAATATTTAAGAGTTAATTAAAAAAAACAATGCCGTTTAGTTATACATGAACGAAAATAGAAAACCACAAAGTGTCATGGTCAGTAGGCCACAACCGATAATTCTTTTAACGCTATTTAAAAATTAAATTAAAGACAGTGGTGTGGTCCATTTTAATATCCATAGTAATTTTACTATTTACAGTATTTTCCCTTTCCACAGTTTGATAAAAAGATATTATTCATTATTTGTATTAACTGAAACTGATAATCACTATTACTTTCTAACCTACCCCTGTAGATCTAACGTTTATGCTCATTCCCTCTATCTCTATATCTGGTACTATCCCATGGTGTTAAAAGAATGATAGGGATATTTTATATGACCAGGACCTAATACCATCAAAATCAGCAACAAAAGAAAAGGCCATAAATTTCTGTGGTCGGTTTTTATTGGCTCATTGTGCACCTTATCTTTTTTTGTTTTATCTTATCGCGGAATATGATGTACGTTTGTGTTTTCTAATCGCAACAATTCTTTTTTGCAATCGATATAGTGCTGTTCACAAAACATAAAAGTAGGTAACAGGTAACCGAGAATGTCGACGTTCCTTTCTAACATTTTCGGTGGCAACAAGAACAAAATTAAAAAAGAAAAACCAGAAAGTGCTCAAAAAACGAATAGCGAGGAAGACGACAATTTACCTGTATTGAGCAGGCGTTTGTCGTTGTCAAAAAGTGGAAGAATGAAAGAGAAGAAAAGGACTAATGTTTCCCTAGTGAAAAATGAGTTTGGTGGTGGTGAGAAACAAAAACCAAGTGACAAAGAAGAATGTATCAAGGAGGAAAGGAAGAACAGCCTTCCCAGCAGCGACATTTTTGACGTAGAAGGCATAGAAAAGGCCATAAGGCAATATGACCAAAGCCTGTAAAATTTGTGATCTAAACTTAGCTATTATTCGTGCTGTGGATATTTAATGTGATAAAAAATATTAAGGAAATATGACTGAACTTTTTTACCTATTTTTGTTTAAATTGGCTATGGGAATTGTTGTTTTGTTAACACAAACTGACAAAATATTTTATCAAAATAAACTGAAATCAAATAAATGCCATTGTATTTTTTTTCGAGTTATTCTAAAATAACGTCCGGAAAATTTCAAGGGCATATTTGATTACTTGAATATCTTCTTTTTAATAACATTCATTTATTTGTGGTATTCTAGTGTTATATAATATTAAATTACTTTAATTGGATGATGGGGAAAACACCAACCAAAACAATTAATCAAGAAAGAGGGAAATATAATCTTCTGAGTAAAGCTAAATATATAACAAGGAACATTATTTTGTTTAACGCATATATTTCTGTATTTTAGCAAAACAAAAACATTATCATTATTAAACTAACCTAAAAATTGTTTTAATAACATTAAATGACTAGTGCTTAAAATAATTGAAAATCATATTTTCAACAAATTACATTTGTGAAATTAGACTATTAACAATAAAATTTTATGTATGACAATTTATCAAAAATTACGTAGAGATTAAAATACAGCTTTAAATCACTCTTTTTAATTATCAAGAATTTACTAAATCCCTCTGTTATTAGATATTAGATATATTTTTCAATGTCTTGATGGCCATATAATAATTAATAAAAGATCTATATATTTTCATTAATTTAGTGTATTTCCCTATAAGCTTGGTAGATACCTACATAAATATATGTATGTCTATTCATTTATACACATTTTTTTTTCGCCTATATATTATAATAACATAACTATAAAATAATGTTATTACATAACCTTGATACACAAGGCTGATAATAGATAATCAAATTAAATTGATAAGAAAACTGCATTACCTTATCGGGAACAATAATATTTTTTATACAGGAGTTTTAAATAAGTGCAAATATCTTTAGGGGTAATATATTTCGACCCCAGAAACAGGTCTCGTGTTTTTTTCGGGGAAAATTTTTTTTAAAAATTTCCAATTTTTTGGAAATAAATTTTTGAATTTTCAGTTAATATATTCATAATGTGGCAACATAGATAGTAGATTAATTTTACAAGAAAGGAACCCCAGAAAAGATCCAGTGGTTTTCAAAATTTAAGCGATTTTTTTTTAATTTTCAAAGTAAAATATCTCGGTTTTTGGACTTATTTGAAAAACGGTAAAGAGAAAATATGTTTCTTTTATCGAGATCTACCAGTCCTGAAAATATTTGCACCTTTTTAAGACTCACCCTGTAGAAAAAAAATAAAAGTTAAATGTATTTTGTTAAATATTTTATAAACTTTTAAAGGGGGGTCTTTTTATAAGGGGGAGTTTATATTCATATAACGTTTTAATAATATAGACAAATAACACTTTAGAATGAAATTATGTTGTCTCTGAATGCATAATTGATTTGAAGAGCTATCTATGCGCATCGATAAGAAACTTAAAAATTCTGATCTATTATAGAAAACATGCATTAATTGTACATTTTAACAAGTACCTTAATTAATATAATACTTGAAAAAAGGTGACTGGCGCTTCAGAACAAATTATGAAATATTTAATATCCCAAACTTTATGAAAAATTTATTATAACGTTTTTTTTTATAATATCTTCTTATAAAGTCCCAAAGAAATAAGTACGTACGTATTTCTCCGAGCTTAAAATACTTTGATCCTTTTGTGTCAGTCAAATACAGGAAAATATTTATATTATCTTTTTTACTTTGTGGTTCTATACAAAAGCAATTCTGTAAATTTTAACAAAGCAAAGATCTCATGAGGCAAAAAGAGACATTTTGAAGCATAAATAACAAAGATCAAAGAACTTTTTTGCTTTCAAAATTTAATGGAGTACGTGTGTCCAATTTCGGGACACTACAAAAACGGGCTTTTCTGCCATAAACGCTTTAAAATTTAATACAACCAAAAAAATATGTATACTTACATTAATCAGTTTGAATCGGTTTTCATCTAGCCTGAAAATTAAAAAAAGACAGCAAATCTAATATTAAACTGTTAGATACAGAGTCAATGTTTTTTTGGTAAATATCAGTATGCACAAACAATGCCTCAGGTGAAAGTATCCAAATTGCCAAAGCTGTATTTTACATTTAATTCTTATTCGCTGGAGCAATAATACAATTATTGAAAGTGAAAAAAAGTTATGTTACAAAATATATAAGTTAAACTGGTTCCTTACCTATAAACACTTTGATCATAAAATAGTAAAATTCTCAAAGATTTGTCTATGCTACGTTTCTTTATGACGTGATGTGGCTCCACGAAAGCATGCAGCACCTAAATAAAAACAAATAAATTTAATATACAGTGTACAATTAAAAGTATCTTTAATACCCACTGGCTTTGTTTACGATACAGAACAAAGGTTCCAATGTGTTTTATTATAAATAAAAATTAAGACAACCTGTATGTCTCAAGGCCAATAAAAACCAACAATTAGTATGTTATATAGTTTTAATGTAGCGTTCACGTAATAAGAATAATGCATTAGCTTTCTCTATCTTGAATCATTGAGAAAAATCCACGTAATTTATTTCCTATATGTACGTATATAATAATTTATACTATACAATGAGAAGGGAAGCCGCAGTGTGTCTCACGATTCTTAAAGGAAGATCGTGAGTCGTAACCTTTTCTTATATAAATTAGTTAATACATAATTGACATAACTTTTTATTATCTTTTAGATTATAGTATTCTATTCTTGTTAAAGGGGGCCTTTTCGACTAATTTTTCCTTCTGTTTCTATATCTTCCCCTCACTGTTTCAATTTTTATTTTATATATATATTTAATAAAAATAGATGCTCCAGCGAAACAAGGTATTGACAGACCTTATACAGGGTTTCTCACCGTAGCCGTTCGTTAGAAGTTTTTGAGGTTAGGAAAAACTTAGAAGTTTGAAATTTTGAGACTTTCCCTTTCATTTAAAAATATTTTCAAGGCTACACCGGAAGTCGCCATTAACTTCCTTATTTTAAATGGAAGACCCTGTATATTATTTTATTTTTGGATTTCTAAGAAAATTTTATGATGAGTTTCATTAGGTTTTCCTATACCTATTTTCAACTGTTTATCAGATATCTTGATTTATTTGAAAATGTTTACAGATTTACCCTTATTTTTAACAGTCGGTCTTTTGCTCATTTTGAATCGGTGATAAACGCTTCTGCGGTAAACCGAAGCATAGGACCAAAGACATTATAAATATAGACCGAACATCTCATTCATAAATACTCTTTGGTAGTGTATCAAACATTCCAATGTGTCAAACAAGGACAGAAGAGACAGAGAAGTCTAAAATTTCCGACCCCGGCAACTAGGCGCATTTGAATTGTTCTAATGGCCAGTGGCGTATCGTTTTTTGGAACGAATTTAATTAGTAAAGTAAAAGTAAAGGAATTAGTAAAATGTTTACTCCATATTAATATACTACATTAACACTTTTTCGTCAGATGAGTTTTGTTATAAGGTCTAATATAATAATATAATTAATATCCCACATATACTTATGTTGAAACGTTAGTAGGTAGTTTTCGAAAATCGCTCCAACGTCGATTTTCAATTTAAACTTTCAGTTAATTCTATATAAACTTTCAGTTACTTTTGAATATTTACAGGGTGACTCAGGCTTCCGAAACAGTTCAATATTAGGTTTGCAGTTGGTGACTTTTCTTTCAATTTTTTTCAGAATATGGAGGCAATGGTAAAGCACATTTTAGACATTTTGTAAACATAGGGGCCGGAACATATTTTCAAACTAAAGTTGTAGATTTGCCATTTAAATTTCCATTCCAGAAATACCTAGGGTTGCCACCTGTCATTTTTGAAAAGGACAGTGCTTTTTGGAATAACTTGTCCTTTTGACTTTTTTTTACTTAAAAAGTCATTTTATTTACGTATTTTCCTGAGAAAATTACCTACAGCAAACAGAAATATTATTTTCGTCCAAATTTAATTAGAGATGTTATAAAACTTATAAATACATTTTTCTTGTTAAGAATAGGCAACATTATTTAGAACTTCCCGTTTAATCTCAAATGATAATTTAGGTTTTAGTTTTACCTTTTTTGATCTTAAAAAGAACTTTTTAAAATTAGTAATTAGTAACGATTTAGTTAGTTAGAAATCGATAGCTTCCTGTAAAGTACTATGTAATAGTTGTTTAATCTTGTATTATTAATAACTTCCTATACCTAAAATCAATATTTAATGAGAAAATTGTGTTTTTTGAAAATATAAGACAAGATTTGACTTTTTGGTCTTCTTGTATTATGATGGCTCTGATACGAGGCAATTACCTTTTAGTCTCTCTCAATAGAAGGCATATATCATTAAAAGTATCAAATCTGTGTGCTACAGTATGGGATTTCTGTTGCATAATAATGAATATTACGTTTATTTACAAATCCATTACTTTGAAAGGTAGCTTCATCAGACAATCAAATTTTAATTAAATGTCCCAATCTTCATGAACTGTATTAAGCATATGTATTGCGGTTTGAATCACCCCGAGAATCACCTTGTATGTTGACAAAAATATTTTGAAAATGTGCGTTACAATGGCCCCCATCTTATGTAAAAAATTGAAATAAAAATTACAAACCTAAAACGTAATAGGTAAAAAAGGGTTTTTGGAGGCCTGGGTCACTCTGTATATAGGTATGTATAAAACTAGTAGCCTAAGAATTATTTACAGTTCGTCCAATTCTAAAAAAAGAAACACACCGTACAAATAACTCTAGGAAGAGGTATTTGTACGGTGGTAAAAAATTGTTTAAACGAGGCCGAAGGGGCAGATATAATAATGCAATAAAATGTAAAAAGGGCGGGTAAACACCTTTGTTTATTTGTTGAGCAAAATTCCTTTAGAATATCGTATATAATGACCAACATATGACGCAATTTTAAGAAAAAAAATGTCGCTTTCTGGCTTATAATAAAGTTTCAAATGCAACGTTTATATTCAAATTTGTTATGATCTACAACAATTAAGTAGTAATTGAGACGAATTATAATTCAATTATCGGCTACTACGTTCTCGTTTTAATAGCTCAAAATTCAACAAATATAATTAGAAATTATTTTAATTGTGAGAGGCCTATGTACGGCGATTACGGCGCGGCGGAAACAATACCTAGCTGTGAAAAGACAAATTCGGGTAATTTGAGCTTATTTTTCCACACATTTGACACTGTCGTACCATATTGAAAATTCGCAGATTCAAAAGTACGTTAAACAAGAGCAAAAACTACTGAAAAGTTCACTTCGGACTTGATTCCGACTTCAAACACACCGTAAGCTAAACGTAGTACGCTATAACGGACCAAGCGCCGTCGCGAGGGGTGGTGGGACGGACGGCTCATTTCATTCTGGAAGACTAGCAGCGACGTTGCCAATAGTTCTAGACGTTTTAGCACATTAAACAGTAAACATGTCCTTTAATAGTAACGCATATATCCTCTGGTTAATAACATATTATTACGCATGCTTCTTTAAAAATAAACTATTAATTTAATTAAGAAATTGAGATTTATTGATATCCGGTGAAGGTTTTAAAGTCACCTTTTCTGCAAATCAAACTAAGTAGTTAGGCGCAAATTTGAGACGTGGCAATGTCGCCTTCTCTATCTCAGTTGGTTTTTACAGTACGTAGTCAACCTCCGATTGTTTGATCGAGTTAAAATGCACAATGTGATATCTGTTCTTCCTAAATCTATGCATAGGACTAATACTTTCGAAATCCATATTGACAATTAATTTATTGCATACAGGGTGTCCAAAATTTGATAACTGATTAGATTATTTTCAAACTCAAAATAGTTCAATTTTTCAAATGAGACACCCTGTATATTTTCGATAGTTGGATGCAGAATTCAATTCTTGTTAATCCGTATTTTTTACTTTAATTCAATTTTTGGCAGAGTCGACAATATCGTTTGTGTCTACAGCAAAGGATTAAAAATAGATGGGGAATATCTTAATCTTAATCATCTAAGATTCACTGATGACATAGCCCTAATTGCCAATAGGCCAAGCAGAAATTAACGAACTAAATACAGCCAGCAATAAAGTAGGTCTCAAAAACTAAAGTACAAGGACCTGAGTTTTTGAATTTAGCTTCAAAAAATATTAATATTGGTCTGAAATTTCTGAAAAGTCTAAATCACTATTAGATAAATGTTGTAATAGTCTGACGCACTCAAATATGCAAATAATTAAATCACAATATTTATAGACAAATTAATAATGCAATTTACATTGTCAATGGTATTTTATTTTCATAGAAAGGGCAAGTTATCTAATAGATTTTTATTATATCATATCCGCGTATCAACACTACCTAGACGGTATGGAAAAATGTTGCCTGGTATATCGATTAAGATCAAGTATCCAAATATCTTCGAAATACAGTTTGCTAGAGAAATTTTTATGATTTTGTGTTTGGGGAGACTTCTGTATACTGGATGTTTTGTTGTTTTTTTATGTGATTTCAGTTAAAAAAAATCATCTTATTTTTATTCTTCAAACTTCTACAGAGTATTTTGTCTATTAATTCCTTTATTATTTAATAATGTTCATTATAAGGTTATAAAGAAAAAAATATACATAATGCAACCTTATGTCATACCGTACTGTTACAAGATACAATCACTTGCTGTATCGCAAAAGAGTGATACAATGATGCTATTGCGAAAATTGAAGAAAAGCTCTTACCAAACAAACAAGGTATTTCTTTTGATTCCATGTTAGATTGGAAGTGTACTTATATAGCCTGGCATCAAACGGCAATTGAAAGAAAAAGCATGGTAGTAGGTGCGTAAAGATTTTTTTTGCGCTTTTTAGTCATCATATCCAATTATCTGAGATCAGAGATTTTTTAAAAAAGGTACCGTTTACTGATGCGGTAAGTTATTAATAATTTTGAAGGTTTTCCTTTTTTTAAGGTCTTCAACAGACGATTACATACAGGTGAGTAAGGCAGCTATTATCGTGACTGTCTATTACCGCGGCAAAATAACAACACAATATATTTCAAGTATCTCTTCCAAGACTGAAGGTCAGATTCGGAAAATACATTCCTTTTCGTACAACCTGCTCTTATGCTAATCATGTGACTTGCCGCATCACACCAGAACCATCCTAGCCCATCAGTGAAAGAAGATATATTGCGAAACAATAGAAAGATGATTTGAAACCGTTTGGAGTTTTTATTTGCTTCGCCAGCTCACGGTACTGCTTCAAATATAGTATTTAACTTAACAGTTGCATGACAAATGTAATCTTCGAAGCTTGAGTTCGGAATCGAAGTTCCTCCGGGTAGAATTATTGCTACTATAGTTCAAGTACCTTTGCCTAACGATTTCTGTGGGTGGAGTACTACCTATTCGGTTTTCTTTAAAGGTCGTACGTGAATTAAATGAACGAAATATTTATTTAAACTCGTTATTATCACTTCCAAATAGAATACTAATTTTTTTCGTCAGGTTGCAAAATTTCGTCTAAATGATTAATGAAATGCTAATTTTAATAAACAGGTCACTAGCAATGACCAAATTTCATCTGATTGTTATTCAGTGCATTTTCTTCAATGACAGGTGCTGAATAAAAGCATTTGTCGCTCAATTCCCAGACTTGTGGCGAAATTTATTGTCATGGCGAAATTTCACACGATTTCTAGACTACTGGTTAAATTTTATTACCTTGAATAAATAAAATCTGAGTTAAGGGAATAATAGAGTACTTGAACAAATAATAATAATTTCGAGGTTTGTTGAATCAGTGAGTCAATTATATTTTTGAAATATTAAGGCTTTTATACATTTTCCAGTTAATGATTTTCCATATTCGTTAAAAAATAAATTTTATCAATTTATATGAACTTAGCCTATGTCAAAGGTCAGATAAGACATGCATACATCAACATCAATACTGCAATCAAAATTAATAATAAAAATTGTAGTTATTATAAAAAAATCAGGGGTTCGAAAAGCAAACTAATATTGCATGTCGTCAACTGACATATTTATTAAGTTTCTGGCACATATAGACCGATGATATTTACTCTATACATATTACTATTGTATTTGTACTGAAACTATATTTGTTCTTTGTAAAATTTGATATTCTTTCATAATATGTTTCACTTTGAGCTGGAATGTTAGTAGTTTAGAGGAAGAACCCGGGAGAGACTCTTTTATTTAAGATAAGAATCAGTTCTTGATGGGGGTTTTAAAGTATCTTTTTAGGAAGTGCTTATTTCTGACCCTGATAAAAATAAATTCTTATTTTTTGCAATTAAAAAGCAATTTAGAAACCATAAACACTTAATCCTTCTGCCTTGCATAACACTGACGCCACAAATTATCCAAATTCTTTAAAGATTAACCTACATATGTTAAATAGCTAAAATTAACATAACCGACTATAATATATCATTGAAACTTTATGTAAAATTCATTAATAAAAATGTATTTATAGTAAGAGTATTTGAAGTGTATATAAAAAAATATGTTTTTTTTTCTTTTTAATTACCGTGAAAATATCGTTCACGATATTGAAAAAAAATTCTGGTAAAGTTTCAGCTCTTAATATATCGTGATTTTCTATTCCCCATTTAAATAACAGTTGAGGGTTGGAACCTTTGGTGTTACACAGCAAAATAAAAACACTAAATCACCACAATACACCAAAACACTTTTACTTTTACACTGGACGCGCGTTTCGTTAACCATGTCAGCATCATCAGCAGATGATTATAAACTAAAAGAAAGAGTTTATAATCATCTGCTGATGATGCTAACATGGTTAGCGAAACGCGCGTCCAGTGTAAAAGTAAAAGTGTTTTGGTGTATTGTGGTGATTTAGTGTTTTTATTTTGCATTATTTCGTGATAAAATATAAAAAATTGTGGAAGTTTCATATACAGTTTGAAGTTGAACTTCCGTCAATAACTTTCAAACGAGTCGATTACATGAAAAATCATATCAGACCTTTTTTGAAGAATATTCAATTGCCTACAAGAATATCTATCGATTTTTACTGTACGTTGATTTGTTATAGCGCAATAAGATTCCAAAAAAATTGTTTCACGTGTTATTTAAATGGGAAAGAGAAAATCACGATGAGACACCTCTCAACTCATACTTTACCAGAATTTTTTTTCATCCTCGTGAACGATATTTTCACGGTTATTAAACAGAAAAAAATATATTATTTTTGGTGCACCCGAATACACATACATGTATCAACTTTGACCATAAATATTTATAGGAATTAAAAATAAACAAATCAATGACAAAATAAAGAGTGAAATATTCAAGCTATAATTTGCAACAAGTACAGGGTTATGCCTATCCCATGAAATCCTTTTTTATAAGAGCAAAGCTATTATAGCAACCTTTTTATTTGAGTCGTGATACATTACCGGTACTACTCATTTATTTTATCTTGCTTTTAGCCAAGGAAAAATTTTATATTTGAAATAGCTAACTCCCGAAAGAAACTAAAAATTAAGTACCTTCTTCTTGAAAATAAAGCCGATTTAAAGCAATTTAGCGTTAAGTACTGACGCAAAAAGAAACCGTAAACGGAACATATCGTTTAGAGGTAATTACACACTATTATTAACTAAGCAAACTATGTATATAGTAAATATGTACTAATTATGTTGGTGGTAAAATCTCGGTGATTTTATTGGTTGTAATGAATTTAAAGACTTTCTGGGTAATGAATTTATTTTTTAATAATTTTAATACATGGAAATATTATTATTAATAATAGATAACTAACCTCATGATGTTTGGGGTAAGCGTGTTGGCAAATTTCGTGTCCAAAGGCCAAACAACTGCAAAAACTGAAAACGCAAAGGGGAACGAGAAAGCTGACCAATTTCCATTTAGGCTTGGTCACCATAGTGCCCGGAAAAATTGTTTAAAAACTCGTACTAAATGTAAACATTCGCGGATGTGAGGTTATGGTACGACTCTACAATCGCTACATCACTTCGTACTTGTACAACGTCCGAGGCAACCAACTGTGGAAGACAGACTAAAATCAGAGACAACTTCGAGACGTGAAAGTAGATAGGAATATTTGTCCAGAGTTTTCCTCTCTATTTACCTCGCATATTCCCCAATAAATATGTCCTTTTATCACATCAAGGCAGGGGAACTTAGATGGCGCAATTGTCGCCCATTTCCCTGTTTGGAGAGATTCGCAAACAACAAACTACCCACACACACGCTTATACACATGTTAATTGATGTTTTATTTTTAAAACCTCCATTCCTTTCAAAAATATGCATAGAGAAATGTTTCATCATGTTCAAGAAATGTTTCATATAAGTATTTTCTTCACAAACATTGTCATGACAATTTTTGTCATAACAGATGTTTTCACGATAAGTGTTGTCTTCACAAACATTGTCATGACAATTTTTGTCATAACAGATGTTTTCACGATAAGTGTTGTCTTCACAAACATTGTCATGACAATTTTTGTCATAACAGATGTTTTCATGATAAGTGTTTTTTCACTAACGCAGTCATGATAAATTTTATCGCAACAGATGTTTTCATAATAAATGAGCTTGTGACATTTTTTTTCTTGGAATATGTTCTTTTTTATATATACGTATTATTAGCATGTGTTCTCATAATAACTGTTGTCAAGTCATCTTAACATACGTTCCATGGCATTTGTTTCTATCAAGTGCCTTGAAATTGTTTTATTAACAGATGTCTTTATAACAATTGTTGCTAAGATATCTTGCCAACAAATGTTGTCATGTTACTTTGGATGTCCCAAGATACCTTGGCACATGTTTTTCAAATATATGTCTTGGAAATTATTTTTCTTAACAGATATTGTCACGACAATATTTATCACAAATAAATAATATTATAACAGTTTTTTTCTTGGCATGTTTATATTATGTTTCTTAGCATATGTCTCTAACAAGTCTTTTGAAAATATTTCAGAAGATATTTTATAACAAACGTTGCTATGACAATTTTTTTCTTGACATTTGTTCTTCTAACAGATGCCTTGAAAATATTTTTTAGCATATATACATATATTCATAGCGAAGGTCATGAAATCTTGTCATATTATGTTCTTGAAGATATTTTTCTTAACAGATATATTTTCATAACAAATGTTGTCATGACATCTTGGCACGTGTTCGAACAATTTTTTTAAAAATATTTTTCTTGAGAGATATTAAATCAAATTTTGTTCTTCTAAGACAATCATTCAAAATTCATATTAGGCTTCCTGCGGTTTTGGTTATCTCCGGTTTTCAAGATCGGAAGTACGCTAAGTAATGCCTTAGGATACTTATTTAATTACAGCCCTTTTCCAATTGACCTCAGGATTTTTCTTTATCCTTTATCTACTGTCTTCGTAATTTATTAGTTGGCTTTTTTCTACAAATCTAAATTACAGTTTATATTTTAGAGGTGGGAAACTAGTAAAGGGTTGAAATTATTTCAAAATGTGTTTTTTTCTAAATTTATTTTACTTTTGTCAAATACAATGCATTATAAAATGATTTCTTGCAGTTATAAATATCTAGTTGTAATTAAGAAAGCACGTCCTCATTTAATAATTAATTTGACTAGATTTAAATGAAGTGATAATATGAAAAGTTTTATTTAATATAATATTCTTGGATACTTATTGTTCCATAAGAAATACATTTTATGTGTCAAAGATATCGGAATATTTTTTAAGATTATTTCTTACAAAATATTACTCGGTAACAGGTAATCTTAAGATTTGGATATAAAATTGGCTAATAGATCTCTTTATAATTTTTATTATAAATACTCTTTCAATCCTAAACTTCTTTTATGATCTTAAGGGTAATTTAGATTTATACAATATGAATCTATAATAGTCCTTAAAATACAACTGCATAAGCTTATTTCACCTTTCTTGTTGCAAAATATATTATTCTCAATGTTACCCGTTATATTATGTAATCTACAATCAGTTGACATTATCATATTAAATAAATTAAACAAGTATTAATCAACTGTAGTGTTTCTATAAAAAAAAATCTACAATTATAAAAATTATTCCTAAAGAATTACAATATTTTACTCATTATTTATTACATATATTTTAAAGTGTCTTAAATCATCAACATATACATAAATAAATGAAATCACAAGAGATTTTTAAAATACCGTATGATCGAAAAAAAAACGGCGTCAGCGATGGCTGCGAAATGAAGATCGCCTTAATTTTATATGTAAATTTATATGGGATCGTCGTGTCCCAGCCAACTGGACGCCGTTTTTTTTTCGATCATAGGGTAAAAGCCATACTATATTCAATGGTATTTACTTGTATAGCAATGAATGGTGAGCCAAGAGGCCAACAAAATACCATAATACAATATAATCGAGAAAAAAAAAACGGTCAGCCATGGCTATGAAATAAAGATTGTCATTTCCAAGCAACTGGACGCCGCCGCCATTTCTTTTTCGATCATATCGGTATGTCTCGCTATTAGGCAACCAGTAATGCTTTAACAGGTGAAATTTGTGTATAAAAATAATGTTTTTTTTAAGAAAGAAGTAATTTAATAGAATATGCAATGTTTTCCAGGATTTAAATAAAAGAATCTATTGAACTGTTTTTTATCGTGCTGTAAATATCGATGAAACAAATATAAAATAGTAAGTTTATTTTAAAAATTTTTTACAAAAAAGTCAAAACTAAATCTAAAACAACAAATAAATATCTATTATAAAACTCATTAACAATTATTATACTTTATAACACAAATATATATGCCTTTCCAGAATAATATCTATATATTAAAATCCCCAACCAACCAAATTGTAGAGTATTATACAATTACAATTTACAGTTTTGTGCAAACCATTGTTTGCTTTCAATGCATCTCGGACTATCACAATGTGGACATCTATTTATTAGTTTAGGTGATACTGGCAATTTACTCCTTAAATGATGTTTGACCAAATCTACTAAAGCTTCAATAAACAAGGGATGATCATTGGGAGCAGGAACTCTTCTTATAATTTCTATTCCAGCCTGTAAATGTTGAATATATAACTAACTATATAAATATGATTAAAACATATACCTTCTTTGCATCTTCAATCAGTTCAATATCAAGCTCATGCAATGTTTCAATATGTTCATTCACAAAAGCTATAGGCACTACCAAGATAGCCTTTTTACCTTGCTTCGCATAACTTTTTACTGATTCATCGGTAAAGGGTCCCAACCAAGGTAAGGGACCCACTTTTGATTGGAACACTAATTGGTAAGGATTACAATACTGAAGGTCCCACATAACAAGCTGTACCGTGCATCCAACCTCAGATGGATAAGAGTCACCTCTATTCACTGCCTAAAACGTCTGTTAATTTTTATACACTCAGGCAGGAAGTGTCCTGATAAATAATACCTTTAATGGTAACGAATGAGCAGAAAATAAAATAATTGCTTCTTTTCTGACATCATCAGGTAATAATGCTAATTCCTTTCGAATAAGATGTGCAAAACATTGGGCTAGTAGTGGGTTAACAGACCATCTGTCTATAATACTCAATTTTAAACCATCAGGAAAACCATTATCCCGGAAATATTTATATACCACATTTAAACTGGATCCAGTTGTTGCACAGCTATACTGAGGATACTGAGAAAAGACAATTGCTCTTTCTACACCATCTCTAAACCGAAATTTAGTAATTATCAACAATTTCCTAGCTTAGAAATCTAAATGAATTTAAACTTACTTCTTCAATTCCTCTAAAGCTTCTTCTGTAAAAGGTGATGCATAACGGAAGCCAACGTATGGTTTATGAGGTGCTGTCTCAGGATGCTCTTTATCAAGTTTCTTGCATAAAAGGTCTCCTTGTAACCGAGTCCATTTTAAAATGGGAGAGCCTCCACCAATATCCTGGTATTTTTTTTGTACCTCTGGTGTTCTTCTTTTTGCTATCCATTCACCTATAACACTAAAAATCAAAAGTATGGGATGTACATTAACTTAAAAATAGTACTTGTAAATGAACATCTCTTAATACTAACTTTTGGGCAAAAGGAAACTGAATTACATCTCGATCGGTCATAATTCGATGCAAGTAATCATGAACTTGATCAATATGTTGAGGACCGCCCATGTTTAACATTAAAATTGCAGTTTTTGGCTTGGAAGCACTTGAGAATTTTACGTATCTTGGACATTGTTGAGCTAAAATGATTGGAAATTATTTATAAACGGTTTAAATATTTATAGGTATTTACCTACCTATAAACAAAGTTCCTTTTGAGAACATTTACAGTTTTATTTGGATTATTTTTTTATAAAATATGTATTTTAAATATTCCTGGGCCAAAATAAACTGTTTATCTTGGAAAAAGGCACTATAATTTTAATGCAATAAGAAAAATAGCAGATAACAACAAACTCACAAATAAGTTAACCTCAATTTTTGACAATTATCCATAGATGACATCTGTGGGGCTCACATTTCAACAATGTAGTTTTTTTTCTATGGCCAAATGCGCGCATTCACCATTTTGTCAAGAAGTGTAGATATAAAGCGTTATTAAAAACTGAAATTATTTCAGTATTCTACGCGCAGTACTTCAACGCTAATGCCTGTGCTAATGCTATAAAATATTCTATATATTTTTTTGAGACATATTTCTTTTTTTCCAGGCAATCAGTTGTCCAATGAAATATATTACAGAAGTTTATGGACCAGAAAATTCTAATGGCTACTAATAGGAATATGGGATGGAAGATTGGAATAAATGCATGAGAGGATAAACATACAGAAAAAAAAACAGAGAGGGAATTTGATGGTACTACGTAGTAAATGCAGGGGATTCACGCAATAATCTGTAAAGGCGACACATTTTTACCAAACTCAATATCAACTTTACTCCAGAAAATAAATGATCAGAAGATTAGTTCAAGAACAACCTTTGTTAGTAGGTAAGTTATCTCACAAAATGTTTGGTACATTAACTAACTATTTTTATTGTGTATTAATAGAAAAAGAAGAATGTACTTCAAGAGATTATCTGATACAACCAAAATCCGCAGATTTAGAAAAGACGCAGAGAGTAAATATTTATATATAAGATCTTTGGTAGAAATTAAACTAGGTAATTTATTTTATAGATTAAGTTAATGGCTACCATTGATGTAACAAGAGGCTTCTGTGATAACGACCTCACTGCCGTTTCATGCCTATAAAATCATTCCTTTCGTCTCATCAGCAAGTACAAGTTTATAAAATTGCATCGACGGAAGACAAGGACTGGAAGACCGGCTGGGAGATGTCGTCGATGGATACAAAGCTGCCTAGATTATAGATAAAGTCTTTGAAGACAAGAAATGCTACTCACTTGCTTGGTAGGTTACTCACGATGTTCTCTCAATAAAAAGAGCGAATAAAGAGCGACAAGCCGGCTTCTTGCGACGATATATCAGTATTTGTTATATCTTATAAGCTAAAATACCAGGAGTTATATAGAGAATTAAATTCTATGTTGAACGCCCCAATCAGTTGCTTGAGGTCTTCAGTAGTTTTAGAAAACAACTACCTTTTTTAATAATTAATATCTCCAAAACTAATTAAAATATCAGAATGCCTTTTTGACCATTCAATAAAGAATTAAATTCTCTATTTATGTAAAGTACGTCTGCTGGATCTGTGTCTATGAAAGGAATGCGGACAAAAAACATTTAAATAAACAGCAATATATTTTATACGTCGACTTGACGAGTACGTCACCGCAAATCGCTCCGCCCACTCATTTTATTGGCTACTTGCAAATTTGTCGAATTTTTTTATTGATGGGACGCGTCGTCTAATTTTTTACGAAAAACATCGAGAGAATATCGTTTCCCCTCTCACGGATACTCCGTAGCTACAGAACGAACAGACGTACTGTATGTGCAAAGTTTTATGGTAATCTGATATTTTCTTTATTATTTCTTAATGTTTATTTTCCCTTGTAAAATAAAAAAAAACGTGTTTTTCTGGTTGCATACGACATAACTCTAAAATTATTTAAGTTCTCGGAGTGCGGTTGTGGCCCATTCAATAGAGAATTAAATTCTCTATCCATGTGCAAAATTTCAGCCCGATAGGACATCTCTTTCTATTTTTTACAGCCAAAAAATAAAGTATGACCGATTGAGCTGAAATTTTGCGCAGAAATATGGCAGGATATGACAGGGAGATACGCATAGGAATTAAAGGTAACATAGTGTCGTAAATTAGCGATGGGAACTATCGAATGAATTAGACTATCGAATGAATTAGACTATCGAATGGTTACTGAATGAATGATTTCAACTACCGAATGGTTTTATTTGAATAAAATCATTCATTCATTTCATACTAAAGCATATGTGACAACCTCGCCGTGCGACTAAATACTTATCGTTGAGCCACGACTATCGAATACTTTTGATAAATGAAATTTAGTATTCGTTTGATTTTTGTGTGCGTGAGTGCATTATTAGTTCTTCCAAATTTTTATAACTTCGCCTTATAAATTTTTTGCGTTTATTAAAATATTTAAAATACTAAAATAGTAGTTTTTTTTTAATTGACGATTGTGTGCGTGTGCAGGTGGTCAAAATTTTTCCAAAAATTTGTGTGATTTTCCGTAGCCCGATCTTTCAATTATTTTATTTTATATGGTATATGGTCTATTTTTTAAAGGAAAATTTTGAGAAGTAGCAATTTTTTTTTAAGAGAGATGAGATGAACTTAGAATTAATTTTAAAAATACATATTTGTATTTTAGATGTTTTAATAATATGAATTAGTTGAACTTAATAATCATATTTAAGTAATGTGGTTAAGTAAATGGTTATCGAACTCAAACTATGGGATGAGAAAATTAAATTGAAAGTTTTACACGTGCCAATTTAAAAAAAAGTTAACGATGTTTGTATTTTGTTTATGCTAATTCTCTTACATGTAGTTTTTTGCGAAGAAATATTTCATTTATTTTTTAAAGTAAATGCCAGTAAACGTAAATATTATTTTTAAATAGTAATATAAAGTACCTAATATAAATAATTTTGATTTCTAATTTTTTATTTATATTTTCCTTCCATTACACTGCATGCTTAGAGAATTAATAAATGTTTATATTTCATGATTTTAAAGTTTGTTGTTAATATAACAAATTAGTTCTGTAATTATTATTATTTAATAAACCAACGTTGCCAAAAAATTTAAAGTATACTATATTATTTTTAAATAGGATCTAATATAAATAATTTTGACATCTAATTTGTTCTTTATATTTTGCTACTACGTAAAAAAAATATTTATATTAAATTATTTTAAATTTTGTTGTTAATAGGTATAACAAATTATTACTGTTATTATTATTTTTTATTAAACCAGTCTTTGCTTAAAAACATTAAAAATCATTTTCCTACATCCAAAATAACAAGTATTATTGCAGTGTAACAACAGAATATTAATAAAAAAAATGCTAAATATATAGACATACTATCCCTAACTAACTAAAGTCAAACAATAATATTCTTTGCTAATATCAACTAATACCAATATATGGCAACAGCGCCCTTCATAATGTATTTTCTGTGTAAATACTAGCACCCCAATAAAAAAAATAATGTGTCCTTATCTTTCTATGACTCCGCAAAAAATCAAAGATGCCGGCTTCTTTCATAGCATTGCCACCGACCGCTGTCGGGTTTCTCGGAAAGAAACCTACGTCGGGCGACAACTAAAATCCAGTTAATATTTTATTATAATCGATCCTGACGAATAAATGAATTTCATAAATGAATGAATTTTATAAATGAATGGTTTTTGCTGCCGAATTACTAGAATACAATATTTCAAGGCAGATGACGCATCTATTCGATAATTTTTATTCGAATAGTTTTCAACGAATGTTTTCTTACTAGCTATCGAATTATTCGAATGAATTACAACTATCGAATGTTTCGATAGTATTCATTCGATAGTTCCCACTACTATCGTAAATAACATTTTGAAAATTTTACAGTAGAGCAACAAAAACATCTTTTAGTGTGAATAGCGTGATCTAACAGCCCCCAGAGTGCCCAGTCCCCACAGTTATGCTGTAGCAGGCCAAAGTTAATTTTTAGATCACACTAGAAGACGTTTTTTTCGCTCTACTATCAAATTTTCCAAATGTTTGTTACGACACTTTGTGTGGAAAGCAACGATATGTAGAGGAATAAAGAGGGTATTATAGGAAATAATATTAATTAAAGTCAGCTTGATTATATGACATTTCGATCATAACAGGGACTAAAGAGAGGATAGTATTAAATCCAGCTTGATTGTAAAACATTTTTATCATACGTATCTTATTTAAAGCCAGGTATTATATGACGTTTTGATCATACGTACGGCGTTAAAGAGCGAAAAAATAAAGTTACCTCATTTAAGAAATGTTTTAATTGTTCGGTATTATAGGTAGGATTCTCTCTCTCTTATGAAATATTTTGATCATAAGGATTTTATTAAATTAATGTCAGCTCAATTATAAAACCGGTCATATTAGGGCATTAGAGGGGGGAAATAAAGCCAGCTCGTTTACACATAATAAAGCCATTTCGACCATAAAACGTTTTAATCATATGTAGAGTATCGTAATTTTTCATCTTCTGGTCTTTTTAAAATAATGTAAAAAAGGCTCCACAATTTTGAACAAAACCCTTTGAGTATGCCTGTGAATGTATCTATTTCATATTTTTATTCTTTGTTTTAGATCGCTCCAAAGTTTAACAGCCCATTTGACCAGCGAACCAACCATCGGCCTATTTCGATCTCTGAAGAATCTTAATTGATATGTTAATACTGCACTTTGTATTTTTTGTAATACTTAAATATATACCCAATGTTGTTATACTTATTTTCATGAATAAAAATAAATTTGTTATATGTACAAATATATTTTATTTTCCACCCTATATAATAAAATATTAATCCTAAATAATTAAAAGAATTTGCAAAGTCAAATACCTTAACAATATAGTCTGTCGAAATTCAAAGTGAATTCAGTCGGTCTAAAACCGAGGCACGCATAAAAAAAGCTTTAATAAGTACAATAATAAATAAAAATAAATGTCCTGTACACAAAATTTATTTTAAAATGGTCTAAATTGATGCTACCAAATTTACACAAGACAAAAATAATTCTGACTTTCTTGACAAAATGGTGAAGGATTTTTTAAAAAAATATATTTTTCTAAAATAATTAATTAAGATACATGACCAACGAGCTCGAAGAGTTAGTTTTTTTTTGAAAACCGTAAATATCTCAAAAACTAAGAAAAAAATACCTACATTTTTTTGGGCCATTCGATAGAGAATTAAAAGCTCTATCTCTATGCAAAATTTCAGCTCTATCGGAAATACTTTAATTTTTAGGGCAAAATTTAGCAAAGGGGTTAGCCTCAACTTTTCTAGAGCCGAAAAATTAAAGTATCTCCGATAGAGCTGCAATTTTGCATAGAGATAGAGCTTTTAATTCTCTATCGAATGGCCGAAAAAAAAGTAGGTATTTTTTTCTTACAAAAAAAGTTATTAAGGGTTAAAGTTTGCCAACGAGGTCAAATCGTTAGAGATAGCACATTTTAGGGAATAAAAATTCGCACCGTCAATTTGCTCAATTTCTTCCACCACTTATCACTACGGGCATCACTTTAGACCATCTTAAAATAAATTTAGTTTACTATATGTACAATTTTACTATATAAAATGGTCTTGAAATATTTTAATCTGAAAATGTTTTACCATTTAAAGACAAATAATTATTCTGATGAAACATGGTATTGTTTTATAATAGATTACTCAATTTGGAATTAAAATATTAATATTATGGGAGGGTTATCTCCGGTAAAGTAACAATATGTACTATCTATGTAATGAAAAAGTAAATACGTCCAAACTTAACTTGCAAAATAAAATAGTTTCGTGTATTACTGGTTGTATATTTAATGCTCTATTTCTGATTGGATATTTGCACTCTAATCTTTTTGATAAATATAAAATGGGTAATCAGAAAGACGATGGTAATGCATATTTTTATACAGGGTGATTCAATACCACCCACCAAAAGATGCTTAATGCATGGGATAAATAAAATCAAACAAAATTAAATTATATTATTATTTATTCAGTCGTATATTTTTTCAACACATTAATCATCATATTTCTAAAACTAAGAAAATTTTAGATATAAATTAATAAACTACTCCATATTATTGGATAAAATTGTAAGTATTATCGAATATATTTTGATAGTTAAAATGATCAAAATACTATAAAATTTACAATGATCAGCAAAGGGGTGAATGACATAGATAATATAGTGGGCTCGTCGTATTTCTAAAATATTACACCGACCTACAATCTAGCCTTTAAATCCTAATATAACTTTGAAATGTATATAATATATAAGTCTGTAAAATATTCACAGTCATATTCTTTGGCAATAAGTTTTAAAAGACTAATTCAAACCGTTAACACAGTAACAAAGAACAAAATATCAACAAACTAATACTGTAAACTTATAGATTATTGCACGAAGTTCCTTCTCAAGGACATTACAATTACAAAAATACTTTTTAACACAGGACTTACGTATGAGCAATGAAAATTATTAACAAGGATTCTAAATTAACACCATCAATAAATTAAACCCTAAGGTATGGCACTTTTCTGACGATAAATAAAAACAAAGCTTACAAATCTTTGTTTCTGTAGTGTTATTGTTTTTGCAGCTTTTGGAGGCCTAATTATGTACTAAAAACGCATAAAATACGGGAGTTATGCTTTTGATTTTGTTAAGAATTTGATTTATATCGTTTGTACTATTGTTATATTGTACAGAGTGTTTCATATTAAATTTAAGGAAAAACTATAGATACGTTTCCTAAGATAATAAATTTTATGGAAACTAGAAGTATTATTATTACTAGAAACACCCTGTGTATATTTGAAACTTATCTTCATTCCCATAACTTATACGTTTTTCTTATTACAGTATTTCTTATTTACGAAAATAACGATTAAAACGCGTTTACTTATCACAAAAGTTGTGCTATGACGGGTTGCAGCAAGCACATGTGTTCAGCACCTCTAATAGGGAGCCGATTTATGGAGAAATGCCTAATCATCTCTGGAATCGAAGCGAATGGCTTGCTGAACTGGCCCAAAATAAAAGAACCACTCTCGCCGTTCTTCTGAATCCTCATATGCATAAAACCACGAGCACTCCTAAAAAACATTTTAGATTAACTCAATATAAAGTAACAGGTAGAAAAATCATACTTTAATGACAAAGAGTAATCATTTTTTATTGACTCGCTGTTCCTAACCAAGAAGCTTCCTTCTTTCAGAGCTCGAAGAACATTTTCTGCTTCAACCCTAGTAATTGATCCATGAAACCAACTAAAATAGATCGAATAAATTATAATTAACACTTGAAAAATATACCTTTCCAAAATTAACTTACCCTTGATTCTCTAAAGGCTGGCTGGTATCAATAATATCACAACTATTAAAATTCATTGTATGAGACTGAGTGCTTGTTGATGCGCCGTCGTTACAGACATTAAAACCAAGACCGCTAAGTGTTAAACCTAATCCTACCCTTTGTCTGTTTCCGATGTCTGCCAAATTTAATGTTAATTTTGGCCTACAATGATCTGCAACAATAAAATGCATTAAATAACGAATTTAATTATTATATATCAAATAAACTATTTATATTCAGATAAGAAAACAATATTTGGTATATCAGTATGACATAAATTAGCACTGATTGATGTATTCAAGTGTTTTTAGTCACTTCCTGTTTCACCGGATGCCTAGATCTTGTTAGTTTTTAAATGACACTCTCGGTATTTTTTTACTTTACTTAAGACTTTACTCAACAGAAAATGACACTCTGAATAGAATGTAACCTGCGGTTCATAACGACAATTTGACTCGAAATACCAAGTGTACCAAATTATTAGTAAAAAAAATGCTTTTTCCAAATATGCTAATGAGCCACCCTAGTTTCATTTGAAAAAATTGAGATATGATTAAAAATACAATTTGGGCATATTTTAATTGGCCAAGAAAAGACACGAAAAACATTAGATAATCATATCTATTTTTCTAAGGCTCCTTGATTAAAAATTAGTGTTTTTAACGCAGCCATGGCACTCTAGATTGAAACTTAAAATACGATTTGTTTTTAAGCGAAAATGTAAAAAGTTGACATATGGTATTATGTCATTCTATTCAGAGTGTCATTTTCTATCGAATACAGTAAAAATTAGCGATGGGAACTATCGAATGAATTAGACTATCGAATGGTTACTGAATGAATGATTTCAACTATCGAATGGTTTTATTCGAATAAAATTTGTATACTAAAGCATATGTGACAACCTCGCCGTGCGACTAAATACTTATCGTTGAGCCACGACTATCGAATGCTTTTGATAAATGAAATTTAGTATTCGTTTGATTTTTGTGTGCGTGAGTGCATTATTAGTTCTTCCAAATTTTTATAACTTCGCCTTATAAATACTGTGCTATTTTTGCGTTTATTAAAATATTTAAAATACTAAAATAGTAGGTTTTTTTAATTTTATTTATTGACGATTGTGTGCATATGCAGGTGGTCAAAATTTTTCCAAAAATTTGTGCGATTTTCCGTAGCCCGATCTTTCAATTATTTTAGTTTATATGGTATATGGTCTATTTTTTAAAGGGAAATTTTGAGAAGTAGCAATTTTTAAGAGAGATGAGATGAACTTTATTATATATATTTTTATTTAATATATATTTTTATTAATTTTAAAAATACATATTTGTATTTTAGATGTTTTAATAATATGAATTAGTTGAACTTAATAATCATATTTAAGTAATGTGGTTAAGTAAATGGTTATCGAACTCAAACTATGGGATGAGAAAATTAAATTGAAAGTTTTACACGTGCCAATTTAAAAAAAAAGTTAACGATGTTTGTATTTTGTTTATGCTAATTCTCTTACATGTAGTTTTTTGCGAAGAAATATTTCATTTATTTTTTAAAGTAAATGCCAGTAAACGTAAATATTATTTTTAAATAGTAATATAAAGTACCTAATATAAATAATTTTGATTTCTAATTTTTTATTTATATCTTCCTTCCATTACACTGCATGCTTAGAGAATTAATAAATGTTTAGATTTCATGATTTTAAAGTTTGTTGTTAATATAACAAATTAGTTCTGTAATTATTATTATTTAATAAACCAACGTTGCCAAAAAATTTAAAGACTATATTATTTTTAAATAGGATCTAATATAAATAATTTTGACATCAAATTTGTTGTTTATATTTCGCTACTACGTAAAAAAAATGTTTATATTAAATTATTTTAAATTTGGTATAACAAATTATTACTGTTATTATTATTTTTTATTAAACCAGTCTTTGCTTAAAAACATTAAAAATAATTTTCCTACATCCAAAATAACAAGTATTATTGCAGTGTAACAACAGAATATTAATAAAAAAAAATGCTAAATATATAGACATACTATCCCTAACTAACTAAAGCCAAACAATAATATTCTTTGCTAATATCAACTAATATCAATATATGGCAACAGCGCCCTTCATAATGTATTTTCTGTGTAAATACTAGCACCTCAATAAAAAAAATAATGTGTCCTTATCATTATATGACTCCGAAAAAAATCAAAGATGCCGGCTTCTTTCATAGCATTGCCACCGATCGCTGTCGGGTTTCTCGGAAAGAAACCTACGTCGCCGGGCGACAACTAAAATTCAGTTAATATTTTATTATAATCGATCCTGACGAATAAATGAATTTCATAAATGAATGAATTTTATAAATGAATGGTTTTTGCTGCCGAATTACTAGAATACAATATTTCAAGGCAGATGACGCATCTATTCGATAATTTTTATTCGAATAGTTTTCAACGAATGTTTTCTTACTAGCTATCGAATTATTCGAATGAATTACAACTATCGAATGTTTCGATAGTAATCATTCGATAGTTCCAACTACTAGTAAAATATACCTAGGGTGCTATTTAAAAATCAAGTTGTAGTCGTTTCCAAAAACAATTGAATCGTCAGTCAATCCTAAGTTATGTCATATACTAACATACCAAATCTCGTTTTGTTATCTTAAAAAAGAAAAAGCTACTTTTGAGACGCACCAGGTATAGAGTATTTACCTCTGTTGACTTCAACAACGCTCTGGCTGGAGGAAGCTTGCGAAACGCTATATTCAAGGTTTCCGGCTTGCAGTCTCATTCTTCTTCTAAGCTTTGGCATGTCAAAGGGTAAATCCTTCAGGTCCACTGATGTGGCGCTACCAGACGTGCAAGCTGCATCAGGGAGTAGTCTCCTTCTTCTAAGCTTTGGCATGTCGAAAGGGAGATCGGAGAAGTCTTGCTGTGAGGGAGGTGCCGATAGATCTGTCGCTAGAAAACCTATACGCGACTTGTTAATACCTACGGAGACAAATTTATTATTAGCAAGAGTAAACCTATATTCGAAACTATAATACTGATTGAACTATACACTACTGGCAAAGGAATATTAGCAATAGGAGGTTTTCAATTCGATAAAAAAAGATGGCAAGGCTGCAAAATACACTGCAGTGCAACAGAGACGGATAAAGTGTCTTTTCCCTACCATCGTATAGGGGAAGTGATCATAGAAGTGATACGACGAGAGAGCCCCTGCGAGAGGGGGCGCCGGGCGAGTCTTTAAGACGTTTGTGTGGGGGCTACCGCCTACTAATAGAACAGAATCGAAAAAATAGAAACAGGACGGACAGTGTTGCCATTCAATTAAATCGAAATTATGTTGGCTTGTCAAAATCCTAAATCTTCTAATCCCATTATCTTGCCTACTTAATGAAATATTAAATAAAGTACGAAACAATTTTACGAATGTTTTCTCTAGGCACATAACTTCTTTCTAAAACGAAAAGTAACATGCAAAACTTTGATATCATTTCTAAAATAGCAAGTGCAATTCTATGAAATGGCAATACTGTACGATCTTCCTAGCAGTCGCCCCGACACAGTCGGTCGGCGGCGGCGCTTCACAAAGCCGCGGCTGTGACAAAGGAATTAGGCCGAAAAAAACTTTATAAGGAGTAGACGAACAGGGTTGCCGGGTTTGTTAGATTATAATTCCATACGAGAACAAAATTCTCGGTAGATCTTCAACAAAAATTAAAAGTACAGAAACGAAATAAAATATAATATTTAAGTCCAAAATTAGCATTCCTATGTGTCGTAATAATAGATCACTCAAATAAAATACAAATATAATAAATATAACAAGAATTAGAAATAGCTAGGTATATTATTTAATATTAAAAAAAATATTGAATTAAATAATATTAATATATTAATAAAAACATATAAAACTATAACAAGTAGGGATAGCAGTCACAAATTAGTGTAGCAGTCACTTTTTACCTTTGTACAAATTTTGATCAGTGATATCTAAAATTAATTTCATTTCAATGGGAAAGCTGTAGCAACTCTCAACTCTTTTTCATATTAATATATTTTTTGACGGGAAAATCACTAAAATATTTGTCCGAATTTAGGTTGTTTCTTAACTTAAATTTTGTTTTTGTTTACATTTTTGGGGGAAAATATGGGTTCAACTTTAGTAGATGAATGAAATAAAATCTTTTTAAAAGATATCAACTTCTTCAAGGGCATGTCGCCAATACCGCGCCTAATAAGGAGTAATAAGGATTTTTAGGAATATCTCTGTAACTCTGCAACTAGACAGAACGATGACCTGTATGTGTGTTATTACTAAATAAAATTTAATGAAACAATAATAAAGTCAGATTATACAGATTCCAACGCGGCAGTCGCTTAATTTTTAGTCAAATAAGTCAGCTTTTTAAAAGTGCTTCTATAAAAACTAAAGACGCAGTTGAATATATCGTTAGATTTTTCTTTAAATCGGTAGATCGGTAGCTTACAGACGAAACCGGTAGACCTGGCAACTCTGTGATGAACTGACGGGAGTCGGAATAGCGAGGTGCGGAGGCGCGGGAAGGGAAATAAAATAATGGCGATAAATAAAGGGCAGGGAGATGGGTATCAAGAGTGGATGGGAGGTGGCGGAATTTCTCCAAAATTTGTTATCTTATTGGAGTTTGTCTAAGTAGACAGTCGTAGTGGAAGTGGAAACGGGGAAGTTGTTGTCCACCTCTGTTTAAGCATAGACTTTTTATAGGCGTTTCATTCCAATGCATGTAATTCCTATGCCTAGAGATCCATTGCCGGGCCTGTATAGGGCGATTCACGGCGATGGTACGTTAGACGTTTATAGAGAACCGGTTATAGAATTCTTTTGAAAATTTTGATTTTTGCATAAAGGCACCTGCTCCGTCTATTTAAAATATTTTCAGCGTTACAATGGTGCCGCATCATTTGAGAAGTAGCATCTTTCTTATTTTAAATGGAAAACCCGGTATATTACATTTTTGGAAACTACTTTCATATCTCATGATTTCTCTTTTATACTAATTATCCCTACCTCTAGCATTTTTTGAGATAAAAAATAAAACAGAAATAAAATTGACAAAAACATGATCTTGAATAAGCGTTGGTAAAATCATGATTGGAACATTTTAAAAGGTGAAATTTGGGAAGTGAGTTAACGAAAGTCTATATACTTGATCTGTCTAAATCAACTCACTGGATATTACACAGGGAGAGCCAAAAAATAATTTATTTCCGTTTGTTATAAAATTGCTGAAATCTTTGTTATTTTAAATTCAATTATTAAAATCTTCCGGTTTGTTAAGTAGAGCTTTTTATAAATTAATAATTTTATTACTATATAGTCTCATTTCAAAAATTTCGTTACCATAGAAATTTAGCAAATAAACTCTAATTGATACTTATAAACTTTGAATATTTGTTACGGTAACGATTTTCTTTAAACAGAACATTACTATCTTTTAAATAGCTTTACTGAAGAAACCAGAAGGTGTAGGAATAGGAACATGATACATCATTGAAATGGAATTTTATTTGTGTTTCGATATTCTTAAAGATATATATAGGCTTGAATTTAAAATAATATTTAACAAACAAACTAAAATAAATATTTTTTTTAATCTCCTTGTTTGATTTCCAATCGGTTAATTTAGACAGATCGAATATGTCGACTATGAACCTCTAAACCAAATTTCAATGCTTATTCAAGATCATGTTTTTGTAATTTTACACGTTTTATTTTTTGTCTCGAAAACTACTAGAGATTGGTATTTTTTGAGTCAGAAAATCAAAAATGAAAGTAGTTTCGAAAAATGTAATAATATACCAGGTGTTCCATTTAATATGACAAGATGCTGCCACTTTTAGTACAAAGCGGCAACACTGTAATGCGGAAAATAATTTAGACAGATGGAGCAAGCGCCTTTATGCAAAAATCCAATGAGCCAATAATTGAAAGGAAGACTTGCCTTCTCTGCTTTGTATAGAAATTCCGCTGTCTGATCCCTGGATTTCGGGTCGCTCGTGAAAATTTAAACTCAGAAGATTCTTGTTCTGAGGAAACCGTTTCTTCGACGTCTTGTTTTCCGTCGCAACTGCCTCGGTTTCGGGCGAACATTTTTGCGAATTGTTATTCTTGTTATTATCAGAAGTCTCAGAAATGGGTTCCTGGGAAGATTTATCGGAAATGGGGCTTAAAATGTGAAGCTTGTTGCTGGGTTGCTGTGTCAGAAAGTTGCTCTGAGCAGTTGCATAATTCATTGGACGGGTGCCTACAAGAGAACATGTTCAATTATTAAAAAATGACTTGAGTTTTAGAAGAGTTAATCGTACTTCCTGAGTCAGAACTGTGGCTACTTAAAGATGGAGACTGCCTGCTTGATGAACTACTGGTACTTCTGTTACCTTCGCTAGTACTACTTTTGATACTCTCCATGCTTCCCCCACTGCTGCTTGTCGTCATACTTTCCGTCGACGAATACTTATGTCTAATTCTTCTTATCACACCATCCTTTGTTCTTTTTGATCCACTCAGTAGATTATTTTTTGGCCTACTCTTAATTTCAAATATTCCTTCCTAAAAAGTTCAATATACAGATAGCGCCCACATAAAACGTTTTTCTAGTCAGATAAGACGTTTTACGTGCGGTTATAATAAGTTTTACCTGCCGTTTAGTGAATTCAATATTAATGATAAAAGAATAAGCAGACCTGCAACCTCAACTTAAGTCTTTTTTCGAAAGCTGACTTAAGACTTAAAAATTTAAGTCTTTTTCAAAATGATTTGTGATTTAAATCTGTATTCCGAAATATAAAAAGATTTAAGTCTTTTTATATATTTTTATGATAAATTTTTAACAGCAGCAATATTTTTTAAACTGTTAAGCGGCAGCCAAGCAGCAGAATAAAAAAACAATGTTCATTCAATACTACTAGCAAATAAAACGTTAGTTTTTCTAGTAAATAGACATCTATATTCGATGACAGGTTTAGAACCTGTAATGGATATACATAAAGGACTTCAAAATCGGTTCTTCAAAAAAAAACATATTTTTGTGTTTGTAGTTGTTCTGAAAATTAACCGTTTTATTTTATATGGTTTTAGTCTCATCTGTATCTACAATAAATTAAAATTACGATACTTAGTAAGAAAATCGCCTAATTGGTAATACAAGAAAATTAATATTAACATTTAAAAAAAGATATACTTAAATTGAATTCTGGTTGTCTTGACTTTGACGGTAATTATATTGATTTAAGTCATTTTACTGACTTAACTTGCAGATCATCACGATTTAAGTCAAAAATATAGACTTAAGTCATAAAAACGACTTAAATAACGTTATATTGATTTAAGTCTTTACAAAAATGACTTGACTTGAAAGAAAATGACTTAAGTCAAAGACTTAAAACTTAAGTCATTTGAACTTTATATTGAGATTGACTTAAGGCTAAAATAATTTTGATTTTAGGAATTACTTAAGACTGAAGCCTTTTTAAAACTGACTTGTTGTAGCTGTGAGTATAAGACCTACCAATTCTCCTGGACGATCTCTGGAATTACCAGGCCGGTCTTTGAACTCCGAAATGAGTTTGTTTGAGTTTGATCTGCTTCCAAACTCGATATCAAAAGCAGTGCCCTGACGAGTCTGTAACGATTCACTACTTGTGGTCGGGTTTCTGGCTCTCAAAGACTTAACTGGCAAATTCAAATCTTTCGTTCTGGAGTTTGAGGGCAGGTTTGGAGCGCTCCGTAAACTGTTCATCATCAACTCTTTGCCTGGAAATTTGGATGGAAGCGGAGCAGTGGACGGTGGGGAAGGAGTGTACCCCCTAATTAGCAAACCTCCAGAGGATGTTACAGTAGTTGTAGCATCGTTGGCCAAATGCATATTCTAAGAAAACGTGATATTAATAAAAATATTTTTAAACTTAAAATTTTTATTTAGTTCTTACTTGTAATTCTTGAGATAGATTAAGTACTTGATTATTGTCTTTTGCGTGGCTCGGTTTATCTTTACTTTCTTTACTCTTTGATGACTTGGTGCTTTTGTTTAACGTCGAAGCGCTTCCTAAAAGAGAATTTTTGGATTGTTCCGATCTGGGTTTCTCTCCCCACTGGATCAAAACAGGGTGATTTATCACGCGCTCGATCTGATCGAGATCATCGTCAGATTTGCTGACGCGACAGTCAAAAGCAGTCTCGTAAACATGTCTTTGCCGTGTCATGTCGTCTAGTCCATCGTCTGGACACGACAGAACATTTAAAACGCCCGAAGACAATTGTCGCTGCGCAGACTGCTGCTCGACCGCGTCGTTCGACGCATCCCTTGATGACGTGCTGTGACTGTCGACCGAAGGAGACTTTTTCTGTCTGTAAAAAATTAGTTTAGAGTTTCTATATATAATTTTAAATTATATACTGCTACTAACCTTAGTGTGGGTCTACTCCTAACCGTTTGTCCAGCGTTGTATCCTTTTCGATGTCTTCTAGTGGACCTGGTCCGTTTAAAACTCTCTTCTTTAACAGGCTGCTGCTTAATTTGAGCTGTGGTCTTATTTACGCTAGAGTAAAGTTGATTTTGCGGAGACTGGTGCGGACTTTCGGTGGTTTTATACTTGAAAAGATCCCCGTAGTAGTATGGCGATGGGTGCCTCTTCGCGGTGGAAAGGTCTGGTTTATTGGGCGACGGAACGTCTAGGACTGATGCGACATGCAAACTGGCACCTTCGTTAATACTATCCGGGGAATTAAGGTCCAAGGGTTTAGGTCTGGCTATAGAGGGATAAACGAAGTCGTCGTCAGAAGTAGGGTTGGACGATTCCTCTAAAACAAAAAATGTTTCAAGAAATGCTATAAATAAAAGTAGGTCCAGAACCGGAAAATCCCAGTATCAAAAGTACCGCGAATTCTCGGTTCCTAAGAAGCGCGGTACCGAAATTCCCGGTTCCGAAAACCCTAGATAACAGGTTGTGTTTACCTGTGGTATATGGTTGAGAATATTCCTTATCTGGGCTAGTAAAATATTTGTTATCGTTTTCTTCCTGAGTTAGTTGCTGTTGAGAATCTCGTGGAGTTGAATATGTATCTAACACAACCACCTAAAAATAGAATTATAGTTCTTATTAAATCACCATTACAAGGCTATTACTATTTAGATATAAAATTCAATGAAAATTTAAGCCCCTGTTCAACCATTAGTTTATAAAAAAAATAATAATTTTACACTTACATGTTCTTCTTCGGCACTAGAAAGGATTAGCTCGGAAAAATTCTGAGATATGAAACAATTATTGGAAACCCCTATGCTATTGGGCCTCTGCCTTGCTAACTGCGCCAAATGATCTACAGGCAAACTATAGTCTTCACACAAAGAAATCTGAAAACAAAATAGCGATAACGGGGTTAGGGTTGCATAATATTCTTAAGCATGTTTGTTTATAATTAGCTTAATTACTTAATTCGGTATTCGCGTGCACGGCTAAATTTAATTTATTTAACAGACTAGACCATTTTGCAAGTTAGGGTTTCAGTCAGTATCAATTACGAATTATCTAAAATTAATTCTGAAGTTTGCAGTACGAATTAATTTATTTGGGTATAAGAAAGAAAAAGGGCTAGGAAAGTTTTACTTTAACTTTGAACTCTCCAAGTGCCAAAAACTATCAACTTCAAAAGTCAGGGGATTTAAATGAATAATTGAACTCGTATTCTTACGTAGAAATAAAATAAAAAAAAGAGTCTTTTATAAGGGAATTTCAAAAATTCGAATATATTTTATAAGGCTAGTAATAGTGTCGCGTGGAATTACTTTATTATACTGCTTGGAAGCCCTGGCAAACTCTGAGGGCTTATATTTCTTTGTGCCGGGAATGATGTATGGAATTCATTACAGGGAGCTTCAAAGCCATTACAGAGATATTGGCCGATATTAAATATTTTTTGTTGGTCTGTTGAGATCGGATTTAACAAAGAAGATAAACGTAATTTATCAAATTTTGAAAAATCATTTCAAAATAGAACGACAACGAATTATAACAGATTCTGCTTAAATTATTTCGAGACTATCTAGACTAGTCTCAAGTCTGAATCTTCCAGGAGGGATTGTAAATGTTTGTTTCGTGTCGGAAAGAGATAAAAAGCAAAGAAAACATAAACATAGCCATTATAGAAAATTGATGATATAGAAAAAATAAAGTCATTACTTATATTTTTCTAGTTTTTAGTTTACGCTTTTTGATATTAATATCTTAGACAAGTTTGAACAAAAAAAAAAAAAAAAGATAAATGATATAGTATTCTTTAAAAAATGTATAAAATCTCTATACCTACATATGTGACGAATTCATCTCTTCAAAAAAGTCTTACGGGTATTTGGCCACTCTTAAGAAAATCTTACAAAATAAAATAGTTATTTTTTGTAAATACTGCTGGCGTTCATCCAACGGTAACTAATTGTCAGCAATGGCTTACTAATAAACAAATTTGCCTAACTATAATGTTTCGAGAAGTATATCTCTTCCCGTTGTCAGAAGCAAAAAAAAAACAAAGAACAAAGAAAAAAACACTATTTAAAATATCTAAATATAACTATTCAAGAACACACTATTCTCTAACAAAAAAAAAAAAAAAAAAAAACAAGAACACTAATTTTTTAGTTTAACTTGATATAATGTTATTTTAACAGAACCTCAATGGTTTTTATAGACGTTGTTGAAAAAACTAAAGTGTTTTTGAGTTGAATTTGGATATTTTAAATAGTTTTTAATTTAATTCTTTGTTCTTTGTGTTTTTTGCTTCTGCCGACGGGAAGAGATATACTGTCCGAAACGATAAGAATTTTTTTGTCCGTTAGGCAAATTTATAGGTGGTCTCCGTTGGATTACGCCAGCAGTGTTTACAAAAAATAACTATTTTATTTTGTAGAATTTTTTACAGCAGCGAAATACCCATAGGACTTTTTTGAATAGCATTCTTTCGTACTTTTCTCTTATACGTTATTAAAAATATTTAGTATACATCAATATCAGATGATGAAGTGGTCAACAAAGCATAACAATGATTCTTTTTTTTTCGAAATATTCGTCGAGAGTAAAATTACATTTTATACTAATTTTTCAATTAATTTTTAATTAGCGATTGTCTCACATATATGATTATTTTTTATGTGGATTTTATATTTTAAATATTAATAATTATAATGTGATTAATACTGTATCAAGGGAGTTATTAATTATCAAATGAAAATATCGAATTTCTTTGTTAAGGGTAGTGTTTAAATTTCAACATTTTTTAAAAAATATTACACTGTTATTATTATGCACTTAATGTTATTTATTAATGTTGTTTATTATACACGTTTTAGTAAAAAAGGGTAAAATTATGTCGCGCCAAAATACTCAAATTTTATCTACCGCATGCTCAATATGTATATCTATTGTCTTTAATCATTTAGACTCACCAGCAAAAAGCGATGGAAATAATAATAATAACTATTCACATATTAAACAAACTTGTGGCAACGAAAACCACCACAACACGGTGAACGTAGGGTGCCATCAAGTCTACCGATTAAAGAAATACTCTGTTTGGTATGAGTCATCGTTAATGTATAGGTATATATAGAAGCAAGTGTGACATCAGGGAACAACGAAGAGTTTGCGCGAGCAAAACTCGTGGAAAGCGGTGGCCAAATCGATTTCCCGACCTTCCGGCTACGGGTTAACACCGCTAAATGGCGCCAAATTGAAAAATTAAAACTGCCATAGCCTAGGGCGAGCATTTTCCCACCCCCCAATTAACAGCAGAATCCTTTCGATAACGCAAACGTTATTTATCGGATAAAATCATGGGATAAGTATAAAATATCAACAATAAAAATTATCATAATTTTACAAAGTACGAATCACCTTTTTTCATCGTCTGAGGGGGTTAGGGAACCTTTGGCGTTACAACTGCAAAATAAAGCACTAATTCACTACAATACACCCAAACAATTTGCTTTTATGTGCTTTGGTGTATTATAGTGAATTGGTGTTTTATTTTACTGATCGAGGGTTAAAAAATATATTTTATACAACGAGCTATTTTTTGCAAATATCTATAAACAAAATTATGGTAGCTAAGTGTCTTAATACTATAAAACTTACCAATTCATTAGAGAATCTTCTGCTACATTCAAGCAGTGCCTGAAATATAAATTATCACTATATATACAGAGTGTTAAAAAAAATCATAGATATTTTTAATTATAACAGAAAACTAAAAAAATAACAGAAAATGTTGTAGTTCGATGTTGAAAATCCAATTGATTTTTCTCAGGAAAGATTAAATGATATTGTATTAAATATTTAGACTATAAAAAAACAAATATACATATCAAAATGACTGTTCATTTTCTGAATCACATGGTATATAAAATTTATCTCGTTGGCATGTAAATAAGATTTCTTGAATGAAGATAGAGTTGTAGCTAATCCAAGCCTGAAGCCCCGTTCTGAGAACTGCGTCGTGTCGTTGGCGACACAGTTTGACATTTCAAACAACCAATGAGAGCTGTACTAAATTTAAAATTGACAGCTGTTTGAATTTTGTACAAATCTGATTGGTTCTTTTGTCGTGTCGCTGGCGACAGTCGCAGTTCTGAGAACGGGGCTTGACCTTGTTACTACCTACACTTGGGCATATATCATATATACAGTATGGTAAAAAAAAACATTAGAAGAATTACAGAAAATTGAATGATTTTGATTCTGTAAAAATATTTAAATTTATTGTCACAGTTACTAAGTAATAATCGCTGAATAATAAGGTAATCACAGCATGTATACAAAACTCATAGAAATTGTTTTGGAAAAGAAAAGAAATTTTTAAACTATTATAATTTAAGATCCGTACTAATAATGTTGTAACTGCAGAGCTGCAAGTCATTTTTTGATTTAAATCATTTTAATGACTTAATCCATTTGATTTTACGTCATATTTCGAAAGTTGCGGAAGTCATTTTCAAAATGATTTATGATTACCTCTTTATTCCGGAATTTAAAGACTGAAGTCATTAAAAAAAAGCTTAAATCTTTTAAAAGATTTAAGTCATGAGAAAGGATTTAAGTCTATTCAGAGAAGAGTTAAGTCAGAGTTTTCATATATTGATACATTTTAACAGCGGTATTTCCATTTGAACTATCAAGGACCCTGATCGCGGCGGTTTGATCTGCCGGGCTGCAGATCAAAAACAAAGACACTCGCTACCGTCATAGTAAAACATGTCTAGTATAATAAATGCGTTTTTTACCTTGTTTATGAAAATAAGTGTCGGTCATATTAGTTATGCTACTGAATTCTACGTAGAAAAGTCTTTGGAACTCGGTTTTCATATCTTTTGGGTATGTTATAAGATATCCGGGATATGAGGTAGTCGAGAAAAGGCAACAATTTCAAATTCGCCCTGTATTTCAGGAACTAAGCGGGCTAGGACAAATCTGTGTACCATCATTAGTTTCATAAAAAAATAGCACAGTAATGTGAAAACCGCAATGTTTTATATTTGGTCATAAACGAGAAACCCTGAAACACTCAAAATTGGGACACGCTGTACAAAGTACCACAAAATTTAATTTTATTGTAAGATGTGTATATTTTTTTATTGTTTATTGTTTGTAGTTATTCTGAAAATAAAACGTTTTATTTTAAAATCGGTAATACAATAAAATTAATATTAATTAACATTTTAAAAATAGGTACTGACTTAACTTGCAGATAATCATGATTTAAGTCAAAAATATAAACTTAAGTCATAAAAACGACTTAAATAACGTTAAATTGATTTAAGTCTTTACAAAAATGACTTGAAATAAAGTGATTTAAGGCAAAGACTTAAACAATTTTGATTTTAGCAGTGACTTAAGTCTTTTTAAATCTGACTTTTTGCAGCTCTGTGTAAGTGATTTGTTTATGTCGAGTTTTAAAAATTTCTTTGAAGGAAGGGTAGGTAGTGTGTTGATGTACTCACTTTGCGCCTAATAGGTGATAGATCTTCGCTGTTCCTGATAAACCTTTCGAACTTGAAGCTGTTGGACCTGTAGAGTTCGTTGTCGGACTTCTTGCTACAGAACTTCCTGGTGATAGCCCGCGACTTGCAAGATTTACAGTCTTTCACTACATCCCAATCGATATTAAATATACCGCGGGACTTCTTGCGGTTGTCCACATTGACCACTCGCCTCCGCGACTTGGATCGCCTCCGGCGACGGACTTTGACATGCTCTTCCGCGGTCACATGGCCATCAGCCTCTGGTTGTGATCTTTTAGAGAGGCCGACTCGTTTCAGCACTCTGTCCATTCCAGTGGCGAAATTGTGACTGGCCCGCATATATATCCTATATATTTGGCCGCGCACGTAGCACGCGCACTCAGCTGACTATCATTTCGATTTGGGGTTGATGCAAATTACTCAACGCATCTTTTTTTACATTAACCTTTTATCCTACCCCCCGAGCACGTGTTCATGCTCTTTTTTTTTCATCTTTTTACTTTTCTCTCATTACTACTGTGTTTACACTCAATCCGCGCTGAAACGAACTCGTACGTTGGATTTGAACGATATTGATTTTTCATTTTTTTAATGAACTCCTCAAACGAATTTTTAAAAGAATTTAAAGAATTATTCTAAATAAATTTCATTTCACGCCCTTATAGGTCACGATATATCCCTCTAAAGCACTGTCTATACGTACAGTTTTACCTATTCAGTCAAAAAGTATCATTTACTTACTGCCATTACTTGCTGACGAGTATTTGAAACGCATCAGAAGATGGTTATGGAAGGCATTTTCTTTCATGGCAAGTTTCGTTTCTGTGCTCAATTCATGATTACACAGAGTAGAAAACTCTGTCTTTTACTTTCCAGAATGCAAAGTTTTCCAAAAAAAAAAAGCTTTTCCGGAATCAAATTGACTGTTGAGGTAATCGAATTCCGTTCTTCTCTGATTTTTATAGCATTGTTGTGATTTTTCTGAGGGGAGTGCACATGATTTTAAGCCTCTTATCTCTCCTTTTTACAGCCTTATATGCACACAGTACGTCTGTCCGTTCTGTGGCTAAGGGGTATCCGTGAGCGGGGAAACGATATTCTCTCGATGTTTTTCGCAACAAATTAGAGGACGCGTCCCATCAATAAAAATTCGACAAATTTGCAAGTAGCCAATAAAATGAGTGGGCGGAGCGATTTGCGGTGACGTACTCGTCAAGTCGACGTATAAAATATATTGCTGTTTATTTAAATGTTTTTGTCCGCATTCCTTTCATAGACACAGATCCAGCAGACGCACTTTACAGTACGTCTGTCCGTTCTGTGGCTACGGGTATCCGTGAGCGGGGAAACGATATTCTCTCGATGTTTTTCGTAAAAATTAGAGGACGCGTCCCATCAATAAAAATTCGACAACTTTGCAAGTAGCCAATAAAATGAGTGGGCGGAGCGATTTGCGGTGACGTACTCGTCAAGTCGACGTATAAAATATATTGCTGTTTATTTAAATGTTTTTGTCCGCATTCCTTTCATAGACACAGATCCAGCAGACGCACTTTACAGTACGTCTGTCCGTTCTGTGGCTGGGTATATCCGTGAGCGGGGAAACGATATTCTCTCGATGTTTTCGTAACAAATTAGAGGACGCGTCCCATCAATAAAAATTCGACAAATTTGCAAGTAGCCAATAAAATGAGTGGGCGGAGCGATTTGCGGTGGCGTACTCGTCAAGTCGACGTATAAAATATATTGCTGTTTATTTAAATGTTTTTGTCCGCATTCCTTTCATAGACATAGATCCAGCAGACGCACTTTACAGTACGTCTGTCCGTTCTGTGGCTACGGGGGTATCCGTGAGCGGGGAGAAACGATATTCTCTCGATGTTTTTCGTAACAAATTAGAGGACGCGTCCCATCAATAAAAATTCGACAAATTTGCAAGTAGCCAATAAAATGAGTGGGCGGAGCGATTTGCGGTGGCGTACTCGTCAAGTCGACGTATAAAATATATTGCTGTTTATTTAAATGTTTTTTGTCCGCATTCCTTTCATAGACACAGATCCAGCAGACGCACTTTACAGTACGTCTGTACCGTTCTGTGGCTACGGGGTATCCGTGAGCGGGGAAACGATATTCTCTCGATGTTTTTCGTAACAAATTAGAGGACGCGTCCCATCAATAAAAATTCGACAAATTTGCAAGTAGCCAATAAAATGAGTGGGCGGAGCGATTTGCGGTGGCGTACTCGTCAAGTCGACGTATAAAATATATTGCTGTTTATTTAAATGTTTTTTGTCCGCATTCCTTTCATAGACATAGATCCAGCAGACGCACTTTACAGTACGTCTGTCCGTTCTGTGGCTACGGGTATCCGTGAGCGGGGGAAACGATATTCTCTCGATGTTTTTCGTAACAAATTAGAGGACGCGTCCCATCAATAAAAATTCGACAAATTTGCAAGTAGCCAATAAAATGAGTGGGCGGAGCGATTTGCGGTGGCGTACTCGTCAAGTCGACGTATAAAATATATTGCTGTTTATTTAAATGTTTTTTGTCCGCATTCCTTTCATAGACACAGATCCAGCAGACGCACTTTACAGTACGTCTGTCCGTTCTGTGGCTACGGGGTATCCGTGAGCGGGGAAACGATATTCTCTCGATGTTTTTCGTAACAAATTAGAGGACGCGTCCCATCAATAAAAATTCGACAAATTTGCAAGTAGCCAATAAAATGAGTGGGCGGAGCGATTTGCGGTGGCGTACTCGTCAAGTCGACGTATAAAATATATTGCTGTTTATTTAAATGTTTTTGTCCGCATTCCTTTCATAGACATAGAGATCCAGCAGACGCACTTTACAGTACGTCTGTCCGTTCTGTGGCTACGGGGTATCCGTGAGCGGGGAAACGATATTCTCTCATGTTTTTCGTAACAAATTAGAGGACGCGTCCCATCAATAAAAATTCGACAAATTTGCAAGTAGCCAATAAAATGAGTGGGCGGAGCGATTTGCGGTGGCGTACTCGTCAAGTCGACGTATAAAATATATTGCTGTTTATTTAAATGTTTTTTGTCCGCCTTCCTTTCATAGACATAGATCCAGCAGACGCACTTTACAGTACGTCTGTCCGTTCTGTGGCTACGGGGTACCCGTGAGCGGGGAAACGATATTCTCTCGATGTTTTTCGTAACAAATTAGAGGACGCGTCCCATCAATAAAAATTCGACAAATTTGCAAGTAGCCAATGAAATGAGTGGGCGGAGCGATTTGCGGTGGCGTACTCGTCAAGTCGACGTATAAAATATATTGCTGTTTATTTAAATGTTTTTTGTCCGCATTCCTTTCATAGACACAGATCCAGCAGACGCACTTTACAGTACGTCTGTCTGTTCTGTGGCTACGGGGTATCCGTGAGCGGGGAAACGATATTCTCTCGATGTTTTTCGTAACAAATTAGAGGACGCGTCCCATCAATAAAAATTCGACAAATTTGCAAGTAGCCAATAAAATGAGTGGGCGGAGCGATTTGCGGTGACGTACTCGTCAAGTCGACGTATAAAATATATTGCTGTTTATTTAAATGTTTTTTGTCCGCATTCCTTTCATAGACACAGATCCAGCAGACGCACTTTACAGTACGTCTGTCCGTTCTGTGGCTACGGGGTATCCGTGAGCGGGGAAACGATATTCTCTCGATGTTTTTCATAACAAATTAGAGGACGCGTCCCATCAATAAAAATTCGACAAATTTGCAAGTAGCCAATAAAATGAGTGGGCGGAGCGATTTGCGGTGACGTACTCGTCAAGTCGACGTATAAAATATATTGCTGTTTATTTAAATGTTTTTTGTCCGCATTCCTTTCATAGACACAGATCCAGCAGACGCACTTTACAGTACGTCTGTACCGTTCTGTGGCTACGGGGTATCCGTGAGAGGGGAAACGATATTCTCTCGATGTTTTTCGTAAAAAATTAGACGACGCGTCCCATTAATAAAAATTCGACAAATTTGCAAGTAGCCAATAAAGTGACTGGGCGGAGCGATTTGCGGTGACGCACTCATCAAATCGACGTATAAAATATATTGCTGTTCATTTAAATGTTTTTTGCCCGCATTCCTTTCATAGACACAGATCCAGCAGATGTACTGTACTGTATGTGTTGAGCATTTCTTGTACTTGCGTCATGAACGTACTGAAGTTCTATGATTGATGAATTTTGTACGTGTTTTTGCCTTGAATCTTATTAATACCTACTACCACCTCTATAAGCCAGAGTCGACTCTCCGCCATGTCTGGCCTCTCTGATTGACGGTAAGGCCGGACGGTCACATAGCACATAACCGTTTAAATTAGTGGAGAACTTTTGTGATATATAGCTAGTCTCTTTATTGGCAAAGCCTTGGCAACAAATATTGTTTATTTTGAAGTACTAGCCAGCAGAATACAGAAGTTATATGGACTAAGCAAGGAGTTAAAGATAAGTTAAGAGTAAAGATTATTAGAGACAACAGACAGATGGCGTTAATAGTAATGGTTTTATTGAGGTGAATGAACAGTAAACACGTTAGATATTAGAACTTAAAAGATGTATTTGAGTAATGTTTTACTATTTACATTGTATAGTAACATTAAGTCTACTAATATGAAACAAATTTTTGCCAAAGAAATATACAATTTCATTTTACTTAACATAAATAAGAATGGATGACAATACACTAGGATAAATTTAAAAATAGTAACGTCTGAAAAGGGAGAGAGCAAATAAGAACATTTTAAAATTATTTTATCTTTTAGTTCAATAGTTCCAACGTTAATAGTTCATCCAATACAAATTCAGCTAGTTTATTTAGTACCTTTGATGACACATGAATGATGGATAGATATTAACATACAGAACACAACTTTTTACAATCAGAGACTTTTTATTTTAGGGAACGTCAAAATAATTTATTTACAATATAATACATTTTTGTATTTTTACCAACTTTTTTCCACTAAAAAGTTTTTAGAGGTACTTAAACTTAGATTTTTGGTTTATTTGCTGATTAAAAATAAGTAAATTTTATTACTTCCTTCTCGTTTATTTATACAGGGCGAGTCTCAATAAGTGCAAATATTTTCAGGGCTGGTAGATCTCGATAAAAGAAAGATATTTTCTCTTTACCGTGTTTCAAATAAGTCCAAAATAACCGAGTTATTTAACTTTGAAAATTAAAAAAAAATGATTTTTTGCCTAAATTTTGACAACCACCAAATTCGTTCTGGAGATTTTCTCTCTTATAAATTTAATCTACTACGTATGTTACCATATTATCAAGAAATTATGTTTTATAAATAAAAACTAAAAAAAACAAATTTTCAAAAAAAGGCGTGTTTTGTGGTCCAAATCTACTACCCCTAAAACTATTTGTACTTATTTAACTCGCCCTGTATATTTAATAACATAATGCCCACAGATATTTAACAATTTCCATAGGAAAAAGAATTGTTTAACAATTCACGTGGGTAACAACTTAAATAAGTCTTACACGGATCAATTTAAAAACCTTCATTAGAAAAAATATGCCTAATACAAAATCTGTGCTTTAATAATAATAAATCCGTTACTATTAAGTAAATTAACAACTTGTATACAGGTATGCATAGCGTCTACCTACATTAGAAAGGTTCTAAGTCCAGATAATACACAACCAACATATTTTTCCCAGTAAAAATATAAAAATTCTAAAAAATATTAAATCACATTGCGAGAACTTGAAATTATTTAGGACAAAGACACTCAGCAAAAAATATATCTGCAGGGTCCGGCAATAGTGCGTCGGGCGTCTGTAGCTCCTAGAATAAAAAACTTGGGAACTTTAAGTGCACACCTAAAGTATGTCCTAGGATCTATTTCAAAAAGTGTGACCGGATCGGAATGAACACCCTGTATATTATTGTATTTTTGACTTCCTTTCAGATCACTTTACATAATCCTAGGATATGAGCTTTTAAATATGTATCTATAGTTTCAGATATATATTAAAAATATATATTTTCAGCCTTTTATAAAAAAAAATACTAAAAATACAAGAACTGTCCTGAAATAAAAACTATATTAAGTATTGAATTTAGATGGTCTATACTTACTTAGCTATTAATAACGTAATCATACAGTACGTTCAAAATTCTGCGCTAAACTTCCTAAAATATAAAACAATTTTTCGTTCTTTTTTTAAGTGGAACGCCCTGTATATATTTTTTTAATAGATTGAGGATTAATTCTCCATCTAATAAAAAAATACATACAATAATATACAGGGTGAAAAACTATTTTATATTTGCGAATGTCTGGCATAGAATTTTGAACACCCTGTATAATTTCAGAATACGATATTAATAGCAAAGTAAGTATAGACCATCTAAATTAAATACTTAATACAGTTTTGATTTCAGGACAATTCATGTATTTGTAATAATTTTTTAAGCATAAAAAAAATATTTTTTTATTTATTTATTAATATCTCAGAAACTATCGAAATATATTTACTATTTGGAAGCCAAAAATTCAATAATATACATGGTGTTCCATTTCAAAAATCACCGCGATCCACTCACACTTTTCTGAGCTACCCTGTAGATATTAAAATATTTTCCTGAGATACATCATAGTAGATATATACTTTAGGTTTGCACTTAAGCACGAATCCCAAGTTCCCAACGGCGTCAGCGATGGCTATGAAATGAAGATCGGTGTCATTTTATATGTAAAATTATATGGTGAATGTCATCGATCGTCATTTCCAAGCCAACTGGATGCCGTTTTTTTTTCGATCATGCGTTATAAAAAATATAGACTCGCTAATTTACTGTTTGTTAACTTCATATTTTAAATTTCTAATAGATGCATATCATACACTGTAAACTTACAAGTATTGACGTATTCCGTTGGAGTTGAAACAACATAAATACGCAGCTAAATAAGAGTAGCAAAAAGATAAAGAAACGCTTATAAAAAGTGTGTATACAAATATCTATCACATTAACATCACGCCAAGAAAGTCCGTGAAGATACCATAAATTGCAAGTCTCTGATTATAAAGATCTATATGACTGAAAAACAAATACACATTTTGTAATTCTTTAGCCCAAGGTCTTCAAATACTGATTCTGTTCAAATATCACAGGCAGAGGAGAAATTTTTTTAAGTTCGCATTTATTTATGTTATATAAAAAACACATCAGATCTTATAATTAATTACCTTGTAACAAACAGAAACTCAAGAAAGTCTAAAAAACGTCAACATGGAACTATACTAAATGAAACACTAAATTATCCCCTACCTTGGACATTTCACATCTTTTTTTTAACAGCTAGCTATATATTTTGTATTTAAAATAAATAATTATAGTAACAAATGGTATCGACAGATATTTATCTTTAAATTAACTATAGTAGTTCTGGCTCTAGGAGATTCACAATCCAATTACATAGTTTGAAAACTGTTTTACCGGAACCCAAATCGGTTTGCGATTCTTCTAGTATAGGCCTAATGATAACTGTACATAAGAAAGACGGTTTTCTGTTAAAGACATTGGTAACAATAAAATTGAGATTCTTCATAGAAAACATTTTTTTTATAGTGTGTATCTAAAAGTTCGCATAAATGGGGAAATCTTTAATTACTGATAGTCCAGGAGGCAGTGAATTTTTTGTAGTACTTATTTTCTCAGTCGACGGTGACATTTTTTTATAATTTTTCACATGGTAAATAATACTATAATTTCACTGAAAATACACGTCTGGCTCTCATCACAATCACAAAAGACTCACCAGACTCACAAGTCAGGTGCTTAAATGAGGAGAGGAAACGGTACGTATGTATGAATTTAACGTGCCTGCCGAGCATTGGACGAGCCTGGGAAGGCTTTCGGGATGTTCCACATTAGCCAGATTACATTTGCAGCTGTATAATTATAATATAAACGATCATCTGACAAATTTTTAGGACTACGAAAATAAGGGCAATGGTTTCAATCTTCACTGGCTCCTGGACTATGCGATATATCGGATAAAAAGTTATGAGGAATTATAAAAAGTTGTTGCGAATTTTAAGGTACACCCTGTAGTTGATGCACAAAGAAACGTAAGGATGTCGAAATAAAAAACCAAATCAAATATCCGAGAAAGTTATTATTAAATTTCAAAACTAAAAAAAGGATAACTAAGCAAATAAATAATTAATTTAAATTGAAATATCTGTGAAGAATGTCACATGTATATATGCAGTCCTCTGAAGTTGATAACGTAAAAAAATAAATCAGCACAAACCATATATTACAAAAAACGGTTCACTTCCATACACGGTCTCTTTAGTTTTATGTTACACTTTTATATAGGAACAAACTTGTCGAGTCTCCGAGAGACGCAAATCCTCACCAGTAGCAATTGCAGTTCGGATCGCCCTTCGCCTTGTATTCGACATTCCTCTCCACGCTATCACCCTCGAAATGGTTACTATCCAAATGGTAGCCAATAAAGCTAGTGCTGTTTAAAAAATAACTAGATATTTGATCCCAGTAAATGTGTCCCATCGCTCTGGTGAAGCAGCTCTCCGCCATAGCGTGCAGTTCGTCCAGGCTAGGCGGAACGTCAAAATTAGGCGACACGTCGAATCTAGGCGACTCGTTGAACTTCGGTAAAGCGGGCGGCTCATCATCGGTCCATGGTGGCCTCCAGATCATTGACCCCTAGCTGTTTCTTTGTCTCTTGGCTGCTACTTCAGTTACCATACCGTCCAACATATATTTTAACTGAGGCATATAGTCTATCACATTCCTTACTTGAACTAGTAGTACCGTTTCGTTTCTATATAGATACTTACCACTTTGTAACAATACCAGCATTTGGTCTCTGAAACAATATTTCTTTCTCAAAATTGTCAACTCTTTACTAATCATTATTCTAGACATAACACACTGTGGATCTTTCCATTCTGAACAAGCTTCTAACAAGACATACAATGACTGGATAAGCGGAAAAATAGAGCAAGACAAGAAATCAAAATAGATCGCCAAACTATAATAAATCATGTAAACAACAGAGTAAAAGTAAGAAAGGTATATACAGATACATATACTTAGATTAGTGATGGGGAAAATCGATTAATTTCAATAATCGAGTACTCGAGTTTCAAACGATTTCAATAATCGAGCGACTGTATTAAAACTACGGTTTTTCGCCCGTCGCTTGTACTTGCAACTCGTAGCGCCCAGCAGTAAGTTGCGTGCGCAGATCACATATTCTTTCGGTGATGAATGGCAAGTAGCAAGCGACGAGTAATCGCTTGATTTAGTTTACCACAGTATTGTTATTATTATTGTATTATTATACTTTAAAGTATTGTCGATGTAGGTCGTAACATTTTGTAACGCAACGGATAACGTCGTATAAATTTGCTACCTGCAATGTATGTAGAAAATTCGCTCGGCTTTGTATCGAGTATGTCACATTAAAATCGGATTTCAATTTATTTCATTCTAGGATCGCTTGCGTTCGTCGCTCGTTCGTAATCGAGCGATGTCGGTTATTTCAATCGAGTACTCGGGCGCATTTTCGCTCGAGTTATCCCATCACTAACTTAGATTAAATATGAACGGTCCATGGGAAAAACATGATAATTTAATTGCGTGTCTTTTATTCAAGTTGAGTCCTGTGTCCTGTCTGAAGCACGGCTAGTATTATAATTAATGCGTTACCGCGTGGTTGTAAACAGTCATGATACAATAACGGAAAGATAAGATATTACGCATGTAGTGGGCAGAGCTTAACAGAAAATTACTACCCGGGTGACGCCATGCGCGCGGAGAATCGATTTGCGACCGCCGCTAAGGGCGTAGATAGCAATTGGGGACAGTACCCTACGCTTGACGAGATACGAGAATTGAAATAGTCATTGACTATGAAAGGATTTTTTTTTAATTAATATCCGACATATAAGAACACTTTGTATGCTTTTAATTATGTTGATTTATCGTTTATAATATGTTCGACCTAATTAAAAGCACACAAAGTGTTCTTATTGGCCAGGACAGATTAGTGCGGTTAACTCTAATCAATATCCATAAAGATATTGAAATAAATGTTGATGCTGTTATTGATAGGTTTTCCAAACAGCGTACTAGAAAACTTGATTTTGTTTTGAAAATTAACTAATAAACGTCGTTGTTTCATTTTTGTTTATGTTATTTACAAATCTATATTTTAATTTTTGTGTTATGTTTTTATATCTTTTTGAAGACAAAAAAATCGCCGTCGTTTTAATTCGACAAAAAAATTCCGACGGTGATTTTTTTTGCGACTTAATCATAGTACCACCCCCATAGCATACACCTATCTACGCCCCTGCCGCCAAGGATCTTCTGAGATAACATATTACGCCTGTAGTGGGCGGAGCTTAACAGAAAATTACTACCCGGGTGACGTCATGCGGCGGAGAACTGGTTTGCAACCGCCAAGGATCTTCTGAGATAACATATTACGCCTGTAGTGGGCGGAACTTAACAGAAAATTACTATCCGAGTACCGCCAAAGATCTTATCTTTCGTTTATTGTATCATGGTAAACAGTCATGAGTTGTTTTAGGCGTGCCTTGTGAAGCTATTATACGCCATTCACATGGAGTGGACCGTCCGCGCAGACGATCTACGCATGCGAAACAAAGTTTTTTATTCGTCATATAGCAGGTTCGCGCGCGGATGATTCGTCGAAGCAAGATTGATTTATCCGCGTCCATGTGAAAATATTCCATAAGCGCTATTCTATCACATCACGACATGCCATTTTCATACTTCCTTTATTGCACTTATGAAACGTTCAATAGGTTTGTCTTTTCCGAGGACCTTACATAGCGCATGCGCATTAAAACTTTCTAAAATATAAAATTCCAAAATAATCACAATTTTATAGAGTTTAAAAAGTACAAATGATACAATTGTTATGGAAACCACCTTTTGTCATAATCTTGTTATAATCATATGTCATAAACTTATTTCTATTGTGTAACGTACTCTTTTATGGATCGCTTTGTGATCGATGTATTTTTTTATATAATTTAATTTTTTGTGACAGTAAACGTTCAATTTATTGTTCAAATATATGCATTTTACAAATTAAATTTTTAAAATTAATGTTCAAATTTGGCGCCTGGGCGATATGTCCACGATAAGGATAGATAGAATAGAAAAACAAACAACAAAAAAGAAGATAAATGGAAGTCGTTGATATGTTTGCGACAGTTTCCATAGTGATTTACTTATACGTAAGTATGTATGATCTAGGACTTTTGATTTTTATCGTTATGTCAAGCAGTGAACTTTCTGGATCTCTGACCAAGATCAATATGCCTGTGTGTCAATATAACTGTAAGTTCCTGAAAGTACCCTTGAAGATCTCCACTGCCTCATATCTCACTGTATTTTAAAAACATTTTCTTAGTTTGTTAGGCGCGCGTTAACATTTTCATTAAATTTTTTCTGATTTTAAAAATTTAGTGATTATTTCATTTCCTGTTAGCGCTTATATTTCTTATTTTTCCCAATTGGCGCTTATCATGTTTCCCCCCTGGACCCTTCATATATTAAAAGACAGCATGTCACCACAATACAATTAAGTTTCAACATTTTTTTGAATAAAAAGATCAGGGAAGCGGCATATTAACACACTTAGGTGGAGCGCGACGGGGATTTAATATGGCTGACTACAGTGTAAAAATATAATGTAGAGCAGATCGAAATGTAAGACAAACAAAACCAATTGCAGAATCAATAATAATTAACATAATAAAATAAGTTCAGGAAAGCCCAACAAAATTTCAAATCAAATTCAAATGTGTCAGTTGAAACGTCAAACAGAACAGCCAGGATGGGGGTTCATGATGCCCCTTCTTTAATCTTTTTATTCAAAGTTTTTAAAAAAAACTAGTAAGGGCTGGCAAGGGATCTTCTACGTCAACTTTTTTATGTATATCTTGCAGACGTTTCAAACCATGTATGCTGTATCTTTTCTATCAGGGTGAGTGTTAAATAAGTGTAAATATTTTTAGGGGTATTATATTTCGACCCCAGAAACACGTCTATGAGGTTTATTTTAAATTTTTTTTTTGGAAATTTTGGTAGTTTTTCTTCATAATATGGCATTATGGGTAGTGGATTAAATTTACAAGAAGGAAAACCCAGAAAAGATCCAGTCGTTTTCCAAATTTAACCAAAAAACATTTCTTTTTTTAATTTTCAAAGCAAAATAACTCGGTTATTTTGGACTTACTTAAAAAACGGCAAAGAAAAAATATGTTTCTTTTATAGAGATCTACTTAGCCCTGAAAATATTTGCACCTAATTAAGACTCGCCCTGTATATTCTAAGGAAAATACAGGGTGAATCTTAAAAAAGTGCAAATATTTTCAGGGGTAATATATTTCGACCAAAAAACACGCCTATGATGAGAGAAAAATAATTATGATAATTTTCTATTTAACTTTAACTTTCAGTAAAAAAACATAATATCTTCATAATGTGGCAACATAGGTAGTAGATTAAATTTACAATAAGATCCAGTGGTTCTCAAAATTTAAACAAAAAAACGTTTTACTAAACCTCGGTTATTTTGGCCTTATTTCAAAAACGGCAAAGAGAAAAATGTATTTTTATCGAGATCTACCGGCCCTGAAAATATTTGCACATATTCAAGACTCACCCTGTATGTCAATCATGCGCTTAAAATAGGGAGAAATAAAATCAAACTTACGAATTGGCTGAGTAAATTTGAATGCCTAATACTTCCATGACCTGTTGGCAGTTTTGTAGAGGTACCCCTGGAAAAAAGTTCGCCACCAAGTCGTCCAGTGTAACCAGATGTTCCGAATAGACGTTTGGTTTCATATTGATCAAATTGAGCGTCTTCCCCTGGACCAGGGCCTTCTGGATTTTGTATGGAATGTTGGTGGCGCCAGTGGCGACTGGCGGCGATTCTGGCAACTTGTTTCTGTTGGGGGTAGCGTTTAGTAGCGCCCTTCCGTTGGTTATTGCTGAAGTAGAGTCCTGGGGGGACGCCGATGCGGTTTGCGTCCTAGACGAAGCCTGGTGCGCTGGATTTTGATTGACTAATTGATCTAGAGGCCGATTTGTACCGTAATTGCTAAAAAAAGTGAAGTTGACAATGTGTAGTCCGTTCTACATCGCAAAACATCCCCCTTTAGAACTTGTTCTTTAATGGCCATAAACGGGAGTAAAAGACTAACCGTGCAAACAAACACTAGAGGCGCCACCGGTCATAAAATAGTCTAAAACTTGCGAAAATTTAATCATATAATTTTGACATACGGGGTCGCGCTTAACTTTTAATTAATTTTAATTCAATTCTCATTGTTTTTAAACTATATTATTAGATTTTGTTGTGTTTTGTGACTGAATAAATGTTTTCTTAGTATAAAGTTGCATGATATTAATATAAATTATATTATATACATATTTAAAAAATATTATGACATATATGCCAGTAGCTCCGCCTAAAATGTCATCTTGATAACAAAAAGTGCTGTTACATTTTTCAGTTTTCTTTGTTAGCCGCGGAAGTTTCAGTGATTTTAGTGTCGTCGGATATTTTTATTTGTGATAATATTAACAATACATACAGGCATTAATTGAAATTTTTAGTATGCGAACAAACACGAGAGGCGCTTTATTTACTTTCATTTCTTAACATGACAGGGACGAAGTTCTAAAGAGGAATGTTTTGTGCTCTACATAAGTATCTTTATCACCAACACCCCGATTTAAAAAAATAAGAAGTATATTAATCTGTAAGCCCCGTCTACACATATCGTTTTACGTATCAGTCAAATATTGTGTGCGGCAAATGTTTTGTCTGCACTAAAAAAATTATATATTGCCAAAAATAATATGACTATATATAATGCAACGATTTAATACGTATTTTTAAAAACCAAAAAAAAATATTTTTTAAATGTTATAATAAATGTAAAACCGCAGGTAAAATGTTATGTGTAGATGGAACTTTAGCATGAAGGCATAGAAAACGGTTTTAAAAGTCTGTATTTTGAGGACATTTTAATGATATCGGTAAATTAATAATAATAATAACAATGGCAGAATGATTTATTTTTGCCCAGCTATACAGGGTGCCTCTTAAATAAGTGCAAATAGATTCAGGACTGGTAGATCTCAATAAAAGAAACATATTTTTTCTTTACCGTTTGATTGCTGGGTTTTCTTTGTTGTAAATTTAATCTACTACCTATGTTGTCATATTATAAAGAAATTGTTTTTTTAACTAAGAACTAAAAAAAATCTTTTTTTTTAAAAAATGCCAAATTTTCAAAATCTTTCTTTCGCGAAAAAAACTGATAATCGTGTTTCTGGGGTCGAAATATTCTACACCTAAAAATATTTGCACGTATTTAAGACTGAGCCTGTAAAGGGTACAAGTATATCTTTCCAGGGTGTTTATATCATAAATAAACACCATGCAAGGATATACCGGGTGAGTCTCAAAAGTGGCTCACCCCTATAATTTTTATTTTTTTTAGTTAACAAAAACGAGATTTGGTATGTTAGTCTATGACATAAATTAGGATTGATTGATGCATACAATTGTTTTCGGTCACTTCCGGTTTCACCGGAAATGACTCCCCCGGTATTTTTTTACCTTATTCAATAGAAAATGTCACTCTGAATAGAATGACATATCATATGTCAACTTTTGACATTTTCGCATACGGTTTATTTGACTCGAAATACCAAGTGTGTGGTATCAAATTAATCGTAAAAAAATGCTTTTTCCAAATATTCTACTGAGCCATCCTCGTTCCATTTGAAAAAATTGAGATATGATTGAAAATACGATTTGAGCATTTTCTAACTGGCCAGGACAAGACACTAAAAACTTTAGACGATCAAATCTATTTTTCCAAGGCTCCTTGATGAAGAATTAGTGTTTTTAACATAGCCATGGCACTATAGATTGAATTTTAAAATACATTTTTTTATTAAGCGAGAATGTCAAAAGTTGACATATGATATGTCATTCTATTCAGAATGTCATTTTCTATCTAATATAGTACAAAAATACCGAGGGTGCTATTTAAAAATGAAAAGTTGTAGTCATTTCCGGTAAAACAGGAAGTGACCAAAAACAATTGAATACACCAATCAATCCTAATTTATGTCATATACTAACATACCAAATCTCGTTTTTTTATCTGAAAAAATAAAAAAGTTATAGGGGGTGAGCCACTTTTGAGACGCACCCGGTAAATTAGTTTTTTTTTCTAGAAGTAAAATATTTATATTAAATAACCTACAGAACAAAAAACTGAAAATGTGTAACGTTACTTTTTAATTTAATAAAATATTATAATTCCACAGTTGTGTGACCACAAGGACATACCTCTTTATCCTATCCTATTTTTTATCACTGACATACATAAAATTATTGTACATTTTTGAGGTCCCCGTTCAATCTGCAACAAAAAAAGTACTCTTGCATTTTTCACATTAACACATCAGCTTCAACTATATTTCATGACAAACAGAAACTTCTCTGTCATTCTTGCCGGCTGCCAGTACAAATTTAAGTAATGGATTATTAAATCTAAAAAAGTTTCAAAAAGATTCCAGTTTCTGTTTGGAATAAAATATACGAACGAAAGTGCACAGTGCAAAAAACGTAGAGTACCTTTTTCATTTTAAATCTAATTTTAATTCGAATTAAAAAAAAATATGGACAGATGAGTTCCCTCAAAATCATTTATATTTTACCAGTTTATTCAGTCAGTGGCGACTCGTGTCATAGACTTTCCTGGAAAAATTCTGGGTCTTTATATTTAATTAAAGAAAAAATAAAACACTATACAGTTTTCTGCGATGCTGTGCCATTTCTTAAACCTGGTTGACACGGTCAAAGTGGATTTGAATCAAACACACTTGACGTGTATTTCATCCAAGTACACTTTGGCCGTGTCAACTAGGCTCTAAAGATATGCGGTATTTAAAAAAAAACTATGGTGGGTGCAAGTATATATGTATTTTCAAAACCTGTATGCAGGTCTGGATAACTACTAAAATTACATAAAATTCAAAAATTTCAATATTTTCCAAGCTACTCGGCATGGATTACGAGTTACGACATAAAGGTATTTTTAAATTTAAAATTTTATGGGATTGCTTGAAACTTTACATATGCTAAAACAACCAAGGGAAATCCCTCTGTCTGGTTTGTAGAATTATAATTTGTTAAGCCCCGTCTACACGTTGGGGTTTACTTGTTCAGTCAAAACGTTCAAGTAAATCATTGTGTATATAGAGAATGTCTGTCTTCGGCTTTAACTGACAGGTAAAACGTTAAGTGTAGACGAAGCTTTAGAATCATGTTTTTGTAATCAAGTGACTGATTTTCTCAGACATTCTAGTCTGCTAAATTATGTATGTCAAAACCTCGCATTAAGTAAACTGATCAGTTAATAATTTAGGGTCAAAGTTTACTTTTTGTCATTTTTCCCCTTGCAATAGAACCTCAATTTGGTAAAATTTCAGCCTGCCAAGTAAAGTATTTAGGCTCTTGATTTTCTTTGCAACAGAACTTCATATTTCATAAACTTATATCCAATTAAAAAATATAAGATGTAATAAAGTTAACGTTTTGCACAAATTTTTCGGTATATATTTTTCTACTACTTTTGATATCAAGTTTAAAAAATTGGAAACTTGATTAACACAATTAAAAAAAAACAATGCAGGTAGTTGAAAATTGAAAATAAAAAAAATTGCCTAAATGTTAGTGTAGGTAAATGTTAGTCGCCACTGCTGTAATATTTTTATATAAGAACTGAATTTATGACTGATATTCATAATTATATTCATATTCTGGATGTGTCTTCACTAGAGGTTATTTAAAAATTTTGTTTTTAGGTAAAACAAAAAAATTGTGCCAAAAGGTTGAATGAAGAAATTTAACTAATAATATACCTTGGAGGGCAATCATATCTTGATATTCCTCCATTCATATGCTGTAAAAGTGGTGGAGGTGGATAGTTCGCCTGTGATGTAGCTTGGTGATAATTGTTTTGGGGATCTACCACCATAAAACTGTTCCCAGCCTTATTTTGGGTGTTGTATTGTCCCACCATCCTGAAATATAATTTCACCCATGTAAAAATGAACAAACCTTCAAACCATTCCTTTGCTAGGCTAGAGAAACTACTTATGAATAAATAATTGTACAAGTATGTATTTTTCAGAAGGACTTTTCAATTTTTGTAGGTCTATCCAAACAGTTGTGCTCAAAATTCAACACCAAATCAAAAAGTAACCTCATGCAAATTATAATGTGCTACAATGAACAGTTATATTTATGTAAGTCAAAAATATTGACATGAAATCTCTTATATGCCCGTTAGTTTAATAAAAAAAAACTTAAAAGAACTGCTTATTACTTTTAATTTTCTTGTAATTTTATTTTTTATTAATGAATTGATAAATTAGGTCGTTTATGAAATATGAAGTTTTATTTACATTTGATTGGATCCAGTAGTTTTTCCTGGATTTAAAATTTAAAAAAAAATTCTTTGCGCCAATAAATAATGAAGCAAAAAAGTGAAACAATTACTTGTACCCAAACTTAACGTACTAGATCTAATAAGAAATGATGAAGCCAAACGACCCACGTGTTCAGAAAAAAAATCCTCAAAATTAAACCAGAACAAACAAAAAAGAACTAAAAATCCAGACATACAATAATTATCATACGTTAAATATTCACTCAAGCAAATAAATAGTGAAATATGATGATAGGGGTTCTTTTTAAGACACTTGTCTAAAATAAAAAAAACAGAATTGAAACTAATGTCAATTAGGTGAACAAATGAATAATGTTGGATCACACTGCATTTCTGTTCTGTGCAAAACATCAATTCACTAAACTCACCAAGAACTATCATCCAATCTCTGCTCACAGACGATTGCAGGATTAACGTGGAAACTATTCAACAAAAATCAATATTTAATCAATTATTTTCTTTCCCAAATAATAAGTAATATAGAAATTTTTAATTGTCGTTTTACGGTGCTACAATTTGTTTACAATATTCCTCTTTTTAATTGGTATTATAATCTAGACATGCAGTGTAAATTACAACTGAAGAAAATAAATAAAATACAAGCACCCACACACAGCCATACCTAGGACACAATATCAAAATATGTTGGTTAAATATAATATTTCCTAGTAAAATATTATAAGTTAAAATGAAATTTATAATTAAAATTGTATGTGCTTACGTTGCTGATCGAACTAAAGGTGGGGGAGGTGCTTGTCCCATGTTGGCATAATATCCCGTTCCAGGCCTCATATGTCTGGCAGAAGTATTTTGATAACTTGCTCTTGCAGCTGAACTGGCAGCTCTCGGTTGCGCCGCATGGTAAGAAGGCTGTCCTCCAGCTATGCTATAGCTATTCGAATAAACATGTACATTATGCATCCCTGCTGGCCCGTTGGTCGCTGCTTTGGCCTGTGTAGCAGGCTTGGGGCTTGGAGGAGGGTGTGCAGTAATGGGTGGTGCCACAGGTTGCCTGGTCCAATGAACATTTTGGGGTGCATTAGTTCTGCCACTAATCAACAGCTGAGAAGAGTCTAGATTTTTTTTGGGCCAGTAATCCTCGAATACTGTTCCCGGTGGAAAGTAATTTTTTATATCATTCAAACTAATCACTGAACAGGAATCATGGGCAAAAAGTTCATTCCTGATGCCCTGAACTTTACAACAAAACTTTAAATAAGAAAGGTCCCAGCCTTCTAACTTGTCGGCTCTCTGTTTTAGGTTGTCGGTTTCTCCTTCAAAATAAAATAAAGGAACATATTTTTGATCGTTATACACAGTATAAGGAACAACCGATTCCCTGTTAATTCGAATAAAGCCGCAACGGTTTGGCATTTCAGCCTCAATAGTATTCACTAGTTTATGATAGCAATGTCCTAAAAACTGATAGAATTCGTTCGCGTCAGATAGTCTCACTATTAAGTCTCTGGATGTGAATTGTTCTCTGCCAAATTGGTAGTCACAATGTTTAAGATTAATTTCATTTAACAGTCTCGCCTCCACTTCTGTTATGTAGTAGCTTCTGATATTTGTACAGTTGTATAAGTCTTGGTGTAGATAGTTTAGCCACTTGTTTAAGACTTTCATTTCCACCATACGAACTGCACAATAATTATCTCCGGCTCTAATAATGTAAGGAATATGTACTTTACCCATGGAAGTCCAGCCAAACCTGCCTTTAGCAGAATCTTCATCAATGTTTTTGATCTCTTCACTAGAGTTGCTTGGCTGGGCTGGAAGCTTCACTTTGGGTTTATCACTAGATAGAAAACTTAGTATATTCATAGCTGGAGTGCTGGGTTGTTGATTTCTCTGAGGTACTGCCATTTTAGCCTTATTAGCCTCAACAAATTTAGCCGCCAACTCTCTGATCTCAGGATCATCTTGTCTTTCTTGTTTAACGTTACTATTAACCGAATTACTATTACTATTTGAAAAATTACTAACAGAGGAGTTATTCGAATTGCCTTTTGCATGATTATTCATTGCGCTGATTTTTTTATGATTAATTCGTCAACAATGTATTTGGCAAATCTGTCAAGAGAGAGCGGTATTCCATGATTTAATTTACATAATTACCGATTAATCTCCAAAACTGCATAGAGAATTTCCTTTTAAATGGTCTTTTTTAGTTTCGCCGTTGTTTACAAAACTGGGAATGAGGTTAAGGCGGATTTGCTCCTTACTTGTTTAAGCGGCCATAGCGCCATCGTGGGGAACACTTGACGTTGTACCAGCTCTATTATTGTTAGTTTGTTCAAAACACAGTAATTAGTAAGTTAAAATGTATGTATGCACTTTCTGTTATTGGGCTCTCACTTTAAAAACACACATATACGCAAAGTTCGTTAATTATAAGCGTTTTTTTGGATATAAGCGCGTTGTCTTCATGTCATACAACAGAACCTACGATCGACAGCGCTCGGCCTCTCCGTACTTCCCGAGCTACTCGGTCGGTGTCCGTGTCCAACGTATCGCTAGCCTCGCTACAGGGTCCTATATTTCCTACGAAGCCACCTTTCACATGATCATTAGAAGATGGCCGCCGAATCCGTTACATGACCAATCAGAAGGCTCGAGGAACAGTTAATCGGTGTGACGACACACTATATTGATGACGTTTTGGCACCCTGTAAGAGACTATTTACATTGTTTCCAAGGTCTAGCTACTCAAGGATATACACTTGGAAGTTTTTTCTCTATTATAGTTTACCAGAAATATCCATTTTGATAGACTGTGTATCGAATAATAACTTATATGCTATGGATGGACCACATATTGCTTAGATTTTTTCGAAAGTAATGCTATCTTTATCGAAACGTAAATCTATTTCATCCAGACGATTCGTTTTTCAAATTCGAGATGGAATATCGACCTTATTGCTCTATTACATAAAGAAAAATGTTATGTTCCCGCCAAATTCTTAATACTGTCATTTTCAAGGTTACAGATTACATTTTTTAACTTAATACTTTTAATTACGCATATTCAACTGATTAAGTTTGATGTAGAAAGTTATTCAATCATACACGTAATAAATGAATATTAAAAACATGACTCATCGCCCTTTTACCACTTCCACTTTTGTGATAGAACTTCACAACAAGATGGCCGTCTTACGACTGCGCAGTCGATGTAGTTTACGTAACTGGAGCTATTTTTTATACTTTTTATACATAGTTTTGATCTGAAATCGTCCATACATTAACATGTATTAACTTTAACCAATCAAATTGAGATTAACAAAGCTCTTCATATCTTTCTTTTATTATAAATATGAATAAATAGAGAATGCTATTTACAGTATGTTAATTATTCTTGCTTTTAGAGCTAGGAGCTAGTTATATAACTGTCACGTTTTTACTTAAAACATCTGCGTATGCGCTGGTGCGCATTTGTCATTGATCCTTCGTGATTAATGATATAGATCTATGATTTTGATTAACTCATTAATGTAACGTTAGCTTTAGTTTAGAATCAATCTACCCGTTATTTTATAATCAATGACACAGATTTCCTTTTTAAAAATTAGTAGGTAATGTAAATAAAGGCATTTCAAAAATCTAAGCTTAGATTTTTTAATAATTATACCTATTTTGCATTTTAATTATCATGTACTCAAAAAACTGCGCATACCTAAAAACCATGCGCATCTAAATTGCTCAGATATTTAGTGACGGGAGGTAATTGACCTAATTCAAACTGTAAATAAACCAATAACGCCAGCATGGATAATAAAATTAAAAAAAACTCCCTTGCATTTCATTGACATCTATTGCGCCTAGTCAGTAACTAGACTCCATTAGAAACAGGTATCTATATAGAATTCTGTGGTTGACATTTAAATGGCGAGAAAATGTCAGTGTCAAATTCTGGCGTCAAATGTCAAATGTCAATTATATAATTCAGTGGTCTTGGTTGGCAACAAAAGATGTGTGTTTGAAGAACGTAAAAATTAAATATATCTATTTTTTAGGATTGAAGTCCTAATTACAAGAGACATAATTGCTTGCTCTTTGTATACTTTAACATACCAATAATAATGGATTCCGAAGATGAAACATATGATGACGTCGACTCGGGAAATGAATCGAGTGGCGACGATGTTGATTTTGCTATGGAAGTTGAAGTTACGGGCCATAGAGAGAAGCAAAACGATTCCGATGACTACCCCTACGAAGTTCTAAGCACTGAAGAAATAGTCCAACATATGGTCGATTCTATTAAAGATGTTAACTCCGTTGTAGAGGTATTAGATATATTGAAGTTTCTCCTTTGGTACCCTATGCACTGCTTTTATTGCTAGATTCCGGCAACAACAACACGTATTCTGTTAAATCATTTCCGATGGGATAAGGAGAAGCTTATGGAACGGTTTTACGATGGAGATCAAGACCAACTTTTCAGTGAAGCCAGAGTTATTAACCCGTTCAAAAAGTTAAATATTACAGTGAGGACAAAGGTAACGTTTAAAAAAACTGCAAACGGAACTGAAGAATGTGAAATTTGTTTTATGGTACTGCCATGTTCGGTAAGAAATCATTATTTATCATTAAAATATTGTCACCCAATAAAATTTTTATTTGCAGCATATGACTGGTTTGGAATGTGGTCACAGGTTTTGTATCCACTGTTGGTGTGAATATTTAACAACGAAAATCATGGAAGAAGGTGTAGGACAAACTATTGCTTGCGCAGCACATGGTTGTGATATTTTAGTAGATGATGCCAGTGTAATGCGGCTAGTTCGCGACTCCAAAGTCAGACTGAAATATCAGCATTTGATTACTAACAGTTTCGTCGAAGTAACTTAAATTTTTTATCTATATTAATGGAGTAATTTAATAATAATAATTTATTTTTAGTGTAACCGCTTGTTGCGTTGGTGTCCATCTCCAGACTGCAGCAACGCAATAAAAGTCCAGTACGTCGAACCTCACCGTGTAACATGCAAATGCAACCACACATTCTGTTTCTCGTGCGGCGAGAACTGGCATGATCCCGTTAAATGTCATCTACTGAAAAAATGGATAAAAAAGTGCGACGACGATTCTGAAACCAGTAACTGGATTGCCGCCAACACAAAGGAATGCCCAAGATGTAATGTTACAATTGAAAAGGACGGAGGCTGTAATCATATGGTGTGTAAAAACCAGAATTGTAAAGCTGACTTCTGCTGGGTTTGTCTAGGACCTTGGGAACCTCACGGAAGTTCCTGGTATAACTGTAACAGGTAAAAAACGGCATTTTTTTTCTAATTGTTACCTCTAATTTATTTTCTATTTATAGATACGATGAAGATGAAGCTAAGGCTGCCAGAGATGCTCAGGAAAAATCTCGCTCGGCTCTACAGCGCTACCTGTTCTATTGTAACCGCTACATGAATCATATGGCTTCATTGAAGTTCGAGCATAAACTTTACGCGTCGGTTAAAGAGAAAATGGAAGAAATGCAGCAGCACAACATGAGCTGGATTGAAGTTCAGTTTTTAAAGCGAGCAGTCGACATTCTTTGCCAGTGCAGACAGACGTTGATGTACACTTACGTGTTTGCGTATTATTTACTGAAAAACAATCAGTCTGTGATCTTTGAGGACAACCAGAAAGACTTGGAGAGTGCTACAGAGACCTTGTCTGAATACTTGGAGAGGGATATTACGTCTGAAAACTTAGCTGATATTAAACAAAAAGTTCAAGATAAATATAGGTATATTTTAGATATCATTTTTGAATTTATTTGATTTTTGTTTATATTTATAGGTACTGCGATAGCCGACGAAAAGTATTACTCGAACACGTCTACGAAGGGTATGAAAAAGAATGGTGGGACTACAATGAATAGTCGCAAACGATTTTAATGTTCCGAGAAAAATAATTTAGGTAGTATTATAGGATCTTTAAAAAACACCTAGTTACCTCAGTCTGGTGAAATTTATTTTGCCTGTACTTATTTTTTTCTTATATGCGCGTGTATATACACAAAAAAATACCAAAACAAGAACCCCATCTATACGTAACGATTTGCGTGTCGGTCAAAAAAGAAGACCGTCTAGAAAACCGGGCGTCAGTTCTGTAGACGGCCTATCTTAATTCAAGTAAAACGTTTGTTTTTTTTTCGTCTACACCTCTGGTCTACATACAAGGTTTTACTTGATAGGGTTTGACTGGAGAGGTAAAATGTTATGTACGGAGAGAGACGGGGGGCTTGAATGTGAAATGTATAAAATATCCCCAAGAACCTTTGAAAAGATTTTTAAAACAAATGTATTATTTTAATTTCACTTTATTTAAGTTATTTTAATAAATAGGGGATAGTTTTTTGTCACCTATATTTTTTAATAGGGCTTGGACAACTTTTCAACAATAGACGAAAAATAAATAAGTCAAGCATGGAGGGGCATATCTGAAATTGTAATTCATCAAAGAAATAAATCTTTTAAAGGTTGAGGCCTTTCTTGAATTTCAATAATAAATTAATATACCGCATATAGAGATATTGTAAAACTACTAAATCTTTTTTATAGATATTTTCTTCCCACTCACTGCCTCTGTATTGACTTTCTTTAGGAACGATAGGGTATTTATTTAAATTGTGTTAGAATTCTCAAAAAAAAAACAACATTGATAAAAAATATTTCTGCATCATATTTCTATACAACTGAATTAATCATTTAGATCAGTAAGTAAACATTGGAGTGAATTTATTTGTGAAAAAACAACTAGTCTAGTTTCTTAACGCATTTTCTTCTTTTAATTTCTTTTTATATACTAGACCGTGCTAGAGTTGTCAAAATATTAATCTCATCAAATATAAATTCTATATTTGCAAGAAAAGAATTGTGTTTATTTCTTAATTGAATTGTTGCGAATTAATTTTGTAACACAAATTCGAATCTGATGTTATTTTAATTAAATGTGTATGCATAGAAATTGTTATAGAGAAAATAATGCTTTAATTTTAGAGGCAAAGAAAATCAATTGGTTACAACGATTTGTGATAAAGTGTAATTGATGTTTTAATTTTTACTTAAATGTATTTTAGAGTTAGATAAATAACGATTCAAATTTTATTAAACCAAGGGTATTTTTAAATCACACTTGTACATATTGTTGCAGGTAAAAATGCAGTGTGCAATTATTTTTATTAATTAATATTAAAATTAATATTGAAATTAACGTTTCGATAAAAAATGTACATAGAATTATTTTTTATCTTAATTTTTATTGTCGATATAAAAGAAAAATATACATATAAGTGGAAATACTTAATAAGTTGTTTACCCCTGGAAAACAGTTTAAGCTGGTTGAAATTTTGATAATTTATTGTCTATTTTCTCTGTAAGAGTCTGTAAGGCTTGACAGAGGGTGTAAATTTGTAACATTGGTTTGTGGTATTACGAATTGCTAGAAAATTGTAAATAAACTCACTTTAAATTATAGTTTATTATTGCTAAAAATAAATAAAAATTCCTAAACCATATCTCTCTGTTCTCTGTTTACTGAACCTATCCCATTTATTCAAAAAATATTATTGAACATTATATTCAATTTTAATGGAAGTTTCTTTAGTCAGGGACAATATAATATTATATAGCCAAGTGATTTGTTTTTACGGTACCTTATCAGTAATTACAGGTGTTAATGTTTTAATCAAAACTTGGTTAATGTTTAGAACAATGGTTAAATATATAAATTCACATTTTAATACGTCTAGATATTATTAAAGTATATCAAAGGCTTATTAGGAATTGATTTACACTTTTTCTTGAGGAAAAATAACGATTTTGTTGCACTAGTTGCTAATCAATTGTTGAAATTTACATATTCACAATAAACCAAAAAGTATCGATAATTTAAAAAAAGAAATCGTATCGATCTCTCACAATGTGCTCGTTACTAACGATGACATTTTATATTTTATAGACAGATTGTACATGCATCTGTGGTCTGTATGTCAGGATGACATGAGATTGAGAAGGTTTATATTTTCGTAGTGTTTTCTTTTATTCTCCTTAAAAATACACTTATTTATCTTAATTTATTTAGTGACTGGATATTTTTTCAAATACCTTCTAGCAGATGATTTTTATCACTTATCTAAACAACTACAGTAGCAAAAGTCGCCAATATTAATTCCTAAATCCACTTAGCCTTAACGTTTGAATAGAAAAGAATATCCTTTTTAATGAATTTTATCTTTAGAAGTGTTTATAGGTAGGTTCACAGATAGTAAGTAGCATATTTCTCTCTTAATTTCCTCAAATAACTCTCAAATCTCTCTCTAGGTTACGTCCAATTTCATTCCGTAGAAATATGTCTTTCGATTACCCCAAAATCCGTAGGGACGAAAAGGTTGCTGATAGTTACTTCGGTATTGGGGTATGTAAACTATCGCATTAATATACTTTTCACTATATCGGACGTTATATTGCAGGTTTCTGATCCTTACAGATGGTTAGAAGATCCAGATTCAGAAGAAACAAAGGCTTTTGTAGATGCTCAAAACAACATTACTCGACCTTATATAGATAGCTGTCCTTATAAGGAATCAATTAAAAGTCGTATCACTACTCTATGGAATTATCCAAAACATTCTGTTCCATTCAAACATGGAAACAAATATTACCAATATCGAAATTCAGGTAGGAACTATATGATGTTTATTGACATATGGAAGGAAAATCTTAATGGAATACTTCATGGAAGGAAATATTTTATAACAAAGCTTAATTTTAGGTTTACAAAATCAAAGTGTTATATATGTGCAGGATAATTTACAGGATAAAGGAGAAATATTTCTGGATCCTAATACATTGTCTGATGATGGCACTATTGCTTTATCTAACACAAGTTTTTCAGAAGACGGTAAAACATTCGCTTATGGGTTGAGTGCAAGTGGGTCAGACTGGAGAGAAATTAAATTTAAAAATGTAGATACGGGTAAAAAAATTTCTTGAAAAATAATATCAATTTCCTAAACAATTTGCATCTTTCGTTCCATTATTTTGTCGATTTTAGGTGAAGATTATCCAGAAACTTTAAAGAAAGTAAAGTATTCCTCAATGTCCTGGATGCATGACAACAAGGGATTTTTCTATGGGGTAAGGATATTTAAATTTTTAACGAATGTTTTTTTGAATAGATATTTTAAGGGTTATTTGAACCAAACAGGCAAGGCAGATGGATCTGAAACTACCTCCAGCGAACACCAGAAGGTTTATTACCACGAATTGGGAACTGATCAGTCCAAAGACGTAGAAGTAGTTGAGTTTGACGATAAAGAAATTAGAATGTAAAGAAAATCGTTCATATATATTTCTATATTTTAATTAAATACTGTTTTAGAGGAGCTCAAGTCAGTGACTGCGGTACTTATTTAATTTTAACACCGATTAAAGGGTGCAAAAATTACCTTCTTTATTTTGCCAGAATCGATCCCAATGAAACGATCACAAAGAAATTAGAATTAACGCCGGTTGTTACTAAATTTGAGGCCGATTATGAAGTATTTAAAAAAGTGCATTTTTTATTATTATTTTAATTTTATTTCTTGTAGTATATCACTAACGTCGATAGCAAATTCTATTTCCGAACAAACAAAGATGCACCTAATTATAGGATAATTTGTATAGATTTTAACAACTACTCTGAATCAGAGTGGGGTACTCTAATAGAAGAGGATCCAAAAAATGTATTGGATGATGCTCATGTGATTAACAATACAATGCTGGTTGTTACATATTTAAAGGATGTACAGGTAAAAATTTGAATTAAAATTAGTACATTAAGTAAAACCATAGACTTAAAATAAAATATAGACTACACTATTTACATCTCAACGCGGACAGACAATATTTTTTGTACACATGTTTACTTCTGGGTACAGTCGACCGAGCCTTCCTCATCCAGCCTATGTTGTCACGTCTTTAATACTATCAATATTTTTTTTCTTGTTATACACATATATTGAGATATTAATACTACAGTTTAATAAAGTAGGTTTTAATATTCCAGAGATGTATTAAATAGTCCTTATACTACTAAATTATAAGTCGGATACTGTTTAAAAAGGATAAGTTCTTTACAATATGACAACACCGATTAGAGGCGAGGGAGCCTATTCATTCATTTATTACCTTGTAGTACGTGTCAGTGTTTATTTTATTGACTTTTTCTGTTCAAGAACTATAAAATATGGTTCGCCATTGCCAAATTTGCAAGAAATTTGACTTAAATAATCCATTTAAGTCTTGAAACGACTTTTGGCCGGTAGGCAACTCTCAATTTACCCATTGGGAGTCAGTGGCGTTGTTGTAGAAAGGCGCTTATTTAGATAATATTTTAGTAAAATGTAAAATCTGAATTTTTCTCTTACATTACATTATTTACTTACTTACATTGTAACAAAATCATAATTATAACCCTGTTAATAATTAATAATGTTTTTATTAAAAATATATTCCGGTTTATTCTAAAATTATCTTCAGAATCTAAAATAACATACAAAATTTTAAAATGATATTACATTATGAAACAATATTTTTAATATACCGGGTCGTCTCAAAAGTGGCTCACCCCTATAACTTTTTATTTTTCAGATAAACAAAAACAGATTTGTATGTTAGTAGGTATATGACATAAATTAGGATTTATTGACGTATTCAATTGTTTTTGGTCTCTTCCTGTTTCACCGAAATGATTACATCTTTTGATTTTTAAAGGTACCCTCGGTATATTGCTACTTTATTCGATAAAAAATGATACTCTGAATAGAATGACATATCATATGTCAACTTTTGACATTGTCGCTTAAAAACAAGTCCCATTTTAAATTTCAATCCAGGGTGCCATGGTGTTGTTAAAAACACTAAGTTTTAATGAAGGAGCCTTGGAAAAATAGTTTTGATCGTCTATTGGGTTTCGTGTCTTGTCTAGGCCGGTTAAAAGATGTACAAATCTTATTTTTAATCATACATATGTCAATTTTTTTCAAATGGAACAAAGGGTGACTCATTAGCATATTTGGAAAAGCATTTTTTATGAATATATTGATACCACACATTTGGTATTTCGAGTCAAATTGTCGTTATGAACCGCGTGTTACAATTACAATTAAACCATATGCGAGAATGTCAAAGTTGACATATGATGTGTCATTCTATTCAGAGTGTCATTTTCTATCGAATAAAGTAGAAATATACCAAGGGTGCCGTTTAAAAATAAAAAGTTATAGTCATTTCCGGTGAAACAGGAAGTGACCAAAAACAATTGAATGCGTCAATCAATCCTAATTTATGTCATGTACTAACATACTAAATCTTGTTTTTTTATTTGAAAATATAAAAATTATGGGGATGAGCCACTTTTGGGACGCACCCGGTATAATAAAGACAGTACCGAGTTAAATAAATGTAGTTTTCATTTTATCCACTTCCTATCACCTTCCTTGCTTTAATGGAACAGATTTATGTTTTCTCTAATTTACATAAGACATCACTTAACCAGAAAAAAATTACAACAATCATATTTTTTTTCTCTCCCTGTCGCCGATTCTATTATATCTGTGGAATAGATCCTGTTTTGATTAATATTAGAGGTTGTAAATGTTTGACTAAAATTAATAATTTATTATTAATTTCAAAAATTACAATAATTTCGATTATAAAATTTCTTCTATAACGTGTATTTTATTATTTTTATCCTTTTGGACTGTCCTAAATCTTAATAAAATATAAAAAGTTTAAATACGATATATTTTTAATTTAATTATAGCTTCATTAAAATAAAAAAATTACCCGGCTATGATACGGAGAGTTCAGGTGTACTTGAGAAACGAAAGACAGTGTTGTGTTTCTCGGCAGAGTCGTCAGGGAACGACCGTTACGACAGAGACAACCTATCTATCGCTCGTGTCGCACTCGTTATTTATTAGTTATACAGTGTCTGACCGCATGTTCCAGCTATTTATGAATGAGATGCTCAGTCTATATTTTATTTTAAGTCTATGAGTAAAACCATATGTGTAGACAAAAATCTGTACGGAGTTCTAAAGTATATTTTAAATCTTTCTGTAGAACACAATGCATATTTTCGACCTTACCACCGGGAAAAAACTGCACGACTTTCAATTGGATATTGGCTCTGTTTTTTCGATATCTGGTAAAAAACACCACACAGAAATGTTCTATAGTTTCTGTTCATTTTTAACACCCAACACAATATATAGAGTTGAGTTTGAGGGCGACAGTATTAAGGAAACGGTAAGTAAAAGTTATATCCCCCAATACTAGTTTCAAAAAATATCTATTTAGGTTTATCACGAAACGAAAGTTGGAGATTTGGATGCATCATTGTACGACACGAAACAGGTGTTTTATAAAAGCAAAGACGGGACAGATATTCCTATGTTTATTATCAATAAGAAAGGTTTCGTTCTTGACGGATCAAGACCTTGCTTACTCTACGGCTATGGAGGTTTCAACGTCAACTTAACACCTTCATTTAGTGTCTCAAGACTAATCTTTGTCACGAATTTTGATGGAATTTATGCCTTGGCCAATATACGTGGAGGAGGGTAGGATACCCTTTCAACAAAATATTTTTGTCATATTTATATTAGGGCGATTCAAAATAATAATAATAAAAATCTCGCAAAAAGGCTCAAAAGTTTCAGTTTGAGGTAAAAAGATACCAGTTAAAATTGGAGCCCTTAATATTAATATTAAGACTGCCCACATCACGTTTTTCTATTTTCCATAAGAATACCATGGAAAAATTTTGTTCTGCACCTTATTAATTTTATCCTTTTACTTATTTTTGTAGAGAATTGAACGTTCTACAAAAAAGGTCTCTTATGAATTTTCGAGAAACCTAATAGTTTAAGAGTTATTTGAAGCCAAGATTCATCGCAAATTTTAAAGTTTTTGATGCATTACAGCAAATTTGATGGTTTTATTGGAACAAATTACCCAAAAAATTCATGTTTATCTGAAATTTAGTTTCTTAGACAATAATTGTTAATAATTTTTTGCAATAATGAGACCAGTGAGACTCTTTCAGATCATTTTTAGCACCAATTGGCTTTGAAATCATAGTTTATCTCGTTTTATTTAATCTAAAGACAAAAAAAAATTCTTCGTTCATTTGAAATACTTGCATTAGGACATTACAAACCAAACCAAAAAAACCTTAAAATTTGCGATAAATGATTTCTTTTGGTCTCAAATAATAATAATTAATAAGAGACCTTTTTTGTAGAACGTTCAATTCTCTAGCGATAAAGTACAGAACAAATTTTTTCCATGGTATTCTTATGGAAAATAGAAAAACGTGATGTGAGCAGTCTTAATATTAATATTAAGGGGCTCAAATTTTAAGTGATATCTTTTTAAGTCAAATTGAAACTTTTGAGCCTGTTTGCAAGAAATTTTTATTTATTTTATTTTTATTATTTTAAGGGAATACGGAGATAAGTGGCACAACGGTGGAAGGTTCGATAAAAAGCAAAATTGCTTCGACGATTTCCAGTCGGCCGCAAAATATTTGGTTAACGAAAAATATACGAGCGCCGACAAATTGAGTATTCAAGGGGGCTCTAATGGGGGCCTTTTGGTGGCTGCTTGCATCAATCAAGCGCCGGAACTTTTCGGAGCCGCTATTTGTCAAGTGGGTGTCTTGGACATGCTTAGATACCACAAATTTACAATAGGATATGCCTGGAAGACTGACTATGGCTGTGCAGACGAAGAAGATCAATTTAGATATCTTTACAAATATTCACCGTTACACAACATCAAAATACCTGAAGGTAACACTTGAATGAATTTTGATAAATTTAACAAAGGAATATATATTTTTTAATCAATTAGATGATGGTCAGTATCCAGCTACGCTGCTTTTAACAGCTGATCATGATGATAGGGTGGTGCCCCTTCACTCACTAAAATTTATTGCTGAATTGCAGCACAAAATTGGATCACTGCCCCAACAAAAAAATCCGGTTTTGATCCGAATCGAGACCAAGGCTGGTCACGGTGCTGGAAAACCGACAACTAAAATTGTAGGATATGATTGTTTAATTAATGTATTAAATATAATTCATTTTCTTATTTTATTTCAGATTGATGAGCTCACAGATATATTCTGTTTCATCTCCAGGGCACTGAATTTACCGTTCAGTGCATAGTGAATTTTTCTATAAAATTAAAGTAGGATAGTTAAAAGAATTTTTAAAATAAACTTCAGATATATTGTATAAAGATGTACTTTATAATACAAAGTGATATGACGCTTTGCTAATTTCGATTTTCTAATATTTATTTTATTTTTTGATACACAGCGACTCCAAGTGCCATATAAAGTATATATTTATAAAATTATCTCTAAATATAAGAGTTTTACTAAAAACTCATTATTTTTATTCGTACCTTCTCTGAGGGTTATTGAAAACGCATTTTACTAATTTTCGGTTATATTCATAATATAATGGTTTATACTTATATATAATTAAATATGTAGGAAGTATCATAAAAAATTTCTATATTTTTGTAGATCTGCATATATGTAATTGTGTGAAAAGAGTTCATGGATCACTAATTTTATAAATTGAATTTTATTTGAATAAATTTGAAATTTTTGAATTTTATTGCTTGATAGACCACCCTCACCCCCTAAAAAGTTAAAAATAAAAACACGACCTACCAGATTTTGTATACCAGGAAATATTCTAGATTAATTGTGTCATCGAAAATTAAGACTAAGAAATAGCAGAAATCATAAATCTTTTAATATAAACTGCCAGTCTGGATTTAACATAAACCTACTTTGAACACTGCCTAAAACTGCACTTTTAGGCGTACTTTTCGGATCACTCATGTCAATTGCCACTATTTTCTAAAATATAATTGAAAATAATCTAAATTTTTGACAATAAATATAATACAAACCTCAGAAAAAGTCTTTAATTTACTATCTTCCAAATTATATTTAACACAGCCTATCAATACTTCTATCTTTCCAGACTTCCTGATCCTAATTTTTCCTATTTCACCTTCCAGCATATTTTTTAATTTATAGTCGAATAACGTTTTTACATTAGGGTCGTCACTTAAACCCTTTCCAGCAAATGAATCAGGCATCTAATAAATAAAAAATACATTTATATTAAGAACACTATAAGAAATGTCATCTACTTACGCTCCATAGCATAAGGGCAGGATTAGAATCAGTAAAATTATTTGCCGATTTAAATTCCCGAGGTATGCTACCATTTGATTCAATTTTTACTAAAAAATAAAAATAAATATATAAAGATTAAATATGAAAAAAAATATCTATATATTATAACTTACACCTATTTAATTTTAACCTAGCACATTCATCTGGTTCTATTTTTACGTCCAGTTTAAGACTAGAAGGAACTAAAAGAAGAAGAAGATAGAAAAAAAGAGAAAGAAACATTTATTAAATTACCTGAGCTTTGTTTTATGTGAGACTCGCCCCAAGGAAGCGGAGAAAAAGGCAACTTTTCTTCGTGATCGCCGGTATTTTCGTCTTCGCCCATAAGATTGTCGTATATTTTAAGCTCGTTTTTGTTGTCTACGATCTGCCAATCATTTTTCCTAACTTTTGGAACAGGCATAGCAGTATCTTCTTTAGTTGTATATGATGTTCTTTCACCAGGTCTTGTTTTACGTAAAATGTTATTTCCCACACCGTCGGAAAAAATACCGGTCGACTGAACAAATCGTTCCGATTTGGCGACTGTTTTGTTATTCCTTGGCTGTCTTTGGATTTTTTTCTTTTTCTCTCCGTTGAGTAAAAACTGACTGGAACAAATTATTTTACCAGTTTATATAATTATAATACTAAAACGTTAAATAAGTACGTCTAAATCTTAGATCTAAAGAAATAAAACTACTTACTCTTTCTGTGTTTTATTTCTGGATACATTTAGGTTAGGAGTATAGATTTTCTTTTGTTTTGTAGTACCTCCCAAAGTTAAATCCCTTGGAAACTTGATCGACTGAAGGCGTTTCTCCATTATTCTTTTGGAAAATAGGTGTAGAAAGTAGTAATATTATATAAATAAATAAAAAAATATTAGCTTAAAAATATCACAATATTGACAACAAGCCCCGTCCACAGAGTAGTAGAATCATAGTAGAATCACAAAGTGGAATAATATTGATCTGCCATCTGCCATGTGCCACGTGTTGTCAAAGTTATTAGAGATGAGAACGAACCTAATTTTTATCGATACATAATATAAAATTAATAATATATAACAATAAAGAGTTTTGCTGAAAAATCGAATAAGCAGACTAGTAGTTAATTTAATTTATAATAAATCTAGCTCTTTTAAATAATGGATTTGAATTATACACTTTTTTAAATATTTGCAAGCAACCAGTCAAACACATAGAGAAAATGGTGGATTCGCGATTTTCTCAAAAAGTATGGAACTGATTGCATATCGTGTGATTTTACTGTGGCTCAGGCATATTTTATATAGTTTTAATATAATATGTATATTTGACTTAGATGTATGTTTCAAATAGTTAGTCAAACGTTAAAAAATATATATTTGCGTCCACCCTCCCTGACGCTATTCACCCTAACATTAAACACGAAGCGAAAGGGACGCTCTTCCGTCGCGACGCCGCTTTAGACGTTGCATCATTGACGTTTCAACATGCCATTGCACAAACGGAGTTTCACAAAATATTTTAGAAAATTAGTATACGCCTCGTTCTAAACATGTGTCGAAAACTTGGGTATATTTTCGAAAAATGCGGAACGAATTATTCCAAAACTATACTTAAAAATTACACAGTTGATTTGTAAGAGTAATTTTTTCAGGTATGTATAGATTTAATACGATTCGTTCGCATGATCGGAATGTTATTTTGTATAGTATGTAAACCAGATTTTTATCTGAATTAAATGGAATATTTTATAAGATCTCTAGGATTTGTTATTTCTTTTCATACTATTAGTTTATAATTACTTTCTAATAGCAAAGATGTAATATTTACAAGAGCATTGAAAAACATTCAAATACAATAATTAAAATACATAAAATGTTCTACCAATCCCTAGATGATTTTAAATTTATTTTGATTTTTTTAACTAAATTATCTAATATATTAAAATGTTTGCGCTTAATTTTAACTATTACAGCTTTCAAGGAAAATGTTTGGGAGCAAATTAAGGGCTTGGATGGAAGCTGTGAGGCCTAAAAAGAAACAGCATCGAAGAGATAAGCAAGGAAAAACGACCGTCCAAAACTCCAGGCCTAACGTAAACACTCACACCGTAACGTGGAAGAACACTTGCTTATTGGATAGTGAAAAAAAGGTATTTTAGTTTATAAAACTCTAAATATAGACCAGGCAGTTTGTTGTAAAGAAACTAGAAATACTGTTCTATTTAAACTTTTAGAAAAGTTAATATTCAACATCTGGCCTCATACCTACGAGAGGCAGTTAAAATATTTCTACATTAAAGAAAAATAATTTATGGCGTCATTTAAAAAGTATAATCGATTTTTGTTTAAGGATGTTGAATGTGAAAATAACTATGGAAATTCTCAAGGTGAAAAGGACGGAGTTACCAATACTCAGCTCTCTAGATATTCAACTACAAATTTGTCTTCCCCTGAATCTGCCTATTCGACTGGTTACAGCACTGATGGGACGTCTCCTGGAGCACCCCCTGATTATTTGTTAAACGGAACTAACAGAACATCTGTGGAACATCGGCTGAACACACCAAATACATCAGCTCACATTCCTCCTTCATCCAGGACCGCAAAACATTTTTCAAAACCCGTTCAAAACCCACCAAATCCTAGTGTAGCGTCACCTGTTCCATCAAAGGTAACAAAGAAGAATTATATGTAATGAACTCCTGGTGAATTATATGTTGCTTTTATTAGGCGAAGGAGTATTTAGAAGAGAAAGATAAGGGGAATCACACAGCGTTTTTCGGGAAAATTGAAGATACTTCTGGCTTGGTATCTCCAAGACAGCGGAATCGCATTAGGACAAATCCATGGCTTCCAGGCGGTACAAGTAGTGCTGCCCCCAGTCCCTTACCGACTAGACAAGAGAAGAAGACTCCAGTTGCCTTAAGAAGCTACAGAAATAGTCCGTACGTACACTCAATGCAATCATTTTAGTTCACATAAGTTTGGTTCAATATGTGAGGGGTTCAGAAGTGAACTGGATCAAGTCTTAGAAGATAATTATGGAAAAAATGAGAGTTAAACTTTATTTAATGTTACTTAATTAAAATAAAACCATTGGCGTAACTACAGGTGGGCCCGGGGGTGCCGGGCACCCCCTGGTACTGCTGGGCACCCCCCAGAGAAATCCTGAATTATGACTCTTGGCTACGTGTTAATTTTTATTTGCTTGTGAAGCAGTAAAAATGACGTTTTCTAGTTTTGTTTAGTTAATATTATTTTGTTATGTTCAAAAAATGTGTTAATTTTTGTTTTTTTAGAAAATTTGTAGGTACAGTACGTCTGTCCGTTCTGTAGCTACGGGGTATCCGTGAGAGGGGAAACGATATTCTCTCGATGTTTTTCGGAAAAAATTAGACGACGCGTCCCATCAATAAACATTCGACAAATTTGCAAGCAGCCAATAAAATGAGTGGGCGGAGCGATTTGCGGTGACGTACTCGTCAAGTCGACGTATAAAATATATTGCTGTTTATTTAAATGTTTTTTGTCCGCATTCCTTTCGTAGACACAGATCCAGCAGATGAAGTGTACACTTCAGAATCGATAGAATCAGACTTTTCAGATGGCTGATAATCTGATTCACGCAAATGGTTCAGATTTTGCTTCATTGTCATCCGTTTTATAAAAAAATAGCCCTGAACTTTAAACTTTAGCACGTGTGTTAAAATTGCGCACAGCGTTAAATTTTATGTTTTATGGACTTGATCCATTTCAAAATATTCAGAAATAAAACAGAAACAGGCTATAGCTGCTTAATACGTAAAGTATGACTTGATTCATTTCTCTGCTGAAAAAAAAAACAATATTTTATAAACGTTTAAAGACCATTATTAAAATAGTAGGAAATTGGACTTGATCTATTTTAATTCTGACCACTCCATGTATTTTAGGATTCAAAATAGATACTTAAGTCCTGTGGCTCATAGAAGATCCCTGTCTTCTTCATCTTGCTCGTCACTGAGTGCAGGCAATCACACATTTGATCATCGCGTTCCGAGATCACTAAGCGACGAAGACGATTGCACTCTAAACGAGATGATGGGAAAGTATGACGAAAGCTATGTTTATGAGAAAGAAACAGACATTCTAAGTGATAGTGACCCGACTGATTGTGAAAGCGATATTGACACTGGTCAAGACGGAGGCGACGAAGATGAGAATGCTGATGCAGAGCTAGACTTCATTGATAATGGTATAGAAATATAACAAAAGTATATTATTTTCTTTAGAAATTCTGTTTAGGTTCCTACATAGAATTAAATTGTAAGACAGATAATACAGGACATTGTTCGTATTTCATTCCACAAGACAGTCAGCGCCGCAAATCATCAAGAAAACGCACTTCGCGCAGAGCTAAAGAGCCTAGTGAGAGAAATCGTAAATCTAACACTAGTAAGAAAAATCACAGGCAATCATCCGAGAAAAATAAATACAGGTACAGGTATTATAGAGGATCCGGCAATAGTGCGTCGAACATCTATAGCTCCTAGAATAAAAAACTTAGGATGTATGGAACACCCTGTATATTATTACCATTTTTATTATTAAATATGTTTTGATAGTTTCAGAAATATTGAAAAAAATAAATAAAAAATATATTTTTTTCAGTCTTTTTTAAAAAATTATTAAAATACAAGAAATGTCCTGAAATCAAAACTGTACTTACTTTCTTATAAATGTCATAATCTTAAACCATACAAGGTGTTCAAAATTCTATGCCAAACTTTCTAAAATATATTTTTTTTTTCGTTTTTTTTAATGGAACACCTTGTTGATTATATCTTTGTTAGACGAGAGATGGCACATGTTATTTGAAACACCCTGTATATATGTATATGTTATACATTATATGTTATACCGTGCTGGCAACTGTTACTTTTGGGTCGGCATTTACATGTGTGGAAGTAAATCGCATAGGGATCTTATTAAGTCAGAGTGAGAGAAATGCGACCGACCGACGCGGCGCGCGACGTTGTGCTGTTGCGGCGTTGCCGATACGCCTTTCCCTATCAAGTAAAGTAAAATCACGATCGCAAACCGCTTATTTTTAAAAGACTTTTATTTCAAGAGATAACTATATAAAATCATTAGACACGTTTCTGAGCATCTGAAATGGAATGAATCGGATATTTTACAATATGTTTACATAAGAAAAATTCGATAGTTGTTTTTTCCATTCAAAAATTGTAAACAATCCATCCATTTACTTTTAGAGCATAGCAATTCTCAGCAATCGTGTAATTTTTTTATTGATAAAGATTTTCACATACTGTCTACAAAGATAATACAGCAGGAATATTAACAAAGTTCTTGAAAAAACTACAATCTATTATTTCTAATAGATTTCGAGATATCGATTTTTGAATTCAGAGTTCTAATAGCGCGACCACTATCGAACACCCACTCAATTCCACTTATTTTTACTAAAAATGCAGGTGTTTCTAGCTTGCACTTAAAAAAATTCAAGCTATAGGGAAAATTACAACGACTCGTTAACAAATAAACAAATTAAGTATCACGAGACGTAATTAAATCGTGAAGCTGAACGCATGACGCACACCTTTCCCTAGAACTTTAAGTACTGACAGAGGTATTGATTGGGTCGACCGGTCAACTGCGACAAATCTGCTATATCCCCTTCCACGTCTCTTAGCGATGTGCACAGTTTCTCGGTTTATTTCATACGTTTGGCAACGTGTTTACTGTCCTCTCTTTGTTCAGTACATTATAAATGCATTGTACTCTTCTTACATACGGAAATCTCGACCCAAGACTAACCTTTGCCAGCCCTTAGTATGTGGTAATAGATATACTTTAGGTCTGCACTTAAACAAAATTCCAAAGTTTTTTATGATGTCCCTTTAAGCTACAGATGTCCGACGCGCTATTGCCGGATCCTGTATATGTCTAAATACTTGTTTAAAACTGAAACAAATTTTTGGGTGTTCTAGCTTTCACCGAGATGGTTCAAAAAGTGCTGGTGCTACGCCACTTTCCGTCCGAAGATCAAGCCTAAAACCACGAAACTACGAGCTACAAGAAGCTTGCCTGAAAAAACGTTCCAACTCCGTCAGCTTCAATCGAGATCCCACTGTGCTCATAGACAAAAGAGACAGAGAAGCTGACATCAAGTACAGAGAACTCATAGGTCAGGCAGAACAAATAATACGTACGATGAATATAAACGGGTTATCACCTCGAAGAATACCAGGGCCTACGAATAAAAGGGTTGAACTTCTTAGATATACCGAGTGCAGCAAGCCAGAGACACCGCTGTTGCCGAACTGTAACGCACCTCCGTCCAATAATTTACTTAAAAATACTCGGTTTAGCCCTAAGAAAAATCATATCACAAATTTTATGATAAACAACTCTCCTGTTCTAGTCAGGAAAGAATTGCAAGGACAGTCTCCTTTAGGCGTTCGAAAAGGTTTAAACGACGAAGTTAATCATTCCCCGTTAGTTAGTAGAAAGTACGATGAAAGCCTGAAGAAGGTATCCGTGGAGAAGCAAGAAGTTAGTCATAGTTTTCTAGTCAATAGTAGTTTTAAGCCAAAAAGCATTTTGCATAAGTCTGAATATGCCCACATCGGTGTTCTGAGTCCTAGGTAAGTTATTTATTATGTCTCTCAATTTACGATATATTACTTTGAATATGGTAGACATTTCTTCAGTATTGAAACTAAAAGAACTTCTGACTTCCATTATCTTTATTTATTTTAACATAAAAGCCAAAGAATTAAGACTCTATGTCTCGGTCTCAACATTTAATACGACAAAATTAAATTGTTACACGTGTTTCGCTCATACGAGCATCATCAGACAAATTTACAGTTTTTTTACAGCGCAAGAGCTGAGCGCGCGCGCACGGCATTCGTTCGCGCTCTCGGCTCCGTTCAAATTAAAACCTTATATTTTGACGAATGAAGTGATCCATTTTGGCGAAAATAATGAACGACCAAGAAATAGTCGAGGCTGCAGTCGTTGTTATGCACAGCTTAATTATTAAAAAGGAGAAAAATCGAAAACATCGTCGCTGGTAGCAAACCGAAATTTTTAGAAATCGATATAATTTACTGCAACAACGTAGTGTCCGAGGAGGGCTATGATAAGTTCAAAAACTTTACAAGAATGACCAGACCCGACTTTGAATATTTACAAAATTTAATATATATATATTAATCGGTTTAAAACGTTCTACGTCTTCCGATGCCATCTCTCCATGCCAGTCTGTCTCTCCATATTTCTACATTTTTGCTTCCAACCTTTGAGAACTTGTTCGAGATATATCTTGAACAGTGTTGCTGAAATACAGCACCCTTGTTTCAGACCTTTGGTTCCATTAAATCCTGTTGTTAACTTTTTGCCGACTTTTATTCTAGTTTTTGTTTGCTTATATAATGATTTTACTGCTTTTATTAGCTCTACATTTATATTGGTTTTTTCCATAGCTTCCCAAAGTCTCACAAGGGGAACGCTGTCGTATGCCTTCTGCAGGTCCACGAACACAAGATGTAGCTCTTGGTTTATGTTGCTCTTTTTACTTATTACTTGAGTTACTTATTACTTGAGTGACTGTAAATAAGTGATCCACCGTCGATCTTCCGGCTCTACAAAATTTAATAACACCAGAAATTACGAACAAAAGATACAAATTTTAGAATAGCAATTTTATTAATATCGACATATTCAATATTAATTTTATTTACAAGATCTTGCCATGTGTTTTTTTTTTGATTTTTTAATAATACAAAGAATGTTTAACATCCCATAATATGGCAACTTTTCATATTCTTAAAAATTAAAACCGATTTGCTTCAGAATGGTTATGTGAAGATCAGACGAATAGTCAAGCAGTATAAAATTAAAACAGTTTTTAAGTCTGGGACAACCCTGATACTTCTGACCGAAACGTTGTTTAATTCTTTTAGTTTCAATTCAGGAAATATTTGCATTTTCTAGACACAGAAAAGCTGTAGAGCTGACGCTGGCAAGTAGTAGTTCGGATGAAGAGACCTTTCATAAATCGAAGAAGAAACTTTCAAAAAGTTGCCCGCAGAGTGAACCAATGAAGAGGAAGAAATACTGCGAAAGGACTACCTTTAACGTCGCGAAAGGGCATGGTAAAGTATTGTAAAAGGCACTGAATTTCAGAATGTACTTTGTTTTATGTTTCAGGAAAAACTGTCGCGTTTAATTTAAACAACGGGATGCCAAATTTATCATTAGAGAATAGTTTAGGTAGTTCAGAAAATTTGAGACATCAGGTTTTGTTAAATACTATACAGAACTTGAAAAGAAATTTAGAAGATCATTCGGCTTCGTTACAGCAGACTTATAAAGGTACCCATCACAAATATAAATATTAAGATTAATAATTATGGAGTAATATTGTTTCTAGTTTTTTACCGACATATTTGTAAGTTTCTTCCTTCAGTACGCTGGAAAGGGAATCTATTACACATCTAATTTTTGTAAAACGAATAAACTCATCTGAGATTTTAACAGACCTACTAATTATGACATTTCAATATGTTTCACAATATTCAGTGTATTGAAGGAAAGATTTATTCAATTTTTAAAAGAAACAAATTCAATATGGGTAAATATAATAACTCTTTGCCTTTGCAGTATTTCATATGTTAAAACAAATTTAATACAATAATTATTACTTATTGAATTTGTTACTTATAAAAAAAGAAATATTTTAATGCCACATGTTAACTATCACAAACTATTTGTAAGGAAATAAATGTTAAGCTTATTTTTGCCAATATTTTCTATGAGAAGTCGTGATGTTGAATCCTTTTTTCCAAATGTTAGAACCTTGCCTGTAGCTTAACAGTGTATTCGTTAGTAAAACTCTTCGTACTTAATACTCATATTATGTGCAATTGGAATACATAACACATAGCGTTTGACCAGTTATACTGATTATTTATCTGTATTAGTTAATTGAAACTCAAGGTAGAAAGTTGACATCAAGGGTTGCTTGTGTTTCATTATACATTACTTAAAACTGGGAGAGAAACTTTAAACTTAAAGCAGACACATATGCCATTGTAGGTTTTAGTGTAGATCGATAGTAGATTTTTTGTAGTTAATAATTTTTTTAATTAAAGATGTTTAGTTATAGCGTTATACTACTAGTCCTGCTCCTAGAAAATAGGACCATTAGAACTTATATCAATAGTTACCAGTATATGTAATCGAAATGTTAAAATTTTCATTTTCAGTGTCGACAGTTATAGTAGCTTAGCTCTTGAGGCACAATTTGGTTAAACTGTCTATCACTACTGGGTGTATTTTATTTTTTAGCACATTTTAACTCTTTTGTTGCCTCGAATACCTGTTAATTAGGTAGTAGTGAACGTAATGTAGAAAAAGTTGTCATTTTTACAACCGAAGCTCTACAACTCTACAATGATCGAAAAATTATGAAGCCCCCTGAACACTGTATTGTAATTATTCTATATATTTTCTTTCCAATCTGGGGATTGATTTTTGGACAGCCTGTATAGTATAGGTTTGTGGGAGGATGAAAGCTGACCCCAGTAAGTTTATTAAAAAGATTAGAATCTGAGTTGGGGGTTTATAGTCGTACTTTAAAAAAAGATAGCTCTTGAATTATGTAAATAAATTGTAAAAATTTTATCGTTATATACTTTTATATTTTAGTACTTTATTTCAAAATATGTGGCATAATAGCTCAGTATATGGCGTTTTTTTCCCAATTAACTGTTGGATTGTCGATATTTTGGCTCAATTCCAATATAGGTCATTAACACACGATATATTTCAAGCCAAACTCAGTGGCTTACTGTATTTTTCTATTATAACAGAATTTTTAAATGTGTCAACTTCAATTACATTTAAAATTGTGCCAAATAGCAATCAAATTTCTAATTATTTAGAAAAGGATGATTAGAATTCAAAATATTCAAGAGCTATCTGCGTATTCTTTAAGCGATAATGACTCGAATTACTTCAAATATCCTTACTGTTTGTACTTGAAATTTTGTTCTTCGTTGTTACTGTTAATATTTAAAATATATATTTATTTTTTTCCTGTTCTTTTATATCGTTTTAATAAGAATAACTTTGTAGTTAATACATGCTACAAGCTGAAGTAACACGGGCATGTTACATGTGATTATTTTAAGTAATAAATCCAGTCTGACAAATTTAAAAAAAAAACTGAAACAAAACAGCTAAGCTGAATTTTTTACATTGGTTTTGTTGAATTTTAGTTATCCTGGAAAATATACATATAAAATAATAATCTGTGATGTAGTTTTATTGTTAATGCTTTTATTGTTTTTCCTTGATGGTTTGAGAGGGTAGGTAAAAGACACTAGGAGTATTGTTTTTAAATTTGATATTTATTTATATGAATTATTAGTGTGTATCGATTAGTAGTGTAGGTACTATACTTATTGTGTAATAGTGCTAACAGAGTTGTGTTGACTAGATGTAGAGCAGAAAATATACCTTTGATGGCTTTAATGCGATGCAAAATAAATGCCATTTTTATTACTCGAAAGATTTCATTTGGCAAATAAAATAAAGGAAATTTGAAAAGAGAAATCGGCAACGACAGCCAAAGGTCCAAGCACTCAATCATTCAATCACTCACCATCAAACATTCGAAATTTAGGCTGCCTAAAATTAGGATCTCTTGTTTCAATCGAAGATTTATATACATTCAGTGTGAATTTATAACAAAGTACGAAAAACTTAAACCTTACTAAATCACAGTACAAATAAAAACAGTAGAACTAAAGTTATAATACAATAATATATATGAAAGCTTAAACATTACAAGGTTTCTTACGCTTAGATAGAAAGAAACTAGATACAAACTGATGTAAAAAAATATATATGTTGGCATTGTGCATTAAGTTGAGAAATTATACATGGTGTCAAAAAAATTGTGGTGGCTGATTCTGCAGATAAAATAAAACAAGAAGTTCCTATGAACATATGCCCTAAAATGCTTCCCGAAAAAGTTACAACCCTCGAAAGATTAAATAAAAATAATATATTTTGTTTATTTTTAAGAACATTGCTAAACCGTTTCTCCTGAAAATTGACTTACACACATTTTAATGCCAAAGCGAATGGCGGTAGTGTAGAATTCCGTAACAGCCCTGAAAGGGTACTTTCCATTAGGGTAGAGAGTATTACTGGTGGTACTTCTTAGCGAAATCAGGAGAATAATTTATTTAAAATTTCTTTACATTTTATCATTTCACTAATACTAAAATCGTTATATTGTAATCTTTAAACGCAAATATTTTGAAAACCGTTCACCTTTTCCAACTAGACGAAGAGCACCTGTTTTACGTAAAAAAGTTCTACCTTTTTATGTCATTTGTTGAAATTACTGTATCTCTAGCCTAATGGAAAGTATCAGTATTTTTAGGAAAAACAGTTTACCATTGTTCTTAAAAATAAAAAAAAATATATTATTTTTATTTAACCTTTCGAGTGCTGTAACTTCTTCGGAAAACATTTTAGGGCATATATTCATAGGAATTTTTTGTTTTATTTTTATCTGTAGAATCACTCAACAAAGTTACACTATTTTTTTGGTACCCTGTATATGTATGTTTTTGAAAAATATAACTGTTCTGGTAACTTACACACAATGATAGAACACCGATTTTGTTTTGCAATACGTTTTATTTCGTACACACTGGCTTACAGTCTTCACACCATTTTGACAGATTTTACACGTTTGGGTCATCTTTCTAGACCAAAATCGATTTCAGCAAACAACAAAAATATATTATGTGAAACCGTCGCAAGGATAAAGATATTCGTTGTTGAAAAAGAAATGTTTTCCCTGAAGAACCTAGAAAAATTGTCATAAATAACATCTAAATTTTGGACATTCCTGTCTAAATTACTCTGTTATCATTTCCGAGCTTAACGTTAGAGTTTCTATTTAATAAATTCGACATTTTTGCAGTGCTATTTCATAAATTTACTGCATTTTAAGATGAGTGCCCACAGTATCCACATTAATCAAGATTCTCATTACTTATGTAATTGTATTGCGTGTGATCTGAGATAATTAACATTAGGTGATGCAATTTTTTTTTTCTTTCTAGAAGAAAAACATTGATACAAGCATAGAAAATTTGTGTATATGTATGTAGGTTTATACAATGGATGCAAAAGCGATGCGAAGAGGTTACATGAGAACATATCAGCAATATTTCACCATTACATAAGCCAAAAAATACGATCTTTGAAGTAAAGATGATAACAACAACCTTCGTTGAAGGATTGCGAGGAAAAAGAATAAAAATATATTTTTGTCTCTTTAAACTATATCTATGATATACAAAATACATAAATTTTTAAACGAGCTTACAGAACTTCATTCGGCCCCTTATATTTAACCAGTTAAATGACAAAAGATATGCAATCCCTTGCTTATTGTCATCATTTATTTTAAATTTGATACGCTTTTTTGGGACACAACTAAATAAACGGTCTATGATAAAAGGTATATGTTGAGTTCTCTTACTTTGAACTGGAATGACTCTGTGTGAACCTAGTTTTAGAGAATTATTCTACAGGGTGTTCAGAATTGTATTCGAAAAATTTCGGCAGCATATTTTGCAGATAAAAGTAAGTAAAAACGTTCATATAAATTTACGTCCTAAAATGCTTCGTTTCGGAGATACAGGGTCGTGTAGAAGTTTCATTTTTATTTCGGAAAATTGGTGTTTGGGTGTTTTCTGATATAAGAAATTGGATTTCGATGTCAATTTGACTCTTACTTGTAGAGGGCGCCACCAACATATTTTTAACTGAGTTGATGGGTAATAACTTTTCGTCCGTACCTGTATAAAACTACTGAGTGAAAAAATATACATCTTCGTAATTTTCTACATAAAAAATGACAAACCAAACCTTCAGAATGGAAATAGTCAATATTGACAAAAAATAAACGTTTTGACTGAATAGTTACCTACTTGAGTGAAAAGCTAAATTTGGAGACTTTTTATTATTTTAAGCTAAAAATATTCTAAATTTGGAGACTTTTTATTATTTTAAGCTAAAAATATTCTGTTAACTATCCTGTCAACATGTATAATATTTGCAATTATGACATGTATCGACTACTTTTATTCCAAATATCTTGTGAACCATTAGTCGGAGCGATTTTTACCAAGAGACCTTTTTTACGTAAAAAATGACGGAAATGTATATTTTTTCAATACAGACGAAAAGTTATTATTACTCTTCAAAGCAGTTAAAACACATATAGGTGTAGGTGGCCCCCAAAATCGAATTTCAGATGCCAAAAAACATCTAGACAGCAATTTTGATTCAAATATCGGGGTTACTTCAGGAATTGTTTGAAAAAATGAAACTTCCACACCCTGTCCGAAAATTTACATGAAGTTTTTTACTTATTTTTATCTGCCAAATATGCTGCAGAAGTTTCCCGAATCCACTTCGGACCACCCTGTATATCAATTCACACCATCCGTTCAATAAAAAATATATATCTAAAAGCTCGTGGAGAGACAAAGAATAATCCACCAAAACTAAACAGCCACGTATTTCAGAGAACTCTGAACTGATTGTGCTTTCATAAATTTGAATCTATTCCAACAAGCATGCACATAACATTTACAAGCTGTGAGATGTTTACAATGTGCTTTAATGTTCTAGCAACTTGGTGTGCTTGCTGGGATAGTACTCTACTAATATTAACTGCAGTAATAATGACAATAATAGTCAAAAATTTAAATTTTATTTAGAGCAAAATTATGAGAAGTTAAAGTTTAGAAAGGTGGCCTACACAGAAAACAGTATTGCTTAACACCTGTAATAGATAATCCTAAAATTAGACATTAAAGTATACAGTACACTGATTTTGTTAACAATTATTTTATAATAATAGTTTTCACACCTTCTTAACAAACACTTATTAAATACTATTATTATTATTTTGACGAAGAAAATCATGTTTCTAGACAGTCTAAATTTGTTCATATAACAACGATAGAATACCTGATGATTAGAGACAAGCAGGATTTTCTTATGTCCGCTTAGTAGAAAATTGAACAAGTGTATCAACTATTAAAAAAATATTTATATAGGTACATCTGCCGTTGCCACAAAAATCTGTCTTAGAAAGCCCATTGGAAATGAAGAGTTTGAATATTGCTACACGTTCATACCAATTTTCACCAATTCATTAATTGATTTTTATTAATATTAATCGTATCGATTAAAATTTTTATAGGATATGCTTTGTATAATTTGGAAAACTCTGGATGTGGAGTTCTTCAGTACCTATTCTAACAGTATTCAAACTCCGTTCAGATTAATGATTTTTAGGCTTGAGGAAACACAGTTTAATGTACTGAAAAGTCTACCGAACAAAAATACTTTGACAGTTCGAAATAAGATAAACCGTTTTCGTTATGGAACACAAACACTAATATTAAAATATGAGCCATTACATTGTCCAGAATAGGATTATGATCGTAATACATAATACAGGCGATTTAATCGCTAACGAACACAATCTCTCAAATAGTCTTGAATTGATTTTTATTTATTTAGTCCGATATATGCGTTTGGCGTCTTATAATGCAAAAAATCGATCATAGACAAACATATGCGCTCAGAATGAATATTGCACGTTTCTCTACATCAAAAACCTTGAACCTTTTTTTAGCTGAAATCACTTAAAAAAACAAAACATCCAGTATATAGGAGCCTCCCCAAACACAAAATCATAAAAATTTCTCTGCGGAAATGCATCATTCTCTTTTTTCCGACTTTAGAATAACTGAAATCAGTTACATGAAGACATGTTCCTGCTTTGCATTCTACAACAACGCTTTTCTTGTGTAGGTATGAATTTAACCTAGTAGATACTGTATTCTAGACATCAATACCGTACCGAGAAAAAAATAAAATAAAGAAAAACGAACCAACAAACGCTAACGCGCCAGTTTACGCAAAATTCCGATGGCCGAATTCTTTTCAAAACTTGTTATATTTTATCAATAAATGAAGTTGATACACTTCCAGAAGAAATATTTTGCGTCAAATGATTTCTAAAATGAAAAACAGAAACGCGTTTTCATGTAACTGGTTCCAGCTATTCTAAAGTGGAGAAACTGAAAGTTATGCATTTTCACAGAAATATTTTCGTGACTTTCTATTGAAAAAGGCTTCGAAATATTAAATAAACAAATATTTCGGATTTCAGCTAAACGAAAGTTGAGCCAATAAATCCACAGAGCTATATATGTACAGAGATTGAAATGAACCTGAGGACGAAACAAGGGGAACCTTGATATTATCTATTATCATTCTGCACGCAGCTGTATATCTAGAATTTTCCCGATGCGCCTTCACTCCCGATTTGCAATGTTGCCAACGGTTTCGATGTACGGCTTTCCAGGCTGTTATGGAACAAACACGTGTTACCGAGCACTTCGAAAATTATTATAAAACGACTAATGCGGGGTTGTTAATAGGCCTGGGTAAAGTCCAAAAAGCGATATTTTTTGTCTTACTAATCTGCGGCAATGTCAATCAGCCAAAAATCGTCTTGGAGCGATGTCAGGTGTTTCTTCTCTACTGTTGGGGTTTATTGTGGTGGTTAGCTTCTCCAAGCCAGGGTCCCCAGTTATTGTCGACAATATATAATGTCGTTAGGCCGCCTAAAATATGAGTTCCATTAATAATAATACTATAGAAAAAAGCTACATATACAGGGTCCGGCAATAGTGCGTCGTTAATATTTAGCTCCTAGAATAAAAAACTTGGGAATTTTGTTTAAGTGCAGACCTAAAGTATGTACTAGGATGTATTTCGGGAAAATATTTTAACATCTACAGGGTGGCTCAAAAAAGTGGGAGTGGATCGAGATAATTTTTTTAATGGAACACTCAAACCCTACACAGATGTACCACCCTATATTATTGTATTTTTGGCTTCCTTTCAGAATACTTTACATAATCCGAAGATATAGGTAAATATATTTCGTAATTTCAGATATACAGGGTTATTCACAACATACGACACGGAGTATTGTAGCTAAACGATTAGATTTTTACAAATTGTAAGTTTTGGGTTCATTGAAGGACTATTAGAGCTACAATTTAAAAATATTTTTTCAAGATACAGGGTGTCCCAAATAAATAAAAAATATCAAATTTGCATTTTTTTAAACGGAACACCCTGTATATTATTACATTTTTAGTTTCTACGATTAAAATAAAGGTAAATTTGATAAAGATTTATTACACTTAAACCTTACCGTTTTTGAAATATTTTCAATTTTGTGAAATTACAATCAAAATTTTAAGGTTTCATTTCTCCAAGGGTATCAAAGTTTTTAATACTAAATATTTACTGAAGTTTATTTATTGATCAGTTATTGTGTTGCAATAATAAAAATAATACTACCTTTTACAGAGTGTCTAAAAATGTATTTTAAATAATTTCTAGCTTTAAACGCCAATAACTTCTTTAATTTAAATGGAATGCCCTGTATATTTTAGGAGAATCAGATGCACAATTTAATTGTCTATCAAATTGTATTATACCACTTTTTACCTATCCCTACAAGTTTTCGTAGAAAATGCATTTTCTTATAATTTAGACCTCATTTATAGATATACCCATGAAATATTGACATTTGAGATTGTTTTTAAAGCAACAAATGTACAAAATGTACAGGCTAGTAATATTATCGTTTTTAGCAAAACGATAATATTACTAGCGCATTTGTATGCAAAAAGAAAACTATTTAAATCTTTATAAAAGAGTATACCATTAATTAAATATAACACCATTATTTCCGCCTATATACTAATTAATTACATACTTAATTGTGTTCGTTAATAAATTATTCTAAATAAATGTGGATTTGAGTCAGAAATCAATATAAGAATAAGTTATCACAATTAAAGTCTCTGTTGTTATAAATAAGCATTTATTAAAAAATGAAATATCATTTTTAAGGTGTTACTTTTTATGACACTGTCTAATACCCATACAAAATTCAGTTTTTTAGTATTTGGAGCAATTATTATTAATCAACGCAAACAGTCAGTTCATGTAGTTTGAATACTGGAATCATATTAATTGGTCCTCTTTAACAAATATTTAAACAGTTTTTTTTTATTTTTTTAATGAAATAAACGAATTATATCGACAATATTAGTATCTGTACTCTTTAAAAATTTGGTACATCTTTAAAAACAATCTCAAATGTCAATATTCCATGGGTATATTGATAAATGAGGTCTAAATTATAAGAAAATGCATTTTCTACGAAAACTTGAAGGGATAGGTAAAAAATGGTATAACACATTTGATAGACAATTAAATTGTGCATCTGATTCTCCTAAAATATACAGGGCGTTCCATTTAAATTAAACAAGTTATTGCCGTTTGAAGCTAATAATTATTTAAAATAAATTTTTAGACACTCTGTATAAGGTAGCATTATTTTTATTATTGCAACACAATAACTGATCAATAAATAAACTTCAGTAAATATTTAGTATTAAAAACTTTGATACCCTTGGAGAAATGAAGCCTTAAAATTTTACTGCAATTTCACAAAATTGAAAATATTTCAAAAACCGTAAGGTTTAAGTATCATAAACGTTAATCAAATTTACCTTTATTTTAATCGCAGAAACTAAAAATGTAATAATATACAAGGTGTTCCATTTAAAAAAATACAACTTAGATATTTTTTACTTATTTGGGACACTCTGTATCATGTAAAATTATTTTTAAATTGTACCTCTAATAGTCCTTCATCGAACCCAAAACTTACAATTTGTAAAGATCTCATCGTTTAGCTACAATACTCCGTGTCGTATGTGGTGAACAACCCTGTATATAAATAAATAAAAAAATAAATAATTTTCAGCCTTTCACAAAAAAATCGTTTCTATTTACTCTCAAAATTTTATTCGAAACGCGAAAAAAAGTACTTGGAAGAAAATTATAATAAATCGCAAAAATATTAACACCCTGTAGCTACGAACAAAACAGAATCTGACCTATGTTGATATGAAAAATAAATCTTATTTTTACGTGAGGAATCTCCCCACGAGAGACGGCACATGTATCTTGAAACACCCTGTAGATTAGTATTCGGGTTCATTGAGCTTCTTACCTGTTATTAAATCATGACAAAGACAATTTAACTTGCATCCTGGTCCCTATCAGAAAAATCAGAAACTGGTGTGGTAGCTGCCGGATGGGCAGCTGTCAAAAGGGGCGTAGATTGACTCGCTTGTCCATGATCTTCCTCCAAATTCTCCTCGTTCAATTCGATAGTGTGCAAAGAAGGCGTCTTCTGAGGCTGGATCCAAAACTACAAAAGAAATTTCAGTTAATTTCGATCACCAGTTAACCGATAATGTTTTACCGAAACTTTTTCTCTGCCTCTCTTCTCAGTTTGTTGGATAAGACTTCGAATGACTGATGAACTAAGAAACCTTGGATAACTGTCTCTCTGCATTAATGTATATATCTGTAATTGGGCTTCGTCATACATGTGCTGTTGAGGATCTGGGAGATGTTTCTTAATGATCTCCCTCACATGAGCATCTAAAGATACCTTAAAGACCAGACAAGTTACTACGGCATTATTTAACAACTAACTTATTTACAGCATCGTGTGTGTGGAAATAAAACTCGAGATTTTCCATTTTCTTGAAATACTTTTAATAAACAAAAAATAACATTTTTTTAAAGAGTTAAATTACGGTTAATACAAGGTGTCCCAAGTGCTTTAACATTTGACTTTCGCAAAAATCAAAGAAAAAATACGGGGAGGGTGAAAACTACCCTAACCCCTACATAAATTTTAGTTTTTACTAGTATTTACTAAATTTTTTTCAGGGAGTCTCGATATTCCGTAGGCATAGAACAAATACGTATTTTTTTAATCAAAATTAGTTAATTGCGCATGACTTACCTTAATACAAAAGTGCTTCGTTTGTCCGTTAGAAGGCACCAATCAAAAATAAACCCGAATGTTAATTAATTTAAAATTTATTATTTCTTTAAGCTTTTTATGAAGCTTATTGTCAAATATAATTTGTGGTACTAACATAAAATTTCATATTTTCGCCAACTAGAATATTAAAATAACTCGGATAATTTTATTTCTAAGTTAAATAATCGTTTTCCTTCCATTAAATTTACACATGAAATTGAGAACAACGATAGATTACCATTTCTAGATGTATTAGTTATTAGAAATACTAATAATTGCCTGGAATTTGATATCTATAGGAAAAATACCACTACACGCAGATATATTCCTAAAGAATCATATCATAGTATTGAACATAAAATGGCTAGTTTAAATTTCTTAGTTCATAGATTACTTAGTTTTCCACTTTCCAACGAAAGATATGAAATAGAAAGAGACTACATTAGGAATGTAGCTGAGTGTAATGGATATTCTCCTTCACTAGTTGATAAAATAATTAGAAATCGTAGGTATAGGTTAATGATTTCTGAAAATTCGAATTTGAAGTGGAGAAAGATACGTCAAAATATTTTTCAATACCGTTTGATGGACAGTTATCCCGTGGTCTAAAAGGAATTTTTAAGAATGTCAATTATAAACTTGTGTATAGTGCTAATAATAAATTACAACAATTATTAGGTAATCCAAAGGATAAAACACCTCTACTGGAAAGGTCGGGTATTTATGAAATTTCTTGTAAAGATTGTAATCAGAAATATCTTGGGCAAACTAGAAGATCAATATTAACTAGATTTAAAGAACATTTAGCTAAGATAAGATATGGTAGACCTGATAAATCTTGCGTTGCCGAACATATTGTTGATAAAGAACATTGTATAGATCTTAATAACTTAAAATTACTTAAACAAGTCTCAAATTACAGGCAATCAGATGCATATGAAAGCATCAGAATTAATAAATGTTAAGATACTATGAACAGAGACAACGGTCCCATTCCTTCAAGTTCTTTGTTCCTACTACTCTAGTGGTGGAAATCTAACTGTTCTGACTCGGTTGGCTAGATCTTGCCACGCCCACTCTGTGCCCACTGAGCGAGTATATAAACGCTCCAAGTGTAGATTGTATTTTAGTTTATAATCATCTGCTGATAATGCTAACATGGTTAGCGAAATGCGCGTCCAGTGTAAAAGTAATAGTGTTTTGGTGTATTTTTTTTGTTTTGATGCCCTTTCACGGACAAACGAAGCACTTTTGTATAGAGGTAAATTGTGATCAATGAACTTATTTTAATTCCAAAAATACATGTCCACGTAATATAGGGACACCCTGTATAATAATGAATAAGAAATGACTTATTTTAAGAATGGGTATGTTTACTTTATTTTGGAATTATACAAATCAAGTAAATTTAGAAAATTATTCATCCGACTAGTTATAATTAATTAAAATAAACGTCGATTCTGAATGAACTTATAATAGTTTACGAGAAAATGTTTTTTTTCGTGAGAGATTGCGCTGGTATATACCTCAGTTGATGATGCCGGATGAATGTAGTGCAAGTAAATAAGTTTAGCTCTTCGCTCGATGTGATCCTTGCTCGAGTGTTTTTTAAAGTCCTCGCAAGCCAGCCAAAATAACATGTTTTCTTCCGAATATTCTCCTTTCAAAAAGTTCCGAAACACTTTACGTCCTGCTGTAAACAAAAAGACATAACTCGCTTTTATATCGTCAAATCTCTCTCTCCTCTAACAGTCTTACAATAAATGTCTGAACGAGTAACATATTTTAATAATATTCTGAAATTTATTTCAGTTAATTGGATTTGTTAATGGAATTGAATAAAGGTAATTATGTTAGACAGGCTATTAGGCAGTCGCAGGTTACTGCGAATTAGGTGATAATTTTGTACGCAGCCATGACAACACAAGATTTATTTTATGTAACTAAGCTGAAATAGTTTTTACCGTTGCTTTTCATTAGTGTATCGAAAGACTTGCTCCAACTTCGGATTTCTTCCATTGTGACACGCACTTCTTGCAGTGGAACACTGTAATTATATTTTTTATAGTATTACTTACGAGAGCAAGGCTTCAAAACTTACGTAGCATCCTTTCCATTTTCACCAGTTTTTCCAACATTAGACCTAGAATGTAAAATAATGAAATACCTCAAAATAAAAATTAAACTGTGTATGTTCCGAAAGAGTTTTATATTAAGTTTTCTATGTGAGATTTTTAATGTAATCTTTTCCAGTAAACATATTACACTCATAGACCGAGAGCTGGCTATATAAAAAAAAACCTTATCATCGTTCCATGGCTAATTTTTTGTGTGAAGTATCCTTTTGTGTAGCCATTGTGAAATAGTCATGTCTGCCAGTGCGATCCCAGGGCTTAATGCGGGGGCGACCAATAAGGTACACGAGTTATAATTGCCAAATAGCTTTTATTTATTATTAGGAAAAGTGTAAAATTGTTGAGAGACATTTTTCTCGTGGCTGAAATGCCGGCAGACAACGCGAAAGAGGCATAGAATTTTGACAAAAGAAAATCATCGCATACATGCATGTCGGTTGGTGGAATGTCATGGTTATTGTTAATTAATTTAAAAAGCCGTATATGCAAAATGGCAGACAAAAAAATCGTTATTGAAATAACAAAAAAAATATATTTATAATATAATCGTATATTATATGATTTATCTATACTTAAATGGATGAGGCGGCCAGCGTTCCCTGAATAAAGCCCTAGAGTAATATCGCGCTTTTGATAACTGTCTGCAGCTGATTGAGCCACGATCTTTTTGTCTGCCCTTTTGCATACGGCTTTTAAAATAAATAAATATGACATTTTACCAATCGGCATGCAAATATGCCATATTTTTTTTCATTCTTCAAATTTCTTTTTTTAAAAAATTTTAAAATTTCATGCCTCCTTCGCGTTGTCTGTCGGCATTTTAGCGGCTAGAAAAATGTCTGCCAACAATTTTCCACGTTTCTTAATAATAAATAAAAGCTATTTTCGCAATTATAACTCGTGTACCTTATAATATTTTTAGTGTCAAAATTTCACCCTTTAAGCCCCGGGATCGCGCTGGCAGACATGACTATTTCATAATGGCTACACAAAAGGATACTTCACACAAAAAATTAGCCATGTAACGATGATTAGATTTTTTATGTAGCCAGCTCTTAGAGTATCAGATGCAAAAAAATTTTTTTGGAAATTTAAAATGTATATTGTTGTTATTTTTCTATTTTCATGATTTTTTCAGCAAACTGTAAACTCAGTTTTGGCATATTATACAGAGTTAATCGAGGGGTTGTTTTTTTACCTTAACTTTAAAACACCCTGTGCAATAATTTCGTGTGTAAATTTTCCTAAAATGTAATTTTAGGGTCAGAACCATGTCACCTGAGCATTTTGTTTTTTGGATCAATTCAATACATGCCTTGGTTAATTTTTAAGAGCGAAATGAATTTGCCACCGACAATTTTCAATTTTTTCAATTATTATTTCTATTTGAAGGTATTTTTCAATATGACACGGCGGCTTTGGTGATTATTGTGAACTATATACTACTATGACTGCCCATCATGTTTGACATTTGGGAAATGCTTGGCAGGACGTTTAGAGGTCCCGAAGCGGTACCAGCTTCATTAAATGAACTTCGCTTGGTTCTTAAAGAAGAATGGAATAAGCATAACGAAATATGATACATGCAGCCTCAATGACAGTATGAACATAATATACTAATACAAAGTTTTGAGGTATTTTTTACAATTTTTTTTATGTTTGTATATTTGAGTATTACAGTAGTTGTTTTCTTTAATACCTATCGATAGTTCTGTTATTTTTATAAATGTTTATTAAAATCAGGTTCTGATCGTAAAATTGTATTTTAGGAAAATTTACATAAGGAATTATTGCACAGGGTAAAAAAACAATCTCTCGATTAACCCTGTATAATATGCCAAATATTAAAGTTTGTAAAAAACTTAGTTTACGAATTAAAGTTGATATAATTATATACAGGGTTTCTCACCGTAGCCGTTCGTTAGAAGGTTTTGAGGTTAGGAAAAACTTAGAAGTTTGAAATTTTGAGACTTAGGGTTATTTAAAATTTCCTTTCATTTAAAAATATTTTCAAGGTTATGCCACTTCCGGTTACACCGGAAGTCGCCATTAACTTCCTTATTTCAAATGGAACACCCTGTATATTATTTAATTTTTGGATTTCTCAGAAAATTTTATGATGAGTTTCATTAGATTTGCCTATACCTATTTTCAACTTTTTTCAACAATTTATTTGAAAATTTTTACATTTTTACCCCTATTTTTAACAGTGGGTCATTTACTCATTTTGAATTGGTGATAAACGCTCCTGCGGTAAACTGGAGCAGAGGACTAATACTTTCGAAGTCCATATTGACAACTAATTTATCTCATACAGGGTGTCCAAAATTCGATAGGTAACTGATTAGATTATTTTCAAACTCAAAAAAGTCCATTTTTTCAAATGAGACACCCTGTATGTTTTTCGATAGTTGGATGCAGAATTCAATTCTGCATCGATTTGCTATAACTTTCCCTATACCCATTTTCAACGGTTTTCTTTTTAATCCATATATTTTACTTTAATTTAATTTTTGGCAGAATCGACAATATCGTTTGTGTTTTTCAAAATAAAATAATTATGTTAAAGTCATGAAATTGAATGTAATTAGAACATACGAACAAAACAGGAACAAAACGAAAGTGAAAACGTATAAAATATAACATAACATAACAAAACAAACGTATAACAGTAACGGTGAGGCATTAATTATTAACACTAGACGTTAGTGTATCGCTACCATAATAAAAAAAGTAAACACAATAATTACAAAAATTATTGTTCGAAGTGAATTTTTGTAATTATTGAGTTAACTTTTTTTTATTATTGTAGGGTTTGGATGCCTCACCGTTACTGTTGAAAATACGTTTGTTTTATTATGTTATGTTATATTTTATACGTTTTCACTTTTGTTTTGTTCCTGTTTTGTTCGTATGTTCTAATTACATTTTCTTTACTTTAACATAATTATTTTCTTTTAAAAAACACAAACGATATTGTCGATTCTGCCAAAAATTGAATTAAAGTAAAAAATACGGATTAACAAGAAAACCGTTGAAAATGGGTATAGGGAAAGTTTTAGCAAATCGATGCAGAATTGAATTCTGCATCCAACTATCGAAAAATATACAGGGTTATTTGAAAAATTGAACTATTTTGAGTTTGGAAATAATCTAATCAGTTATCAAATTTTGGACACCCTGTATGCAATAAATTAATTGTCAATATGGATTTCGAAAGTATTAGTCCTCTGCTTCGGTTTACCGCAGAAGCGTTTATCACCGATTCAAAATGAGTAAAAGACCGACTGTTAAAAATAGGGGTAAATCTGTAAACATTTTCAAATATATCAAGATATCTGAGAAACAGTTGAAAATAGGTATAGGGAAACCTAACGAAACGCATCATAAAATTTTCTTAGAAATCCATAAATAAAATAATATACAGGGTGTTCCATTTAAAATAAGGAAGTTAATGGCGACTTCCGGTGTAACCGGAAGTGGTGTGACCTTAAAAATATTTTTAAATGAAAGGAAAGGTTAAATAACCCTAAGTCTGAAAATTTCAAACTTCTCAGTTTTTCCTAACCTCAAAAACTTCTAACGAATGGCTACTGTGAGAAACTCTGTACAGTTAAAAATAACAAAAATATAACACTTTTTTTTGCATCTGAGTGTATATTGCCAGTATTTCTGTAAAATAGATTGTAAATAATCTGAAATGTCTTTTTCGGAACACTTGAATCATTACACTCTAAGAGATACAGCACGTCGACTGTAACATTTCGAGTACCGTCGGATAATTAATATAAATTGATTCGCAATAATTGTGTCCTATGTGTAATAAAGTAGTGGTATTACTACAAACAAACAACTATTTTTTAACCAGACATGCTGTATCAATTTTTCGAATTGAATTTAAGTCTAAAACATACCACGGACACTTGCAGCAACAGCAGAGTAGCATGCTGCCGCACGGTTTCGATCTGAATTGCGGCCCTTGGGGGCTGGAAGAGTGGGGTCCATTCTGAGGGGGGCCAGTACCGCTGGGTGTACCGGCCCCGTGGGTGGTTCCCCGAGAGTTCGGAGACGTGGCGAGAGCTTCGGACTCGGTACGGCTTCTACATTGTGAACTGGTCGAGACAGCCGAGACGACTTTGCCTCCCGTGGTTGGTGCACTAGAACTCACCCTTTCAGTAATGCTACACGACATCTGCAAATTCAAACCGACCTTTAATGAGTTCAGACACAAATTGTGACATGCATCTATTTGGGGGCGCCACGGTGGGGTATTAGCATGAAAAAGGTGATCGAAATTCGAAAAAGCAAATGTGTTTAAGATTTCCCAAAAAAAGATAAATGATAAGTTAAATCATCTCTGCCATGAATGGCGTTGCTATGGGTGTGTTTAGTTGCATTCATTTGTTTCAACGAAACGTCAAAGTTGTTACTTCTCACAGATAAGAGGTAAATGGCTAAATTTTATGTTTAAAATTATAAATTGTTGTTGTTCTTGTGCTCTTTTTACGTTTATATTATCGTTTTGATTGAAAATGGCTCAGCAAGCTGCAGGTATGTATTCTACAAAAACGTATTATTTATTTTGATATTCTCTATACTAACGATTTTTTTTGCAACTAAAGTTAGGCATTCAGAAAATTTGATTAAATTTGTGACATTTTTATTATACTTAGAGATTTAGTTGCGCATTTCGAAGAATTCAGCATATTGTCTATATACGTTTTACTTAGTAAATATTGGGCTTTCATACAGTAAAATAAAATACTGCGACTTTTTGCGATTTTGCTGATAAAATGAGAAAAAACATTCTTGGTTTCCTCTAATTTGCCAATCAGTGATATACTAATGCGAGGTGTAAACCGCGATGGCATTGTTGTGTACAAAGCGATCGCATTAGTGCCATTAGCAGTATAGCACAATTTGGCATTAGTAGCGACTTTAGTGGTATGGGCATTGCTCGCGGATCCGTCGTAGCATTAGTAGTAGTAGTTGCGATATTACTACTGGCACTGACCGTGGAAACACTGGAACAGTGATTTTTCTTTCTTTTTTTAGAATCGACGAATTATCCTTTATTTTGTTCATATTATTTCCTCTTTAATTGAAAATAGCAATAATTTATATAAGGTCTACATAAAAAAATTTCGATCAACTATCAGTGTCAAATACCCCACTGTGGGGCGCCTCAAAATTATTCTCAATTAAAGTTCTAAGTCTCTTTACAGCTCCTTCGTTTGACAAACAAGCATATATACAGGGTGGTCCGAACTGTATTCCGGAAACTTCGGTAGCATATTTTGTAGATAAAAATAAGTAAAAAAAATTATAAAAAAAGGTATGTGCTAAAATGCTTAGTTTCCGAGATACAGGGTGTAGAAGTTTCATTTTTATTTCGATTTTTTCCAAATAATTTCTGAACTAACGACGATCTTTGGATAAAAATTGGTGTCTGTTAGTTTTTTGACATGTGAAATTTGATTTTGATGTCAATATGACTCCTACTTGTAGGGGGCGCCACCTACATATATTTTTTACTGTTTTGAAGAGTAATAACTTTGTGTCCGTAACTGTATAAAACTACTGAGTAAAAAATATACATTTACGACGTTTCTTACTTAAAAAAGACGTTCTAAATAGTTCTAAAACTGAAATCATAAATTTGAAAAATTCGAAAAACCATTTTTTCGAAGGAAAATTTATGATTAATTTAAAAAAAATAAAAAGTTCCTAAATTTATCATTTCAGTCAAATAACTATCTCTACTCATGTTTATTTTTTTCTCAATAATGACATGTATTGACTATTTCCATTATAAATATCTTGAGAACGGTTGCTCGTAGCGATTTTTACCAAGAGAATAATAAATCAATATAAAAATCCCGAAAATGTACATTTTCTTTACCCAGTAGTTTTATACAGGTACGGACGAAAATGTATTATTCTTCAAAACAGTTAAAACAAATGTAGATGGCGCCCCCTACAATCAGGAGTCATATTGACATCAAAATCAAATTTCTCATGTAAAAAAGACTCACAGACACCAATTTTCATCCAAATATTGACGTTACTTCAGAAATTGGAAAAAATCTAAAAAAAAAAGAATTAAACTTCTACACCCTGTATCTCCGAAACGTGTAACTTTTAACTTTTTTAACTTATTTTTTATCTGCAGAATATATTACCGAAGTTTCCGGAATACAGTTCGGACCACCCTGTATAATCCTACATATTTCAAAATAAAGTACAAAATTTGGGGATGAATATTATTTTTTAAGGAAAGAAAAAGTGAAAAAGTTTTACAAAATAAATCATTCATCTATTTAGGGACACCTAACTTCATTTAAAAAAAAAGAAAACAATAGAGAGAAAACGAAATATCCAACAATACATACAGATAATATTTAACATACCTTATATTTTTTTAATAAAAGAAATTTCGGACCCACAAAAATTGTTTAACATCAAGCTACATTAAAGCGACTCAAGTCGTTTACCCTTACATCTAGACTAACATGTGAGTGTAGACTATCCCTAAAGCAACAGGCTAGAATAAGGACTCTGACTTGCGTACCAGAACATGTGAGGATAGAAGGTAATGAATCGGCTGATTCCTTACGAAAAAGGCAGGCCTAAAAGTCACTGGCAGCACTAAAACTCACTTTTAATGGGACAAATTTAACGCACAGTGAAGTAAGGGAGATACATCCCTAATATAGAGATAAAAAAAATTGTGCGTGCTCTATGTGCGCATATTTGAAGTAACACTTCTTACTAGCAGCTATTAAATTTTGAAGGACATGTTTGAAAAAGTGTAGTTTGAGATGTTGAAAAAGTAATAAATTAAAAAAATATTTTTTACGCGTAAAAAATAATTTTTTACGTGTAACAAATAGTTTTTGACGCTTAAAAAATAGTTTTTTACGTGTAACAAATATTTTTTTACACGTAATAATTTAATTTTCTTTCTCAAAATTTGTAGTAAAATATCAATATTTTAATACAAATACACGTCGCGTCACTATGTATTTTTTTGTCCTTACCACTTTTCGTCACCACTATCGTGTGTCACAGCCTTGAATTCTTACTGCCAGCGCGCGTAAAGAAATTTCACTTCAATAAAATATTCTATATACCTTATTTTTTATTACACTAGACTCTGCTTGATCATGAAATATGGTTTGGATTTTAAAAAAGCTGCTCTACTCACCAGCTCGATCAACACGATACTAATAAAACCTTTTAGAAACCGATTCTCATTTTATATATATATACAATTATTTCGCTTAAAATGTATAAAGAAGAAATAACTTTGCTTAAAGCTCATAAATCTGGCCTCCCTTACTGTGGTATCGGCTATAACTTTTTGTTTCATACATTCGGCATTGTTTCAGCCAAGGAACTTTGACTGCGGAACCGAAATTTTCAAAATTTTAACCCTTGAGGTAAATCTGAGCAAAAATTTAATACGAAATATGTACAATTCACTTCGGGGAATTATTTTAATACGAACGATATCTTTATTTTGACAAATGGAATGTATAAACATTCCATTTAAATTATACAGGGTAATTGTATTCGGGAAACTTCGGCAGGATATTCTACAGATAAAAATAAGTTAAAACGTTCGGATAAATGTATGTCCTAAAATGGCTTCGTTTCGAAGATACAGGGTGTAGAAGTTCCATTTCTACTTAGATTTTTTCCAAATAATCGTCATATACATATTTTATTACTGATTTGAAGAGTAATAAGTTTTTGTTACAATACAGAGTTAAAAAATATACATTTTCTTTTTTTTACGTAAAAAATGTCTCTTGGTAAAAATCGCTACGAACAATCGTTTTCAAGATATTTGAAATGGAAATAGTCAATACATGTCATTATTGACAAAAAATAAACATGTGGAGTAAATTGTTATTTGTATTTGAGTGAAATGATAAATTTCGGAATTTTTTTCTTTCTGTAAGCTGAACACGAATTTTTATATCAAACATACGATAAAACAGTTTCTGTCAAATCTCTAGCACAAAAACATTTCAAATTAATTATTTCAGACAAACAACTATCCAGTTACACTATATAATTTATGTTAATTATATCATGTATTGAATATTTCGTCCAAATATCTTGAGGGCAATTACTCGTAGAGATTTTTACTAAGAGACCTTTTTTACATAAAAAATGACGGAAATTTATATATTTTTATCCAGTAGTGTAATATAGGTACGGACGAAAAGTTATTACTCTTCAAAACAGCTTAAAAATATGTAGGTGGTGCCCCCTATAGACTGACATTGAAATCGAATTTATTTCAATTAACAGTCTAACACCAATTTTCATGCGAATATCGGCGTTAGTTCAAAAATTATTTGGAAAAAATTGAAATAAAACTGAAATGAAACTTCTCCGAAACTATTATATACAGGGTGTTTCAAAACAAATGCGAAAAACTTCAGGGGGCGATTCCTTGTTCAAAATAAAGGGTAGTTTGCTTCATAAACGTTGGATCAAAAGTCAACCATTAGGGAGATATCGCGGTACAAAGATGGCGGAAAAATAATGTTTTTATTTTTTATCTTGAAAACGAAAAGAGATAGACTAATAAAATTTTATGGAAGCATTACTGTTAAGAAAACACACTTTCTGGTAATTTTTTCACTTTTTTAAAATGAGTGGAAGGGGTTGAAATAAACTACCCCTATCATTCTTGTTAACGAAATTTAAAGAAAAATCTTATCAAACACATGCAAATGCTTTAATTTGGATAGTTTAGTTTGTTTAGAAACTTTTTTATCTCTTGTGTTTTTTTGATAAAACTCACCGATTTGAAATTAAAATATAAAATGTAAAGCATTACATGTCAGGACAAAAAACATTTTTAGATTAAAAATCTAGTGATAATAACGATAATAATAATCATCTAGATAATAACGTATTGCAGTAATGTCAAATAAAATAATATTAGGAACATCCTAAAAAGTAACAGCGGCCGACTAGATTTTTTCCTAAAAAAATTACAGCAGCCCACTAGATTCTTTATCTTCTTTATAAATTTAAAGAAAAATCTTATCAAACACATGCAAAAAAATTAATTTGGATAGTTTAGTTTGTTTAGAAACTTTTTAATCTCTTGCATTACATGTCAGGCCAAAAAACATTTTCTGATAAAGAATCTAGTGGGCTGCTGTAATT